TCGCCCCGCCCGTCTGAACAGGACGCGGCGCCGGGCACCCTGGTTAGGCCAGGAATACCGATGAACCTTCGGGGGAGGGTAAGTGTAGTTTTTTATGTTTTGCATTTCATTCATTTTCTGACGATTGCCTTTCAAAAACACCTATATCCCCCTATCTTATCTGTGAGTATACATGTTTGATTCTGTTTCTCCTGCCATGCTTAAGTTACTAATGATTTCGAGAATAAATTTTCAGGCTCTCTGCTCTGATATCGTGATCTTAAATTTATTTTTAATAAACAGTGTGAAGAAAGTTCTCAATCCGGAATGTAAAATTTGATCTCGAGGATACGCTCGGCTGTCTTCTCTTCTTGATATTATATTTTTCATAATGTCTACAAGTATTGTTGTTATTGGTGCTGGTGTAATTGGTCTTACAACCGCTCTTTTGCTTCAGAAGAAGGGCTATCAAGTCACTATTGTTGCTAAATACGTCCCCGGTGATATGAATATCGAATATACCAGTCCATATAGCGGTAATATGCAAAGTCATTATTTTCCCAGTATACCTCATTTGACTAAACATGCACAATGAATAGGTGCCCATTGGAGAACCATGATTCCTAACGACCAGAAGGAATTGCAAGGTATGTGCTCGAGACATCTCGACATGCTCCATTGTTGAGATGCTGATCGCTTGTGTCACTTTCAGAGAACGACGCTGTTGCCTACAACGTCTTTTACAAAATTGGTAAATCACTGCCCAGTGATACCACTGGAGTCATGATCATACCAGCCTTGGATTGCTGGTCTGAACGTAACGACGACACCGCTAACCCTTGGTGGAAAGATGTTGTGAAAGATGTATGTATAAGATCAGCTATATAATATGATGGGAATTATCTAACAGCATACGGCTTCTTAGTTTCGATTTGTTGAAACGAAAGAGTTGTTTCCCGACACAGTCATCGGCCATAGCTATACAACCGGTAAAATATCGAAATTGTGGCAGCAATGGAGAGGGGGGGGGGAGTAGATTAAACCTGCAACGTTTCTAATCCATTTCATCGGAAATAGTTGCGGTCAATACTCCTCATTATATGCAATGGCTCGTTCGATTATTTACCCAGGCAGGTGGCAAATTGAAGAAAGCTACTCTTACTCATGTCCAGGATGCTCTCAAACACTGCCCGGACGCACAATCAATTGTCAACTGTACTGGTCTCCAAGCCCGATTCCTGGGTGGTGTTAAGGATGAGAAGGTTTACCCAACGAGAGGTCAGGTCGTTGTTGTCAATGCACCTCATATCAAAAAAACTCTGACTTCAATGGGTAAGCGAGATGTTTCCTTCTCATTGGCGGAATAAGTGTTTAATGTATTTCATAGTTGGCGACGGCACCAGCTACATTATTCCAAGATCCAATGGACATGTTATTCTAGGTGGTACCAGACAAGCTCATGACTTGTAAGTAGCCCTAAATGAAGTAGCTAAGTAATTTGATGCAAGAACTGACAGATTGATATCAGCAATAGTGAAGTAGACATGAAAACTGCTGAGGAGATCATGGAAAAGACTGTCCGTCTCTTACCCGAACTGGCTCACGGCAAGGGAGTCAAGGGTCTTGATATCGTAAGACACAATGTTGGCCTGCGCCCTTCAAGAGAAGGTGGCCCTCGTATTGAAAACGAGATGACAAGTGAGTACATCTTAATGGAATTTGCCAGGGAATAGAACCTATAATTTAACGAGCATTCATCATTTCTGTACAGCCACCGCCAACGGCAAGCCCTTGCTCATTACACATTGTTATGGACACAGCGGCTATGGTAAATAGAACCATTTTCTCGCCAATGCGATTTGCTACACAATTAAGCCAAAAGCCTTTTAACTTGCAGGTGTACAGAGCAGCTGGGGATCAGCTAAGAAGGCCGTCGATCTAATTGATCGAGGACTCTTTGAAAAGGACCATCAGGTTATCGACTCCATTGTTGGTGATCTTTGGAGCAAACTTTAATTGCACGGTCTTTCATTTCCTTCATTTTTGTATGAGCTATTGGAACATAATATTTTGATAAAGACAATTAGAAACCTCTGATGAAAAACTGTGTTTTATTTTATGTTAAGAGATCGAGGCAAGGAGGTGTGCACTTAAGCGCGCTTGGCAGCACGGACACCCTTGTTGCGCTTGGTCTGCTCCTTGGCGGGCTGTTGGCTAGAAAGGACAGCAGAGGCACGAGCAAGAGCAGCGGCGCGAAGGTCAGGGCGGTAGTGAGCGACAAGGTTAGCAACGGACTTGGCGGTGTGACGGCGACCCTTGCTGATGGTGGACTTGCTGACGCGCTTGGAGGGAGAAGCAACCTTAGCCTTGGTGGTGGTGACTTCAATACCGCGGGGAGCAGCAGCAATACCGACAGTCTAATTGGAAAGGTACTTTGTGAGTAAAACTTGGGCTTCGAGGACAATTTTTTTTCTCAGACTCCCTCAGAGACAAGCCACCCGAAATGAACCTGAATGTCAGAATTCCCTCATTTCGAGATGAAAGCTCGCTCCAACTCGACGATTAATCTATTACGGAACAAAAATATACCTTGGCGTTGGCAAGACCAGAGTACTTGTAGGTGTTGCGGTTGACCAAGTTGTTGGGCTCAGTGGAGAATTGAGCACCAGCACGCTTGACAAGGAAGCTGTTGTTGTTTCTGACGATAGCCCAGACGAGATCAGAGGACATGTTTACTGATAGAATTTTATAATAGTTAGAAGAGAGTGCTGATAAGCTTGGCCTTTGTACTTAGAATGTTGGTTGATGGACTCACTGATTAGCCAACAAAAGAGAGAGAAGGAAAAATGACTTGCTGCCTCTTTGGTCAATTTTATTTTTTCCAGCTAACGAAAAAATTTTGCCTAGTCACGTGCATTTGCTCTGTCCGCCCAAAAAAAAAAAAAAAAAAAGACCTGGGCGGCTGTTGAACAATGACTGGTGAGCCTTGCGCTGTCGAGTTTCATTCCACTTTGACTCAACAGGTACCACCATGCTGGTTCTGCAATGCCGGGTATTATGGCTCCAAAATGCTTTGAATGTCCCTTTGCAGCGCTGTAGTATTCGCTCGTTGTCTCAATCAACCGTACACCCTGACCGTGAAAAGGAATCTGAAGTCGCCTCCAGAGAAAGTGGGCTGGAACTGAAGGAAGAAGTGAATGACACGTCTGATAAAGGCATGTATACTGAAAGAAAAGGCTCATCCCAACTTTGAGATATTCTGTTTAACGCTCATTATGCCTTCCAATTTGCTTAGTCGCTGTACAGCGTGAAAAACGTCATGCACATACCAGGAACGAAGATACTCCATGGACGAACAACGAAACTAAACATTGGGAAGAAATAAAACATATCGATTTCCCGTACAGACGTTAGTATTTACTATCAGTATCTAGATATGCCTTCAAACGATACTAATAACTTACATTCTTTCTAATTCGCAGGTGTCCATGCTCCTAATCCAGTCAAAGTCGATAATCTAGCACATGGATTAGATCGCGTCTTATTCAAGTATGTCACAAGACTGAACTTTCCATCAGATATTCAATTAACTAGCTAACTTTTATTCCAAAGTCCTGGAGTCCATGTTTTACAAGATCCACGTACAAAAGTATATAATTTCACACCATTCCTCCAGAACATTACACAGCCTAAAGATTTCGATTACGATGCTTTGGCGCCTTATATCACATCCTCCCGCGATTCTGTAAGTAATTGATAACCTAGTATTGCTTCAGCGCTGTTTTGAAAGATTTTCTTATCTGAACATCATCACTCTATATCACAGTCTTTACGAGACATGGCTAAGCAACTTGACAAGCAATATGTGGGATCAACATCCTCTATATCAGCTGCCTTGTCTCAAATTTATTTCATGCTCTCTAATTTTCGGCCAGTTGATACCAGTCCTTTATCTAATGATTTTCAGAAAGAGGTAAGGGCAGCAGTTAAGCCATGTCTAGTGCATCTACTTGAAACTGACGTTCTGGGCAGTCAAAAAAGTTCACGAGAGGTGTAAGAACGCCAGCCTCCATCTTCTTGCGTTACCAAAATGGAGTGTATGCGATTGATGCTGACAAGAGTCATGATGTTCAGGATGGTATATTGTCGGTTCTGGTATGTAGCCTGGATTCGATATTTATAAAGGTTCGAATTGTACGTACTAATGCTTCGGACGATAGGGAAAATCAATGGAGAAAGTTTTGACTTTGCCACCAAGTAAATATGAACAGTATTTGAAGGATGCTACGACCAAAATTTCTGAGGATGAAAAAAATAAGCCTGAGGCATACGCTTATGGTCAAGTAAGCAAATTCCCGATTTCACAACTTTGCATAGCGGACCATCTAATCAACAAACCCAACTTCTTGGTGATAGATTGGCAAATTTTTGTTGCGGTCGCAGCTGGACTGTTACCACTCAAAGTTGCCGAGGAGGGTGTTTGATCTGAAGACTCGTGCCGTTATACCTATTAGAATGGATCAAGCCAATTATTCTGTACGTATGATATATTCTCTTGCTTTTCTTCAAGATAGACGAGGAGAGTATTAATATGCTCTACTTAGAATTATCTAGGATACTCTTTAACCAAGCAACAAGGGATGTTGGAATCCTTTGAAAGGGAATATTATGATATGATACGAGCAGCATTTTTAAAATACAGGCAAGTGAACGTGCTCCTTTCGTCCATGATGGAGGTAAATCTATGCTAACAAAGTACATATGAACAGCTTTCAAGTCCGCATTGGTCATATGGACGGCATCTTCGTTGCTTATCACAATACGGCCAAAGTGTTTGGGTTTCAATACATATCCCTCGAAGAAATAGATTCTCGAATCTTTGGCAATACTGCTACTGGCTCTACTGCTTTTCGTCATACTGTAAGCTTGATGGAAAAGATTTTGGACATTGCTACCAAAAAGCACCCAGAGCAGGTAAGCAACAGAATATATGCCGATACTTGTCATGTTCGTATTACATACTCATAATCATCTCACTGCTTTCAGTCTCTTCGGATATCATTAAATGCCAGGCAATCCAAAGATGAAAGTCGGTCCTGGCTGAATGTCTTTACTGAAGTCGTGCCATCAGAAGTCTTTGACGATAGCTCAAAGCTTGAGTCGCATATTCTTCGACCCTACGACTATCTAACCAAATACGTGGTTCAGACAAAATCCTATGTTGATGGAAACTTGCAAACAGCACATGTTAAACTTCATCCCCAACGTTCGCAGAAATGGGATATAGAGTACTCTATTGAACAAGATCTCGGTAAATTCAGCACGATAAACCAACAGTTCCGATTTTTACGAAAATCCCAGGCAACGGCTTTTGGACCAAACAACAAAGCCGGTGCATCATCATATTTGAAACGCTTCCAGGATATTAGCGATCGTTACTTGCGGTTGGAAAAAATGGAGCATCGAAAGCAGGTTTTGGATGGTTTGCGAGCTCATCATCGCAGTCAAACTGCAAGGGCATGGGGTGAACTTCAGATGATCAAGCAACTCAAAAAGAATGAATTGCAATACCTTTCTAAGCACGTAATGCATGCTCTGAAGGATACCGAAATCCAGCGCTTGATCGACACATACGAGGTGAAGGATGGTATAGATGGGCTTCAAAAACTTGCTGCAGAGCGGCGTGCAAGTGTGCTGCAAGGCATGCTGAGAGGTTCCATATCAAAAGCATCTACACATATCCTTCGCAAAGCATCATTCTATCTTGGATTAAGCGTAAACAAGCCTCGTGAAACTTTGGAAAATCAGTTAGAGGAGGTCTTGGTTGAAGGTGGTGTGGTGCTTGAGTCAAATGAAGTAGACACAGCTCCCGCAGATCCAGCGTCAAGCAAAAAAGCCGAATGTCAGGAGCGGATTGAAGAAATAGCTACTGAATCTGCTACCAAAGTATCATTACTACAAAGACTTAAATCAATTGCTCAATCAAAGTCTTCCGATACATAGATTATTTTTATTTGAAAGTTTCTCAATGAAATGTATAATATTTTTCGAACCTTGTCTCAATAATCTCTGTCGCCATTTTTAACTGCTTTATTTTGCCCATGAAAATCACTCCGCAGACTTAAACATTTAAGTGTGCGCTTGTTAGGTTAACCGTGCTTGGTCCTTTGAGTGCCTTTTCTCTAGCATGCCGCTGTTCATTAGTAACATGAAGGCCGGTCATGCTCAAAGAAAAGCTGAGCCTCAGCTATCTGTCTCTAGTTTCGTCTCATCCGCTCGGTCTTCCGACACATTAACAAAAAATAGTCATACCGTCATCTCGTACAGTACCGAAATAGTAGGCAAGTTCCAGGAGTTGAAGGTATAAAGTCGTGACAGTTACGGGAGCTTAAGGATACATGATGGAATATTTATTCTTCCATTAGGAGTTATCACATCCAAACCTCTGCCAGTACATCGACATCGCAGTGGGCAAACAGAGTAAGGACATACTAGTTACAATGCAATCGTGTTATCACTAGCTGCTGACGTGACCCAATCGCACTTAGACCGATTATTTTTTGTACAGGAATCGTATGATGAGTCTATGGATCTTCGAAAACTCAACTTTAGCAAAAAAAATATCGATGAAAAGTATGAACAAAAATGGCATGTAGGAGTGAAGGGCATTGGCATTAACGCGGCTCTTCTTCCAGACTAAGTCAGCTCCGAATATGGACACAGCAAATTCTCAGTGCACTCAGCTATTTGGAAAAACATGGCATTGAACATGAAACACTACACCCTCGAAACATTCTCTTGGACGAAAAGGTAGCATACATTGTCAGTACATCGTTTGTCACAATGGTCCATTCTCACTTACGTCCCATACTACAGAACAATATCAAGTTATACGATTACGGACTGGGACATATGACTAATTACGGAAAAAACATCGACTTTCCGTTACAGTGAGTAAATGTATATCTCAATTTGTTAGAGTGCTTTTGGCTAATAAATGTATTATATCAGATACCCTAATTACACTCCTCCTGAGCGAATCCTAACGACGCAAGATACACGCCCCAATTCCAAGGTAATACACATTGCGAAACGGTAGTATATCATTTCAAATGCAAAAGTCACCTAATACCTATTTTCATATAGGCTACCTTATGGTCACTGGGCATCATTTTATGTGAAATTCTATACGCAACATCTTTTTGGAAGACTACCGATCTAGGCTTGATTTTCGATTCAATTTCGGGCATTAGACAATGGTCAATCGATAGCCCAGATGCGCAATTTTGGAATCATGAAGAGGCAACCCATTTGGATATCAATATGACTATCCTAGATTTTCTTCACCTTTGTGAGAATCGTACGAACAATGAGGACAAGGAAAAATCAGATACCATTGAAATGATGAATCTAATTATTTGGCTTGTGAACGGTAATCCGAGAAATAGACCAACCATTGATGAAGCGATTGCAATTATTGGTGAACCGGTGCGTGACGATGTACCTAAATGGCAAGCTGGACCTATAATACGATCGCTCGACGTAGAACTGGAGGAGGATATAAAGAAAGAGGATACTGCTCACAGGGAGGGTTTGGTACCTCTAGCCGAAATGCCTTTACAACATGTATATTACCTATGGAAGTTAGCGGGTGGAGATGTTGAGCTGGAAATGACAAGAGTTGGACTTCTTCTTGCCACACCAGTTATTGAACTGTTGCCGCGGATCTGCCGTGTGCAGGATGGGAAGGAATCAGGATCTTCTGGTCAGGATACTGCTCATCTATACTCAAGTGCTGCCAGCATTTTACGTTTGGACGAATTACACCTTAGACTAGACAGTACCAGCCAGGTCGATAGAGACATGTTTGAATGGGACACCAATTATTTTATGGTCGTGGACGAAAAGGACGTCAACTTTTTGATCGAGGAAACAGGCGAAGACGCACAGATGATAAGTCCTGATCAAGAAGAAGAGGACTTCATATTCGTCGAAATAGGGGACACTGCTTCCGTTGGACGGCCTCGACTGGGAAGCGGGCAGTCTTTTGCTTCGTCTCCAGGGTCGACACCCAATATTATGGACAATGTTTATCCTGCCTCCACCGCATCAACTCCGAGCATCCGGTCTAATCCATCTTTCACCAATTCAAACCAAATACCGAAATTGCCGTTAATCCAAAGAGAAAAGGCTCCTCTCTATCAATTCCACCGTGTAAACCTGTTTACATCGCTACTCAACCAATACCCAGCATCAAGGAATGAAATCATATACCATGCAAAAGTTGACATTCCTCCCATACTTCGTGATCGGGTGTGGGCTGCCATCTTAGGAGTAGACAGCGACTATCAAGAAGTTTATGCACGTATCGACAAAATTACAGACTTTGGAACTGATAGACAGGTAAGAAAACACGATTGAAGAGGGCAGAGGAAGCAGTCGGATTAATCTTACCATATATTCATGGATTTCTACGCTGCTAAACAGATAGAAGTTGGTAAGTTGTGATAGAAAATTTGCGAAAATATGCAAGTTTCGACGCATACTAACATGAAGCGTGTGTTGCATTAGATGTCCCTCGCTGCCATCAATACAATCCACTATTAGCGTCATCCACTGGCCACGCCAAGCTTCGTCGACTCCTCAAGGCGTGGGTGGCGGATAATAAGGAGTTGGTGTATTGGCAAGGATTGGATTCATTGTTTGCGCCATTCCTAGTGCTCAACTTCAACGACGAGGCTTTAGCGTTTGCTTGCGTTGAAAAGTTCATTCCCAAATTCCTCAAAAATTTCTTTTTGATGGATAACGCCCCGGTATTGCAAGAATATCTCACCATTTTCCGCCACATATTGAGTTTTCATGATCCCGAACTGTCTGTCCATTTAGATCTCATTGGCTTTATGCCTGATCTTTATGCAATCCCTTGGTTCTTGACTTTGTTCACCCGTAAGTTTGCAAAAGTGCTGCCGCTTAAACTTGGTAGCTGTTACTGATATTTAGCTTGCCCGCAGATGTATTCCCGTTGGATAAGATATATCACTTGTGGGACAAGCTTCTTGTTGGACCATCTTCCATTCCTTTATTCGCAGGCGTGGCTATCCTTCGACAAATTAGGGATGTCCTGCTAGCTTCCGAGTTCAATGACTGCATCACTCTGTTTTCGGAAAGCTTTCCTGAAGTAGATATTGAAAAATGCATCTTGAGCGCTATGACCATGTGCAAAGTCACGCCTAGTAGTGTACTGCGTCGGAATTATCGCCCCGACCTTGAAGAGCCACAGACTATTCCTTCGGTAAAGTGTTGTCTTTCTTCTTCTTTGTCCTCCACTTTTTGTCACTGACTTATCAGTGTATGTAGGATTTGCCTAGTGTTGAAGTGAGGAAATCTGAGATCGCGCCCAGGTTGTCCTTATCGGACTACTTGAAGATCATGCCGTTTGGCCTTGGGTTAGATGTTCGAACTAATGCTCAGTAAGCCCCAACCTGTGTAGAAGACTCAGAGAAAAAAGCACCATCTAATCTTTCTGTTAACAGGTTTAAAAAAGGACATATGCCTTCGTCTATGAATGTACAACCACAACAGTTGACGACCTTCGCTCCGATCCTGAAAAAACTTAACAAGAAGTACCATACGGTCATTGCCGACGATGATTCATTAGGCTCTGAGGTATGTTGACAACGAAGAACATTGGTTCTAAGAGTCATCTTTGCAGAAATCGTAACCCATTGTTTCCTTTTGGTAATAGGTGGCTACTGAACTGGTTAAAAACGGATTTTCAAGAGTCAGTATGCTCCAGGGTGGGATACATGCTGTTGACAGCTCCCAGCAAGTCGACATGTGTACATGCCGTCCCCAGAAGCAAACCACAACTAACTACAAAAGCAAAGGATTCGATCCACCTTTTGTCATTTTAAGATGCAAAAACACAAATTTAACCCAAAATCATTGAAAATCACAGTCTCCAATGTAGCAAATAAATAATGTAATATAAAGATTGGAGATTAACTAAGAGAAAGCTCATGCGCTAGGATGAGTAAACTTGTCAGTTATCATGGAGATATAGAAATAATAGTAGCGTAATAAGCTTCCCCGATATGGATTCTTTTTGACATGTAAGTTTGTTAGACCGTACGTTTAACCAAAGATATTGCGATTGGGCTGTCCAGGGACCTTAACAAGTCTGTTTTAATGGAAAATGTAGTTAGTGCATGTGTTTCATACCCTGTACTGCAATACGTTGCTTATACATTACCTGACCCTAGGTTTCTCAGCTTCCGGTTCACGATTTTCAGGTTGCTTGAACAATCTCTTGCCGGTTCCAGAGACAGATTCCTTAGGGGTAGGCGTCTGTTCACCAAATAGACTGAAAGCAGATGCATTGGGATCTCTTCTAGTGACAGGCTTTGCAGGCTGATGCTCAACTTCAGGCTCTGGTTGGCCAAAGGTAAAGCTGGATTGATTAGAGAGTCCAGTTCGGGGTCTACCGCTGAACGATCTCTCAGAGGTTTCAGGGGTTTGCTGTCCACCAATGCTGAATTGCGACTGGTTAGAGCGAGCTGATCTTGGTCTGCCACTAAAGCTCTCTTCCTTTGGTTGCTCAATTGGCTGTCCAAACATAGGAGTGGCTACAAAAGTAGACGCAGGCTGTTCAGTTTCTTCCTCAACATCTTCCTCAACATCTTCGTTGGTAGCCTCAGGTTGTTCAGTAGGAGCTGCTTCAACAGGTGCCTGTTCAACAGCCGGTTTCTTTTCGTCCTCGAGAGACAATGATGATAATTGCTGATGAGCGCCAACGGATGGTGAGGTGGGAGAAGCCAAGCTATCAACTGCAGCAGGATCAGCACCGAAAGTAAAAGAGCTCTGGTTTTTTTTGGGGTTGAAGGCAATAGTTTTAGCTTCCTCAGGCTTATATTCGAAAATGTTACGTGGAGGGGGAGCACTGGAGCGCACGGAAGGTACGTGTTCAGCGACAGCGTCTTCACCAGAAAGCGAGAAAGACGAATGCGGCTTGATGCCCTTCACAGACGGAGTTTCAACAGGTGCTTCTTCAAATTTGAGGCTGCTTTCATACTTCTTAGGGTTGTAGGCAACATTGCGCTTCTTCTCCTCCTTGGGCTGGTAGGTAAATATATTTCTTGCCTCAGGTCCAAGTTTGCGGGGAGCGGAGCGCTCAGGTTCAGGTTCAGCGTCGGCACCCCCAAAGACACGGCCAGGCACTAAAGACCATTTTAATTAAATTAAGCCCTGCATAAATGACACAAACCTCCATATTATCAGCCACCATTGAACTTACGAAGATGATTTCTGGTCTTCTGCTCCTCACGCTAGAATTATGAAGTTGGTTTAGAGATTGCAATAGTCTTCAAGATCCATCACTTACACATAGTACATACCTTTGGCGCTACAGCGGCGGCTGAAGCACTGTTGTCGCCCCAGGCGTTCAACTTAACAGTCTGTGGGTTGCGCAATGCCTCAACCTGTTCAATACCACGGATGGGAATACCCTTTCTGGTAGAGAGGACATTCAATTGCTGAAGTACGCTAGCTTGGTCCCAGTAAATGCGAACGCTAAGGATCAAACCGTCGTCAAAGATGGCGGAACGAACCTAGTCAATTTAACACAAATGATAGTGGTTAAAGCTCTGTACAGAATGATCTATGCATAAAACTCGTTAGTAAACTTACGACAGGAATAACAACGGTAGAGCCAAGCTAGCAGAGGGGTGAATGAGTTAGCTGAGCGTATATGGCAAAAGATCATGCACCATAACGCCGATATTAGGCGTAACTTACCAATGTCTCATAGGCAACAGTTGGAGCTAACCAAAGGCATTCTCCTTTGTGAAGAGTAATTGTCCAGTCTGCTTCTTCGATGAGTTTCTCGCCAGACATAACTCTGTTATGCATTTTTTCTTTGACGTGGACATTTCGCTCGCTAAAATCATCGTGTCGGAAGAACGTGGCGATTTGCTCTGGACCGCGAGCTCCAACGCTGGTAGGCACAAAGATGACAGAAGCATCGTGAGTGTATAGCGCTTTTGAAGATGGATTGGACTTGAATTCTATCCAGGTTTGCAATTGGTCAGACATTCCGGCGTTGTAAGTACAAGATGGGATCGCGGTGAGCGCGCGAGGCCCGTTATGGAAGCTCTCGATATTGAGTGCCTCCAAGGTAGTACAGAGCATTTTAAAAAAAAGGACAACATCGTATTATCCTTTGAAGCCATGCTTTACGGCCTTCGAGTTGTCTATATCCCACAGTTGATAGTACTACAGCTTTAGGCTCTGGAGAACATGTAAGGGGCTGCCGGTGTGCGTCAAACTCCTGTTCGCCGATCGAGTTGACTTTGGAAGGCAGGTTAGAGCTTGTGGGAAGCAACTCAGCCGAGTCCGTAAAGCACTTCAATTACATTTTTACACAGGCCAAGTATGTATGCTTTTTCTATAATATCATCCTTGCAAAATGGTGCCATGCACTTTTTGAAAGCTTGTGGGTCATTCAATAGAGAGATCGAACGAAGTACACTTTTGACATAGCAGGTGGCATCTATATGTTAACAAATTATATTTGCTAAGGAGGCAAGCACAATGACAAGCTTATGGTTTTCTAGGCAAAACAATGAACTGAATATGATTAAAGCACGCTGTTCCTGAAATCGCGTTCAAACCACCATACATTTCTTCCACCCGCGGAGTTACTTCTTTCCCGTCAAGTTGTCATGTCTCAATCATTTAACGATGTTACCACCGAGAATCTTGCCCAGCTGTACCCAAAAATACTCCATACTCTAGCAGACGCCACGTTCATTGCGATCGACACAGAATTTACTGGTCTTGGTGTGAAAGGTGATAATGTTCGTGCAGCGTAAGTCCATGTTGCCTTCGCCTTGGAAAACTACCTTTCTAGATCTGAAACTGATCAAATGCATTTCATGACAGTAACATCGAAGATCGATACCAGAACATGGCGAAGGTGGTTAAGTCACATGCCCTGAATGCGATTGGTTTAACGGCTTTTAAAAGGACCTCAGAAGCAGAGAAGCCTTCTGTGTATCGCGTAGACAACTTTAATCTGCTGCTGTCGTTGCAGGTACGACCGCTCTGTCATAGTTACTTTTTCTCAAAATGCGATGTGCTGACCTTTTTGATTGTCTTACCAGGCGAGCTATACTGTTAGCGCGCAAAGTTTGAGATTCCTCGCCGACAGTGGCTTTGATTTCAATAAGCAGATCAGACTGGGTTTGCCATATACAACAGGAAGCGCCGAGGTAGATGGTCGACCTTATGTTAACTGGGCTGAACAAAATCTAACGTCGACAATTTCAATATGACTAGGATAAAGATGCCTTTGGTGTGAAGAATCTCTTTCGCAATATTCTGATGGATATCAACCGGCTCCAAATCCCGATAATAATCCATAATGGCTTGATGGACCTCATGTACTTATATTACTCTTTGTATACCGATCTACCTAGCAACCTACAAGTTTTTGCAGCAGATCTCTCCGACATGTTTCCTGGTGGCATCTATGATACCAAGTATGTCTCTGACTACGTGTCCAAAGAGCCTGTCAGCTTCCTGTCCTACTTATTCAAAAAGTATGAACGTGAAGAAAAGCGAAGATTGGCTATATTGAATAACCCGGATCAAGATCACGGAGAGAAGTTTACCAAGCGGTGCTTTCGCGTGGAGATACAGCCGCCCTTCCCAATAGAGCAGGTTATGAGAAAGGCAGTGGACGTTGAGGAGGAAGGCCGACTAGATTCGTCAGCTGCGCAAGCGAGTAACTCAAGGAAGAAGAGGCGACGTAAAAACAAAGGCTCTTCTGCCCCGAAGGAGGAAAAGCTATATTGTGAACAGTATGCCGTACGTGATTTATTTTATTGGACGGCTGATGATTGAGGTAATATTGACCTTGCCCTTCAGTTACATGGATACTGCAGGCAAAACAAACAGTGTGGCAAGTCTCATGATTTGGACTATATTTTAGATGAAGTAGAAAAGTCCCAAAAGCGAAAAAAGACAGGTATCACAGCTGCAGATGATGAAGAAGCAGCCGTTACTCCACCAGATATGAACGTTGATGTTCCTCCGTTACCGGCTGCACCTCTGATTCCTGGTCCATCATTTTATCATTCAGCACATTTCGATTCATACATGACGGGATATGTCTTTGTCCACCAGTTACAAGAATTTCGAGATTACACCACCCATGCCAACAAATTGTATCTAATTGGCAAAGATATACCTCTACCCATTCAAAAGAGTGCATTCACTAGTCTGAGCAAAGGCTGGCAGGAACTGAAAGCAGAGCTTCAAAAGATGAACCATGGTACAACTTCATAGGATGTCCACACTGTAAACACCAGTGAATGTACGTATTTTATCTATTTGTATAAATAGTTTCATGTTATCGTGATTAGATACTGGTCCAACAATATACGGGTAGAATGAATGAGAAGCAGTGTAATAAATATACTTTTCTAACTAGAGTACTGTAAAAAAAAAAAATCTTGGTCATTATTGTATGCTTCCCTGGTTAACATGAAAGTGTACATTCGATGCTATTGAACTCCTGTGCAGACTGATAGGATATATTTGATGAATTTATAAACGAATTTCCAAGTCCATGTAGTAGTCAAACCTTGCGTATAGTGAGCCCGAAAATACAAAGCAATTTACGATTTAGCTACTCTGTGGTGTTTGCTGATCAACCTTGGCTTGGGCTTTGTGCTCAATGTGAATGTCTTCGGCAGTGACATCTGCTCGTACTTGCTGGTAGACAGATCCAATAATCCTGAGTCCGCTAGCTCGCTTCTGGATCAAGTCTCTGGAGGCCTTTGGATCACTCAAAACAGCATCACAGACATCGCGTAAAACGCTTTCGACCTCCAACTTTGAACCTCTCCAAATGGCTTTCAATCCCTGGAAACCACATAGAAGTGTAAATAACGTAAGAAAAGAAATACAAAAACGTATTCGAATGGAGGAGTATCATACCTTCTGGGCAGCTTCCTCTTCCAAACGGTTCTTCTCCTCCTCGCTCAGTCCCTTAGAGTCGGCCTTCTGCAGCTCACTGAAGCTGCTCTGAAGATCAAGAGCACTTCGGAGAGTACCCATAGTCTCGCTGAAAATATAGCCTTTCTCGCGAACACTGTGAAATACGCCTCCGAGGCCAAATATTTGACCTTTAGCCATATACTGATTTGCTTTCATAGTGTAAGTAAATCCGATAGCGTGCAGCAATTCAATTCCGTAGCTTTCGTGTTTGAGATCTTCAGCTTCAATCTGAACGATGTTGGTGAAAGCTGCTACGGAAGCTGGTGATGTATCTGGTAGCTCTGTGTAGAGTGAAAGCTTGTATATCAACTTTTCAACTAGGGTATCAACACGCTTTTGGCGAGTTTCTGCTCGTTCCTTTTCAGCCTGCTCTTTTTGAGCTGCTTTAACAGCCTTCTCTTCAGGTGATAAATCTGCTTCGTTTCCTTCGCCATCATTCTCTGCTGTTTCAATTGCGTCTCTCATATCTCGGCCGATGGATATTTCTCCAATGATGTCAACAAAGCGATCTCCGCCGAACGACTGCTTAAAGAATTCTTCAGGGTCAACTGTGAGGAAAAAAAATACATTATATTACTGTTAGTTCAAACCGTTGATTACAGAAACATATGCTTGCTCGAACCTACCGAACCCTCCTTCTGGTTTGACACCGTTCTCAGCTCCATTTTCGTTATATCGTTTTCGCAGCTTAGGGTCCGACAAAATTTGGTATGCTTCTGATATTTCCTTAAACTGGGGAGGACAAATGATTAGCTACATCATTCCTTGGCAGTGTGCGTGCGTCAGTGTTCTTAGCTTACCCTTTCTTCTGCGTTTGGATCATCCCTATTCTTGTCTGGGTGATACTTAATGGCCATCTTTCGATAACTCTTCTTGATTTCTTCTTGTGTTGCTGTTACGCTAACCTCCAACAAGTCGTAGTAGGCGGTCGAAACAGGGTTCTCGTCTAGTACGGAAATGTGAGTTTGAAGTTGTTAGAGGCAAAATAATATCGTGATTCTTACCTGATCCTTTCCGGGATGACGATTTCTTTTGAGATGAGGAGAATGGTTTGCTTGCATTCTTTAAATCCAAGCCAGTATTGTCGAGTTCATAGGTTCCTGTCTTGTGGCAAGCCCAGCATTTCACTTTAACTTTCTTGTTTGCATTGGTAGAAGCAGAAAGGAATTCTAATGGTGTGATGCATTCCTTGCATGCGCATTTTACATACGGCTCTGGTTTGCGAGACTCTATTATCGCTTCCGTCATGTTTGCCAGAAAAAGCGATTGCTGACGCTGGTTCAAGGAAGGGGGTGATCAAGCTTGAATGTGGCAATCACGTGCACGAGAATGTGACCGATTTTTCAGTATCTTTTTTTTTTGGGAATAAAAAAAAAGTTGTACTGACAAAAAAGTTGAAGGACAACTGTCATTTCGATATGCCAAAGGACAAGACGAAATCAGCCAAATCTGGAAAGAAAACCACTCCAAGTGGTCTTCAGGAGTTCTGTGGATTCAAGATTTTACCGATCCACATGAACAGAGACGCTGTTCACTACATGTATATCAAGAAGCACGAATCTCGGCAAGATTCTGAAGCTACACCAAAGGACCGAACATTATTTATTTTGAACTTACCAGTCGATACCACAGATGAACATATAAAAAGACTTTTCCAACCTTATGGACGAGTCGTCAGCATAAAATACCATACTCGTGGCAATCAACCAGAAGAGGAAGAAGAAGAAGCCGAAGAGGCGGTGGAGACGGCTGTTGAGCAACCAAAACTTTCGAAAAAGAAGCAGCAAAAGCTTGAAGATGAAGAAAGACAGAAAAAGGAAACTGATGCAAGTCTCAAAATACGTAACTCCCTTACAACCGGTTCATTCGCGCATGTTGTGCTGCTGGAAGCTAAGGAGTTGGAGAACGTGCTCAATATGAGCTCAAAGAAACGAGAATGGACTGAAGATGACGAAGCTATGTTACCGCTTGGATTCGATCGTGAGTATAGGAAAGAATGGTAAAGGATTTGAATTTCTCAGCTAATGCATTCTATCCCTGTTATAGGCTACAAAACCATGTATGCTTTGTCCCACCCATCCGCTACAGAACTTCAGAGTCGAGTCGACAGCTACATCATCAAATTCCAAGCAGCAGAATATGAAAAGGAACGAATTGCAACGGAACAACAAAACAAGATGGATGAAGACGGTTTTGTCATGGTGACAAGACATCATCGACGAGGTACTAATACAGACGGCACAGTTACAGTCACTGCTGCCAAGGCCGATAGACAGGTCAAACCACAGAAAAAGAAGGAGCTTCTTAATTTCTATCGTTTCCAAATGCGCGAACAAAAGCGAGATCAATTGGTCGAACTGCGCAAGAAGTTTGAGGACGATAGGAAAAAGATTGAGCAACTTAAGCAAACTCGCAAGTTTAGACCTTATTAGCATCCAAGCAACATTCTCACTGTAATAATTCTCACTAGCAAAACATATTTCTCTGGCTGTCTATATAAATATACTTGCTGATGGGCAGGGCGCAAATCGATGATGTTTTTGCCACGTTGGTATGACGGGGCTGCCATAGAGAACGTGTTATTCTTGTGGCAGAATGAGCTGATCGGCTACCAGAAAAGCCAAGATCCGCGATAAAATTATCCACTTCTATAAGAGATTTTTGGATAGAAACATCCCTAACCTCCGTTGTCATTTGCCTTCCTCCTTATTTAATCCAACTCCTGTTCATATCCATACATGCCCTCATCCGAGCTTCCATATATAATTGGATCATATCACATAACTTCATGGTATTTCAACGGTATTCATCAGAAAAAGGTTCTAATATCTCCTATTGGATATTTCTGTGTTATCCAATTCCTTGCGATAATATAGTCCGAATCGGTGTGGTTTTCCGCGCAAGGGACAGTATCATCTTCTCAAACAATCATACCAAATTGAAAAGGACCCAACAAAAAAAAATCCGTAAAAATACCATATCTCCTATTCTATTCGTCTTAAACTCTTTTTCTATTATCTTTCTGTTTCTTCATATCATCATCTCATAACCCGCAAATTACCTTTACCAATACGAAATTGGTTCATTTTGTTCACAAAAGCCGCTCAAGGCTCCTAGCTTACGCACAATAACTCCCATACAAGGGCCTTGCTCTCCAAAAGGCGATGGACGTATTGTCCGACATCAACTCAAGCCATGTCCTCGTGCCTGAGCTTGAAAAAGCGGCCTCGAGACGTGCGTACGCCAACTTCCAGTACAGTTGGTCAAAGCGTACCATGCTCGCTTTAGTTGATAGTTCACAGACAACTCAACGATCGTTACAGCGACAACTTAGTCTGTCCGAAAATTCCTCCTGTACGTCCTGTGATTTGAATTCGGAAACTTCCACTGACTGTACAACACCCACTTCAATTGGCCAGATGCCAGAGGACCTTGTGTTTCGGCGTAAGCAATCCATCAAGCGAACATATGCTTTTAATGAGCTGATAGATACCGAACGGGTGTATGTCACCGACCTTCGCGTGATGGTAGAGGTACAGTATAGTACAGTGTGCAGTCACTTTAGAATATATCACACCGAAAAAACAACAAAATCACTTTCGGCTGTTTCGTATTCCCAAACCTTCTTTTTTTCTTACGTTTCAAAATGCACCCCCTTAGACCTACTTCAACGCTATGCAAAAACAATCATGGATAACAACGGAAGACTTACGAATAATTGCCAGAAACATAAAAGATATCCTTGAGGTTCATGTCAGGTTACTGGCGAAATTAGAAGCTTGCTCACAAAATTATCATTGGGAGAACATACATAATCGATATTGTCAACTAGCCGATGTTTTTGTGACTATGGTGCGTACATATACAAACCATGACATTGTTTAGTTTACATCCCTGTAACATGACTTACTTTGCTTAGGGACCCAGTTTCATGGTATATGCTGAATTTTGCGGCTCACACTCAAAGGCAACCAAGATTTGCGCAAACTATCAGGCGCGGCCCGAGTGGATATCCTTTTCAAAAATGTGTCTCCTTGAATCTGATACAGCAACCATGAATGACGAAGCTTCATCCACAGCTTCAGCAAGCACACGTCTTCATTTGGATGACTATCTGATTAAAGTAAGTTTGTTTTCTACTGCTTTCTCCGACAAGATTCCTGATTCTAAAGCCATCCCATCGTAGCCTATACAACGAATATGCCGATATCAACTGTTACTAAAGGAAATATTGAAAAGCACGGATATGGCCTCTTTAGAATATGAAAAGTTGAAACATGCCTATGATATAATGCAAACAATTGTAACATCAGTTGACGAACGGAAGAATCAACGCGATCTAGCGGATCGGTCTCAAGTATTTCTTGATCGACTAGAAGATGACTGGAGACTAGCGAAATCATTTGTGTCGAGTTTAGGAAATATCTCTATGAGCGGCGCACTTGAAGTTACATATGCGGCAGATCGACTATCTGCCACTAAAACACGGTATATGGGCTGCTTTTTGTATTCTACTTATATGATCATTGTAAAAGCAAAAAAGAATAGCATATACGAAGCAAAGCATTGGTTCCCTATCAACATTTTTGAAGTCAGAGATCTTCCAGATACTGAAGGTAAGTCCAGCATCAATAACGGGAAGCCCCTTTTTGGCGTATTTGTTAATCAAAATGTCTTGAAAGGCCTCTCGCTTTCCTCATTTATGCTTGTATCAAATGGACATATGTTTGAATTCTCGGCATCTTGTCAGCAAGAAAAAATATTATGGATGAAATCACTGCGCTCCAACATTTTGTCGTCTCAACTGACCATCGAGGAAGCCATGCGAACGGACGGAATAGGGAAAAGTGTTCCGGTTTCCTTTTACTACAAGTCTTCAAATTCCAGCTTTCCATTGAGGACATCAAAATCACAATCCAGCATAGCTGTCGCTACCAAAAAGGAAGACCCAGACTCGACACCCATCCGCCGATCTAGATCAATAACGGTTCAATGCAGCAAGTCTATCGATAATCTCATTTTTGCAGCTGGATACCATTCTATGTCATTTGGAGCAAAGCCAATTATCAACCCTAGTAGAAGATCTTCTGTTGATCAAATCTTCAGATCTAGATCCATACTGAAACGAAGTGATGATATTGAATCCAACTATACTATAGAGCTATTTTCAACTACACCTAGTCCAACAGAGTCAACTGTTGAACATCAAGATGGTGGGACATTCATATCAGGGAGTACTCTTTTAACCGTGAAAAGGATATCACAACCACGACTAGCTCAGCAATATTCAATCAAGAATGCAATTGATCAGAAATTTCTGGATGTGTGCACGCCGGATTACTTATCGTCAAGAGCCTGGTACACACGAGAAAGGAACGCTGGAGTCACTCTGAAAAAGAGAAAATCATTGCCATTCATTCGACCTTCTTCGTCTGCTATGTCGCTTAGCGCAGTCAATGTAAAGCGCCGCACCAGTGATGTTGGTCATTCCGGAAGACGGAACTCTTTGGACAAGATTATGAAGGTGACTCCTTTAGATGACTATATAGCATTCCAAAAATCTATTGTAAGCCAACGAACAGAAGCAGCTCGACGGCCATCTTTAACCAGCCAAGCGATCAGAAATAGTTGGTCGAAAGGTAGTGGATCTAGCAGAAGCAAGGCTGATGCAGCCAATATACACAAGAATAGGGGAAATTCTGGTATAGCTGACGGTGAAGATGAAGAAGATGAGGACGTCGTTGCACCATGGGAACAGACAAAGCCAGCCGTGATAGGAAGCGAAGAAAGGAATACATATTTCCAAGCTGATTTACCAAAGAATGCAGTTTTGGCAAGTGAGAAGCTGGTTTTAAGTCCTTCTAAACAGTGTTTAGGAAACCTTGGTATAGCGTCTGGGTTTGCGCATAACCAAGAGCGTGATCCTGAGATTACTAAATCAGACGGACGGCGCATCTCTCAAACATTGAACTTTTGCAAGGTGAGTGAGAGTCGTTATAATGTATAACGGATCGGAAATCAAGTTATTGACATACTTAATGCAGCCAAAGAGAGCCATATCCGCACCACCCATTTCTCCAAAGACAACGCGAGCGCAACGTTCGCAACGGTCGACTTCTCTACTGGTTCCTAAAAGCATCAACCCTGTACCGTTATCTGAGGTCCCACATCCAACAATGAAGCGCGCGTCGCTGCCTCCTCCACTGGGACGTACCATAGAGATCTCACAACCAACTTCTTTTGCTTACTCCTCTACTCCTCCATCTACTCCTAAATCCGCATTTTTTGATTCTTTCAAACTCAAGCAAATCCTTTGGTGGAAATGATTATAAAGCTACTCAAAACACAATTATGAAAAAGAAACATTTGGATTAGAGCAACTGAAGGTGGAAAAGGAAGATCAACTCTCACTAATTCATGCATGCATGCAATTTGTATCATCTGAGATATAGAATGAAATCATCATAAAAAAAGACTTCCTATCATTTCTCACCATTTTATCATCTTGAATGGAAAATATCTGAGCTTTTTAGCGTCATCTTCCTATAGTTATGCTCGTTAAGTTCAATCGAAAACTATGAAAATGGGTAATTGGTTCAACCTGGGGATGTTTAAAAAGGTTTCGTTCACCGTCGTGTAAAATGATCTTGTGCTGCCCTTCAACTGATATGCATGAGGTATGATTTTTACCATTAGTGTATTCCTACTTACTGTCAGCGCATTTGCATCGAAACAGTTAAAGTAAATAGTCCAGATTTGGCGGAACTGACATCAAGTGATATATTCCATAGACTTCTTGACCTTTGTGTTCAAGATGTTGTGTTCGGTGCGGGGATATGTATTGTACAACAACAGAGAAAAGGCTCTCAGGATACCGTGGGGTTACATTGTAAGAACATATCACTTTAATTTAGATGTGTTATCCACAGAAAGCTGCTTAATTAATCGCGTATCCACAGAAAGGAAGAATGACTGCGTATCCACAGAAAGGAAGAATGACTAATTTAGTCACTTTAAAGAGCAAGTCTTACAGCAGCAGCAGTAACTATAGTTGCCTTGCCTAAATTGTTGGAAAAAATCAGTCTGAAATTTAACAGAAAGAAGATAATGCTATCAGCAGTCCAACTGACAGTTGTATATCAAAGGTAGAAGAAGTTTGGTTTTTACATATACGCTCGTAGCTACTAATGTCGTGTATTTAGCAAGTGTTGCTTTAATCAGTGCAAGCAATAATAAAAGCAGTGTCCATTTGAATGATGTAGCTTTGAAAAATAGTAATAGTACCGGCAAGAGTATGGCACAAACTCAATTATCAAGTGCGCTTCTAGCAATTCAATGCATATGATCCAGCTGGCAATTATTTTTGAGATCAGCAAAGGCTACATAGTGAGAACAGCCTTCTAGCTCACGTTGAAATTTGAGAAATGACTGAAATTTAGAAAAGAGAAGAGCGAATTTTGAAGCAATACGGTAGCACCATCAGCAGACCGTTTAGGGTATTGCACTCAGTTATTCACTGCTTTTTTGGTGTTATTTTCGAGTGTTATTTCATATATATGTCCTTGGATGGATTCTGCCGAGACTACAGCTAAATCATAAACATCAGCCCTTGCTTTGATATTATTATCTTTACGTAAGTTGGAATTTTAAACTTAATACTCTTCCCTTAGTGGTCTAGTTGACACTGAGATATGATAATTTCATGTTCATCAACATCGGTAAGTACTGGAGCAGTAGTATGGCGACTAAGAAATGCGGCTTGAGCTGAGGTTATCGACCATCATTAATTCGCCGTTGAACAGGAATTGATGGAGAGGAGTTGATGGTGCTGTAGGGATACTAATTTCAAACCATTGCCTTGATTTACATAAAGAAGTAACATAATATAGAACTAGAAGTTCAAGGGTACGCAGGGTAGAAAAAAACAAAGTCGTTGTCTTTCTATGTAGCATGCTACAAGGTTCACTACACATATATATGTAGTTTATATTACCCCGCTTGAGTCTTCAGATTTTCAGAATCTTCTCAGTTTTTAATTTAACAAGCACCACAAGTAGCCTTAAGTCCCTTGGAAATATTTTCAATGGTGTCGCAAAGTTTGAACGAAAGTACGAAATTCATATTTCGAAACTCTGTGTTCCAAGGAGCAGGGACCCCCGGAAGAGCACCGTAGGAAGAAGTAGATCCGCGGTACGCATATTAGACGTTTTGGAGTTTAGCAGTGGCCCAAAGGTTAGCGAGGTGTGGTGTTCATCGCTGTCTTGAAGCAGGAAAAATGCCCATCGCTCCATTAATGGTTTATTTCTGTCAGCTCTTTTAATCAAAAACGTACAGTACGAGACATGTTATCCAGATTGGGATGAGATCGGAAATCAAGTGATGTCTCCATTGAGTTCCCAAACTTTGTGTTCATTCTGTGAGGCTCAGTATTGGGAATACAATGTGTGCCAACAACAGAGCTACCAAACAGCTTGTTACCAATCGCGGAGCTTCAGATGAGCGGAAATGATATTCAAAACAAACATAGGCGATGGACATCAGTCCATTATATATCACAGGTTAGCGATGGTCAACCTCGTATGCTATGTTGACAGTATTCCTGGAGTCTAAATGCAAGTTTGATCATGTAAGAGTCAAGATGTATGATCGATCTTTGTGTCAGGAAATTTAATACTTTTTTTGTTAAACTGACAAAGATTCAATCAATTGTGCTTGATATGAACCTATTTCTCACTTTCTTAACCATGATGTATAAACAGATGCGGCACATGATAATTAGCATACTAGGTGCATCTCTAATAGTCATTGCTCAAAGACGCATGTTTGGAACATAACAATATCAGGCGTTTATTTTATCATGTAATAGGAGAAAGAAGATAAATTTGAACATGTACGCCTATTCTGATAATTCACTGCATTTAGCAAGTGAATCCATAAGCCGAGCAAGCAGCGGTAAAAGCGGCGTTAATTTGAGTGATGTAACCTTGAGCGGTAGCAGTTTGGTCAGCAGGAGTGTGGTTCAACAAGCAGGTATCAAGAGAGGCAGTCAATGGCTGGAGACGTTGAAGATCAGCCTTGACCAAAGGAGTCACAAGTAGAACAGAATCGAAGACGGATTTCTTGTTAACGATAGCTTGGAGAGCTGCTTGAACTTGGGGAACGAGGAGAGCAACTTCTGCGAACACAGCAGTAGCATCGTCATCAGAAACAGTTCCAGTAATGGCATTGCAATCAGTGGTTGCCTGCTTGATATCGGTTTCCAGAGTACCTTCGTCGGCGTTGATCTTGAGAGCTCCAGTGTAGCCCTGGGAGGCAGTGTATCCATTGACCTATTGTTTTGTGTTAATTTTGCATCACAAAACTCACAAACTATGGTTTATAGAATCTTACCTCAGTGGTCAATTTCTCAAGCTGGGTTACGATGGTCTGAAGGTCAGTGATCTCAGTAGCTACTGGAGCAGTAACACGTTTGTTGATGACTGCAGCTTGAGCTGAAATGAAGATATGTCAGATTTTGAAGGAAGGGGGCAGGATAGAGAAAAGCCCATTTTGAAAGCCTTAAGTTTATGACAAGTATTTACATACCAAAGGTAGCAGCGAGTGCAATTGAGAGAAGTCCTAGAGTGCGCATGATAGTTCAGATATGATCTTGATACTGTCAATAATTTATCTAATCGGGGGTCTTATTTATACTTCTTCAGATCGGTTTCTCGCTGTCTCCATCCATCCTCTAGCCATTGAAGCCTTTCATCTCACAAACACAAGCTGAAATTAATTAATTCATTTGACTCATTGCATCTTCCTCATTTGATATCGAAGCATTGTTTGGTTCATCGTATGGGAGCCACATGATGTCCAAAAGGTACCCCACCCGTCCGTAACAACCGGCAGTTTCAGGAAATGAATGCAAAGTTCCCAAAGGCCAATTCGTACAACCACATGCTTTTCGTGAAGATCAACACGAATGCAGTTATGTAACTGTTCAGTCCGAGGCAACAAGGCTCAAAGGGGACCGCGAGATGCAACAATGGTAACGACGATTTCAACAAAGGAAACAAAATGTACCTAATTTGGAATCAGGTAGTACATTTTGCCGGTGTGTGTGGGTAAGACAACTAGCTGACTGCTCGGATTTACTGTACGCAAGGTCATCGTAGCATGAGAATACAAGTGCCCGTACATGTCGCTCAGCATACAAGTTAATTATAGAAAGGTTTGAAATGGATCGATCTCTTAAAGATTTTTTTCATCTAGCTTCAGAAACAAAGTTCTCTTATATTTTTTATTTTGGCTGGTAGGAGACTATCTTGCATTTACATATTCGTCCAATTTAGAATCAAAGATTAAGTAGAATCAGGCAAGTGGAGGACCCTCCCGAATAAATGCAGCTAAACAATCTCGCAACGTGGCAGAAGAAGAAAAGAAAACGCGTACGAAACAGCGACAAGCGCAATGGCAAACTTTGCATGCACTTTAGCCATTATGTCTCTGAGTCCATGTACATGAACACAAGACGTAACCCAAAAAGTTCTGGGAAGTTTTTAAATCCGCGACCCAGTCTTTCTCCCGGATGACCTGCCATAAAACATCCTAGATGCCGATGAATTCTCTAACCATAAGTTATACCGCTTAATACTGTTATGGTGCTTCTCCTTTATAAACTTAGACTGCAAAATAGCAAATTGTAAAAACGATCCTTCATAAAGCTGCTTGCTTTTCTTTTTCAGTGAAAATTCTTCCTGTTGGTACTGGGTCACTCATCATTCAGCACCGCCGGTAAAGACCGCGGGGATAGTAGTTCTCACGTATGGCCTACGAGTTTTCTCAGGGACAAAGCATTGAAAGCATATGCAAATGAAAAAAAAAATTGAAAATGGCTTTTCCGGAAGGTACCAGGAACTCAAAATGTAGCGCGAGTGAAGTAACAAGCTCGCTGTGTTATTTCAAATGGTAGGTTTGGAGTCAAGCAACCCGCTTTTTGCACTACGTTGGGCAGCTGTACAATGTTTGTACTGCAGTGAAATTCCAGAAACAGGATTAAAGTTGAGCCTGCGCATATTCGCTCTGTTGCTGCATTTGGGTGTACCATGGGGAGCACACACCGGCCTCCTTCCTGCCTTCTTTTGAACTTGCTTTCCTACTGCGTCTGTTTACTCCAAGTCACAAAGCCTTCTTTTTTGTTTGAAGCTACTATATATGCTATGAATAGCCTTGGTCATCGTCAATAAGTCTGTAAATGTTCTATTCTAGCCTTCCTAACGGTTACACAGTGCACGTCCTACAGTCCCACAAGTCGGATTCTAGTACAATAAACTCACAGCCACCATCCCTACCCCGCACATCGGACTAGAACTTCGAAATCGGTTTGCCTTGATCCTTCCAATACAGCTTCTATCCATAGCTTTTCGTGCTAAAACAAAAGCGCTTGAATTATAAATTATTAAGAACGATATTGTTTCACTAAATTGCTCAGGCTTTATTGGAAGATGACAGTAGAAAAGAGATTCTGCCTAGTCTTGTCAAAAACGTAAGGTTAAGATGGGTACCACACAGTACACAGGTTATCCAAATTGTTTTCCCTCTGTCAGTTTTTTTAGATCAAATAAAGATGCTAACAGCAATATGATCCGGATTAGGATGGAATACCAAGGTTCAGGGATTTACAGAGTGACTTCGAGGTGTCCATGTTCCTGATTCCCAGTTTGGGTACACGATTGTCCAAAAGCGTCACTGAAGCAGCTCTCAGAAGCACACTGAATTCGAATCAGGTGCAATTCTCTGGCTCTGGTGCTGTTGAACTCAGTTGTGACACCAGGCAGACGTTGCAGACAGTTGCAAATTATGATTGAAATAAATGTGTGCAGAGTCATCTACTACGGCAGCTCTTCTTTCCAGCTTAAACGTTTTTTTTCTCTCGTTGCTTTCTGTTTAGTCCTTCTTTTTCATTCATTCATTCATTCATTACGAACAAGTGGTCTTGTCTTCCGGAATCTACGTTTAAAAGAAAAAAATGTCGGACGCCGCTTCAGACACTCAAATCCGTCAGGCTCATGGCGTACACGACCACGATCAGTCGTCCATAGCCAGCTACGATGAAAAACCACATCGTCAAAGTAAATATCGAGAATACATGAATCCCAGACGCAGAAAGTACTGGTACCTCTGCATTCCTGTTACAATTGTCATTGTCATTGTGGTTGTCGTGCTGGCTCTGTTCGTCGCCTTCCCTGCAATCGCACAAAACACTATTAATGGTAGCAGCATCAACATCCAGAATGCTGACATCACCTTTGGTAGCACCGGTTCTGTTAGCAAACGCGATGTTACTGATGGAAACTCAACCTTCAATTTGGATATGAAGAGCAGCCTTTCTAATACTGGACCTTTCTCGGCGACAATTACTTTTGATACCATTGATGTTTATTATAATGACACCATCTTGGTGAGTATAAAATTTCAATCTACATATTTTATATTTAGGAAAAAAAATCTGTACTGATCTTTGCTTTTTTTTTTTTTGTTTTATCTTTCCATTCCACTTTACCGTGTATGCACATATGTTTTATCTAGCTTGGATCCATGAACCTTCCAACTGCACACGTTAGCGGAGGCCATGGAGAACTGGACGCTAACACTGTGTTCACCGTAGCAAACCAAACAGATTTTGGAAACTTTGCCAAAGACATGCTGGCAGTCGATAGGTAGGATTATATAACATACCAGTCATCTCACCTACAGATTTTTGTGCTTATATTTTATTGTGTCAGCTTCAAATGGACGCTCAAAGGAGGTGCCTCAATCAGCGCACTCTCACGCACAGCTCACGTAAATTTAAACAAGGAAATCACACTGTTTGGTAATTATGCCATTTTCAATGTCAATACTATTTGATAACATGCACCGCTAACCCATTTGATTTATCAGGTATGGGTGGCTTCCCCAATGTTACTATTACTTCTTTCAATCTTCCCTATAATGATCCTGCTGGTGGTATCCATATGACCCTCGGAACCGTTCTTGTTAATCCTTCTCCTATTGGTGTCCAACTTGGTACCATCCACATGTCTGTCGGATATCAAGGCGTCTATCTAGGTGATGTTACAGCTACTAATGTAACTCTTGTGAATGGACCGAACACTTTGAACTTCGAAGGCCGTATGGTTCCCCTCACCAACCCGAATGATCTTGCTATTGTTAGCGTTTTATTCTCTAACTATCTTGCTGGAATACCCTCTAATACCACTGCAACTGGCGTGTCTGCTGCTCCTGACGGTGTTCATGCTGTCTCTTGGTTATCTCAAGGTCTTGAATCTGTTCAGCTGGATGTTAGTCTTGCTCCTAATTCTGCCCTCCAGATCATCACTGGCGTCACCATGGGTGATTTGGATCTAGTATTCACTAACGCCACTGCATACTCTCCTGCTACCAGTGCGCCTAATGTCACAGCCAACTTTGTGATGCCCTTTGGCTTTTCCATTAATATTACCGAGGTTACCCAAAATATTACCCTTGGAACTCCCACCACTGGCCCTATTGCCAATTTGAACTCTGGTTACGTTCAATCCACTAGCAACCAAACCACTGGTACTCTGGCTTTTGCTCTCAACCAAGCTCCTCTGATGGTCATTCCTGGAATGGAGACGGCATTCAATGATTTCAATGCCAATCTTACTCGTTTGGGCTTGTTCAACTTCACTATTGCTGGAAATGCCACCATTGGAGCTCAAACTCCTATTGGTACTGTGCGACTCAGTAACATTCCATTCAATACCACTACATCTTTGAATGGTCTTCAAAATCTCAATACTACTAGCACTATTATCAACAGCATTGATGTTACTGGTGGTACTACTGATGGTCTCCAACTGGCTATCTCTGTTGGCATGGAAAACCCATCTAACTTGCAAATTGCCACGGGCGATGTTACTTTCTTGATGAATGCCGGTGATACTCAAGTGGGCACTGTTACTTTGCCTAACTTGAATCTTACCAGAGGTCCAAACACTGTTATGGCTGTTGGTGCTTTTAATCCCGCCGGATCGGATGCAGGCCAGCAATTGCTCACTACTTTCATCGAAGGTAAACAAAACACTGTCGGCATTAACGGTTACAACGGTACAACCATTGTTGCCTCTCTTCAGGAAGGTCTTGAAGGCATCATTCTATCATCCATCATGCCAGGCTTGAACGCCACAATTGTACAAGGAGCCAGCCTTAGCATCTTGGACGATACCCTTACCACCGGTTACGCCACCACCTTCGTCACTATTGCTAATCCATTCACTGCTGGTATGAGCATTACTCATGTTATTTCCGCTGTTACTTACTCCGGTATGCCTGTTGGCAACATTGACTCCGATCTCGGAAGCAATCCCATCGTTGCAGGAGGTCATTCAAGTGCTACCTCTGGAGGAATTCCATTGAAGATGAACTTGGAGCCGGCCGCTGTGGCCTTGCTTCTTAGAGCCAACGCTGTATCTGCTGGAATTGATGTTCAACCATTGGACGCTTTGTTGACTATGGGAGGTTTCGACATTCCAGGACAGCAGCAAGTTAGCGCATCCGCTGAAGTATTCAATGGTTTCAACGTTGTAGATTTTGTTACCAAGGCTCTGGCTAACCTTCACGTTGACTTGCAATTGGTATCCACTGTTGTGATTGGTCAATACACGGACGATTTATCATTTGTTCAAAACAATATCGCATGTAAAACAGACTCTACTGTTTCCAAACTCATCCCTATTGTCGGTCAGCCTATTGTGCAATCCATTGTCAACTCGGCTGTTCTCTCATTCGACAGTATCATTCTCTCTAGTCCCACGAACAGTAACTTCCAAGTTCAAATGAATGGTAAACTCACCGGTACTGGTCCTTTCTCTGCCACCATTTCTTTCCCTACTCCACTCAGCGTTGCCTGGGAAGGAAGAACTCTTGGTACTGTCAGCATGTCCAACATCCAAACTCAGCCTGACACAGGTGCTACCTTCAGCGTTACTGGTACTTTCAGTATTACTGATAATGGTGCCATGGGTGACTTTGCTGCATACATGTTGAACAACAATGATTTCAGCTGGGAGATTACTGGAAATTCTGTATCTGTCACCGCTCTGGGTTATACTTTTACCGGCTTGTCCATGGTCAAGGATGTCTCGCTCACTGGTATGCAAAGCTTTAAGGACGATGTCACCATTACTGCCTTCAATTTGCCTGCCAATGACCCTAACGGTGGAATTGTACTGGATGTTACTACTGCTATCAAGAACCCCAGTACTGTTGGTGTCGATCTCTCTGGTATTGCTTTTGAATCTTACTTGGGCAGTGTTGATCTTGGTCCTCTTTCTTCAGTTGGCGGTGCCAACTTCCCACCCAATGGCCAGTCCAGTGTCAATTTAACTGGCAGTTTGCAATCTCAGTCATCATCACAAGGATTGAGCGCTATTCAGACCTTGTTCACCAACTTTTTGTCTGGTAAAGCAACCTCCCTCACTGTGAAAGGAAAATCTGCATCCGGTCCATCCGGTCAAGTTGACTGGCTTACCCGTGCATTCGAAAGTTTGACCATTGATAATGTTGAACTACCTGGTTCCTCTGGAAACCTGTCATTGATCCCTGCTATTACTCTGAAAGACTTGTCTCTTGACTTCACCAAGGGTGCTTACTCACCTTTGTCTTCTTCTAATGATATCGAAGCTACTCTTCAGTCACCATTCGGATTTCCCTTGGATGTTACCAGCTTATCTCAAACCTTGGCTGTTAAAGTGGGTGGCATGACAATCGCTAATCTCAATATTCCTGAAAACCCAGCTACCACTACTGGAACTACAGTTAAAACTGGATACACGGACGTCACTTTTGCTGTTCCTTCAGATGCTCATGACGTCTTCAACCAATTCACTAAGGCTCTTACTTTGACTGGAAATAATACCTTTGAACTATCTGGTGTTGTTAACGCTCACACAGGTACCAATGCTGGAGCTATCCAGCTTGGTTCCATTCCATTCGATGTTCAAACTTCATTGATGGGTATGTATACTTCGTGTTTGCTCCCTAGGTCCGTTGAAATCATGTACACTGACATATATATTTTGATTTTATTTAGGCTTCAATAACTTTGGAGGTGTTGTCACAATTAATAGCATCTCCATCATTGGTGCTACTGCAAACTACGTTGACACCAAGCTTTCTGTCACTTTGAACAGCCCATCGCCTATTACTATCTCAGTTGGTGATGTTACTCTTCGAGTCATCTATAATGGTTACGATATTGGTCCGGCTATTATTAAAGACCTGGTAGTCAAAAACGGAGCGAACACTTACGATGCTGACTTCCAGCTAACTCCAACCGCTGATACCCAGCAACAAGTGGTTCTTGCCTCGGTACTGTCTGGCTATTTAATGCACCAAACATTCCAAATGCAAGTTACGGGTACAAGCGAATCAACATCCGTGGATTCTTTGAAAGATGGCTTTGCTGGCATATCTCTGGCTACCTCTTTGACAGGCATTGAACCTACACTTATTGTTGGCGCTGCCATCTATACTCTCGATGGATGTGGCGAGACTGTGTGCATGGGTACTACGTTTACTCTCCAAAATAGTATTGATACCGATTTTGCCATTGAGTCACTTCAAGCTGCCGTCTACTTTATGTCAGCCGACCTGAACATCACAACTCCTACGCAAATAGGAAGCGTTCAATATACATTTGATCCAGTCCTCTCCATTCCTGCCAGAGGTCAAGTAACATCTACACAAGTACCAATTGCATTCGATCTCGACGCTATGGATTTATTGGGACCACTAGTTAACTTGCTGACCGCTCCTCCGTTCGGTTTTTATGTCAACGTTGCCCAAACTGCTGTTATAACAGTTGGTTCAGGCGGACCTTTCCACGGTGCTCTTCAATACTCGCAGAACAATGTCTGGACCAGTAGTATTCCATTGGCCCAATCTATCGGAATCGATACCTCTGGATATGGCACGTTACCCAATGTCACTACGCCTAATGTCCTCAGTGCCAATGCATCTTCCAGTGTTGTCAGCTCTTCAATTCCCGTTTCTACTGCCTCTGCTCCTATTTCTACTGCCTCTACTCCTGTATCTACTACTACTTCTTCTGTTGTTGATACAACATCTGATACTACCACAGCTACACCTGCAGTGACTACAACAGATACTACCACCACAACTGACAGTAACACCCCTACTACTACTACCGATTTGAGTACCCCTACTTCTACAACTGATGACGCTACCGTCACAGATTAGTTTTGGTTGAATGAATTATATGCTTTAATACTCTAATAAATTATGCGCTCTAACGCTTTGGTTGCCGTCATTAATATTATTGCTCACTTAAATTGGGGATAAACATTAGTATTTAATGGAAAAACTGCTATTCTTCTTGACAGAGTGGTTTTTCTTCCGAAATCCTCTGAACGGTGTGCAGAGGAACTTTTTTCGGATATTGAAATTCTTGATGTCATACTGTAAATTGAGGCCAGCCAAAATCACTTTGTGCTCATAACCACTTCGTTTCCCCATCTCGAAGCATGTTTTCCCAAGCTGAACTTTCTAAATATGCTGAAATCTTTCAAGCTCAAGGACAAGTCAATGGATTCCTTCCTGGTAAGAACACTTTCGCACCTTTACTCTCATCGCCTTATTCTCATCACATTACCCCACTTTCATCATCCAAGGTGCGACGGCAAGGACCATGTTCTTAAACTCCGGATTGCCAGTTAACAAGCTTGAAAAAATATGGTAAAGTCATATAGTGCATGCTTCCGTCGCTAACTATGGCTTCTAACCGGGATTATTGATAGGGATTTGTCTGATATGGATAACGATGGGCAGCTTGATTTCGACGAATTCTGTGTGGCCATGCATCTTACCTACGATTCCCTCAACGGCGGCAATCCTCCATCAAGCTTACCAGCGCAACTGATACCAAATAGCAAAAGACACCTTGTCGGTAGCAGTGTCACGCCACAAATGACCGGATACCAACAACCTCAGCAAACTGGATACCAGATGGGATTCCAACAACCTCAGCCTACTGGGTTCCAAAACCCACAATCGACCGGTTATCAGCAACCACAACCAACAGGCTACCAACAACAGCAGTACACCGGAGTGCCATCGCAGTACACCGGGTTCTCCACTCAGCAGCAGAAAGAATTCGATTGGGGTATTACACCACAAGACTTGAACACCTATGGCAATATATATAATAAGTACGCCAATGCGTCTGGAAAAGTACGATGTAAGGATTGCGAGCAGTGACACTGGGTACAATAGGTTGTGGCAACCAAAATACTAATGTGGATTTGATCGTACACATAGTTTCGCAGATGGAGGATTTCTACTCGACACTTCCGGTCACGCGACAAGACCTTTCATCCGCATGGTGAGTGCCAGGATGAGCAACCAATTGAAGAAACATCCACAGTAATATGATGAGAAACTAAAATTTGGCTCTTCATAGGTCTCTTGTTGATGTCAACCACGCACAAGCTCTTACTCGAGATCAATGTTTGGTCTACTTCCACGTTTTGAACGAGAGAAGTCGCGGAGCAAGAATCCCGTCGGAACTTCCTCAAGATTTGAAATCTGCATTTGCTGGGGAATATGCTGCGGATTTGGGTGATCGTCCTGGGTCAGGAACCGGTGCACGAAAGGGAAACAGTACCTCCATGTCTAAATCTGCGCAATTGGCCGATAGCTACGTAAATCGTCTAGGTGTGGCCAGCACAACCTTAAGTTCCAAAGGTGAGCCAGTTGACTCATCCTTTTTCATGTTAGGCAGGCTTGGATATTCACTTAAATCTCTTTTATTAGGATCGACTGTGCGAGGAGGAAAGTATGATGAAGAAGATTTGTTGAAGAGAGAGTTGGCTGAATTGCAAGACAAGGTCAGAGAGGCGGAAGAAAACGCAAAGCGATCAAATGATTCTGGAGTGGCATTTTCAGCCAGACCCTTGAAGGAACAATTCCAAGCTTTGTACGATTACAAATTGAGACAACTAACTGAAAAGTCTGACCTTGAAGAGAAGACCAGAAAGCAAGAACGCGATATTGAGACTGCACGCGATGCTGTCCGTCGTCTTTCACGAATAGTCGACGAAGTACGAGACCGCAAACGAGAGCTAGAAACTCTATTGGAAGAAAGACGATACGAACTTCAGAAGACTCAGCGATTGATAGATACTGAACGCTTGTAATACCACAACCGAACCCATAAATGCGTTCTTCCGTTAATTCACTCCTTTTTTTTGGGTAGATGCGATCCTTTCGATCGGATTAAGACATATTCGAGTCTTTTAATAAATCGGCAATGTCAGCCCAGTCAACTGTATGGTATAAAGTGTGTCTATCTTGCTTGTTTTCTATGGATTGAACTTGCTTTGCGTCCTTCAATTCTATACCTATCTGCTTGCATGTGTTGATCAACGAAGTATTGGTCCCAAACACAATACCAATGTCGGCATTCACTGTTAAGGCGGACTTGTCAGTATCTCAACCGATGATGAGATCAAGTTGATGAACGTATTACAAACCTAAACATGGTAAATCGGTCTCGGAATCGCCAATGTATATCGAATATGGCCAGGTATTTGCGTTCTGAATTTGGCGAAATATTTTGAGTTTATCATCGGCCGTGACAATGGACGGTATGATTTGACCGGTGGATATGCCTTCATTGAATACCAAGTCGTTGGATAGGATGGCGGAAGGGAGTAAAGGCAAAGGCTTGAGTGCACCGAGTATCCAGTCTTTCGACCAATTGACAGAGAGAATAAACACGTTCTCAATATTGGAGAGTAATACTTGCTGAGCATGATCACGCACTTGTACCAGTTCCTTTGCACCAGCCTGTATCTCCTCTTTTGTCAAGCGCGCAAATACGCCAGCTTTTGAAACTCGGTCCAAAGACGCCAGTTCCACAGGCTTTAAGGAAGCCAGCTGTTCGGTTTTGTCTTCAAGCGAGGTTATCTGGCGGGCGGCGTTAGCTGACTTGAGCCGACCGTAATCTTTCATGTAGGCGGTGGTGAAATGGGACCATGGCGGGATGTCGGTTGGTAGATTTCGGGCGTATGAGAAATGAGCGAGTATGGAAATAGTATCTTTGATGGTTATGGTTTCGTCAAAGTCAACGACTATGAGTGGTCGACAAGATATTGCATATTTGACACCTGTACGGGAAAACATTTGGATCTGGTTGGGAAAAGGAGTACACACCGCACGTGTACAGGAATACACTGGCATAATTTGATGACATCGAAACCATGCAATCTATTTTACTGCACGATGGTGCCCGTACCAGCTTTGTGGTTTATCTGTCGGTCAAATACAATGTTACCTTGCAGATGCCGGTGCGACGTCTATTCGTCAGGGAGGTCTGCACGTGTGGAAAACCGGTAAATCTTGGAAGCGATAATTTGGCCTGAAGAAGGATGGTTATGCCCTCTTTAAAAAGCGTAGCCTTATATAAACAGATCTCTCTTTTTCTTTTATTTACTTCTTACGCCAGTCAAGGTCTTTTCTCTCCTTTCCCTCATGACCCCCATCCTCTTAAGCACTCTTGTGCTGCTAGTGTTCTCGTTGTGCGTCAACTCGGCTCAGCTTAAAGGCGGGCCTGGTGCACAATGGGACTATGACCAATACAATGTCGGTGATTGGAATCGTACCTATGGTATCACCGAACCTCAACAAATTCATATCTCTATTTCTTCTCAAGCTGAATATGCAAAGGTTCAATTCGCTACTCAAGGCGAAGTCCACACTGCAATCCTAAATTATTGGCCAAAATCTTCCCCTCACAAATCTATTGTCATCGAAGGGGGTGAGGTATGTAAAAATAATATCAATTGAGCAATGTTGTAGATTCTTCCTTGGTTGTTAACCATAAAAATGTACCCTCCTTCCATCTAGAACTGGGCTTTCGTTGATAATGGCACTGCTCATCATACCATTTACTTGCACAATCTCCAAACTCTAAAACTGAAGCCTGCTACTGTCTTTCAATACAAGGTTGGCACAAAGGACAGCCATGGAAAAGTGACATGGAGTAAGGGAGAATTCGAATTCCACACTGCTAGACGAGGAAACACCGTCAATTTTGTTGCTACCGCCGATCTTGGACTTGTCAACGCTGTAGCTATGCCCGCATTGCAGAGACTGGCAAAGAGTCACAAGTACGATTTCCTGACACTTTCCGGCGATCAGGTAAGTTTCACATCTATATGGTACATTTTTTGGGAATTGAATACTAAAAATCTATTCCTTACTGCTTTTACCTACATGGTCATTAGGCCTACGATATGGCTGACTTCAATGGCACAAAGGGTGACGAGTACATGCGATTCGCTGAAAACTTGTTTGCCAATATCCCATTCATGGGTGCTGTCGGTAATCACGAAAATGCTTACAATTTCTCTCATTGGAAAAATCGGTAAGAGAAGCACTGTATACGAAGCTATCAAAGATCTGGTGCAATGCAGATCAATCACCTAACTAACCCCTTTTTTCTATCCCCTACAAGTTTCAACAACGTACCTTTCCAAAAGTCCGGTTTCAGTAACCCAATGCAATACTCTTATGATTACAAGTCTTTGCACATTGTGGCGTGGTCCAGCGAGGGTGCCTTTGAAGGTTCCACCAATGAAATTCTGACCTCCCTCAATTGGCTAGAAAACGACCTCAAGGAAGCCAACCGTAACCGCAAAGTGCGTCCTTGGATCATTGTTTTGGGCCATCGCCCCATGTATTGCACATCCTTCTCTTCTCCAACCGACGGCACCTGCATTACTGAAACACAAACAATCCGAGAGGGACTTGTAGATCCTGCCACCAACACTCGCCAGCATGGCGTTGAGGCTCTTTTGAAAAAGTACAAGGTCGACATCTACCTTTGTGGTCACAGACACAACTTTGAAAGAACATACCCTGTTTACAACGGACAGGTCACCTCCAAGAGTTATCACAATGCACCTAGTACCTTCCAATACCTCGTCGGTAACAGTGGTAACTATGAATTGACCATCCCGTTCAATACCACCGGTCCATTCCCTGCCTGGAGTGCTAGTCGCTACAGCGGTTACGGTTTCTCCACTGTCAAGGCCACTCAACATTCTCTTGAACTCACTCATTACGGAGTGGACAACAATGGAACTCACGAGCGCGTAATTGATCACGTTGTAGTTACCAAGGATTAGTTGAAGTAAAACGTTTAATTGTAATACATATGTCACAAACAGACGATGTGAGCATCGTGTAGTTTATCAACGTTACAATAGGGGAAAAAAAAAAGAAAAAGTAGAAGACAAATTTACAAATACAGTAGCGTGATAAGAACTACGTGCGGATCATGCCGGAATTTAGTAGTGTTTGGATGTATCATAAAATGAAGAAGTACACCAGCCCATCCATCAGTTTAGAGGAAATAGTCTGGTGCTCGTTTCCGAAGTCCTGCTCCCCGCGCTTCCACACCAACAGCAGCATCAAATATTTTGTAATTGGATTCCAAGTTATCGTTTAGCTCCAATATCGCTGCTACATTGCCGCACCTACAATTGCAATGTCCCAGCAGTGTTAGTAGTAGGATAAGTCAGATGCGCGCAAATATTGTTCTTACCGGTAGCAGTAATTTGGTGCGGACCATACAGTGACAATGGTGTCGTTGAACAAAAGTTTGTAACCTTCCATGACGAGCTGATGGGCACGTGCTATGAGGTTGAGGTCATTATTGTGTAGAAACTATGGTAGAGAAAGAGGTTTAGTCCAGGATGCCAGATAATATATGTGGGGAAAGAGCAAAATTAACTCACACTTTGAACAACATCACCACCAAACAGATATCCAGCTCCTCTTGGGCTCAATCCCCAGCCTTCGATATCTAAAATAAACAAAAAGGTATGAGCATGGCAAATAAAGCTTGCGTGAGATTGTTTTTTTTTGTCTATGTGTGCACATACCATCTGGGTCTGACCAGAGGAGATCACACATAGCACCATCATGTGGTACTTCTAGCTTTCGATCGATGCTGCGAATCTGTAGAATGCCAATATAAACATAGGTGAGCAACTTAAATAGCTTCAAGTAACTTTTCCACGTCGCTCCCCCTTACCTGATCAATGGTGTTGATACTGGGAGATAAGCCGCCGTGAACGCAGAATATTTTGTTATCGATGATAGCACTCAAAGCAAGGTGATCGAAGACCTCACAACAATATCGCCAGACATTAACTGAACCGTATTTTCGTAGACATTCATCATAAAATCCATACACTTGTGTAATTTGTCTACTTTCGTGATTGCCGCGAATAAGAGTGATGCGGTCGGGATATCGAACCTTGAGGGCGAGTAAAAGTAAGAATGTTTCGACAGAATAAAACCCTCGGTCTACAAAATCGCCTGCAAAAAAAAAACCGAGTTCATTCAGTACCGCAGTGTTGAACCCAATGCTCTCATCAAAGGTAGTAATCGTACCCATGAACAAATAGTTCGTATCTGGACATTCACCACCGACTTTAAACAGTTCCTTGAGGTCATAAAACTGGCCTAAAAGGAGAAGTGAAACACGGTTCAGAACACATTGTCCCAGTGGATGATATCGCATTTCGATAAGGACGTACCGTGAATGTCACCGCATATCTGATGGATCAAGTAAATAGATGTAGAGAGAAGAATCACGATCAGTTAGACAATCTTAATTTCAAAAAACACTGTACCTAGTCAGGTTCTGTGAAGTAGAGTGTCACTTACCGTCACTGGGGCGTCAATCTTTTGGACATTGCTCTCTTCTGCGAGAATCTCTCTTGCCTTTTGGCACAACGTTTTCACCTCATTCTCAGTAATGATCTCGCATTGCCTCAGCTGCTCGATTTGTCTTATCGGAAGTCCAAAGTCTTAGCATCGTACACAGTGCAAGTGGCAATGTCTAATCGCCTTACCTGTCAAGATCGCTGCTACCCATAACGTTCAGCAAAGTGATCGGACCAAAGATCGTTTGGCTGACAAAGATGTAAAGATTGGGGGGCCCATTCCGATCGCTTTTTTTTTATAAAAGGTCATGACTGTGTCACCTTTTGAATCTCCGCTCGTCCATCTTGGCGAGGAAAGCCCTTACCTAACAATAGCACATCATGGAACACACAACACAAAAAGTAGTTCATTGTATTATTCATTGCAATAATGAAGCTACTGCTGATTGACCGTATTATTTAAAATGGCTCGTAGCAAATCCGTAAGGGATACTAGTCCAATTACCACGTCCGCTTCATCCGTCACCCAAAGTCGATGTGCCTTTGTAGCTACTAGTTTTCCCATCGTCATCAATAAAGTTGTATCCAATTTTACGTCAAATACAGGGTGTCGATCCTGGTCGCCGGAATACAAGTGTGAGAACCTTTTCAATCTGCTTTCTTTCATACTAAAAACTCACCTGTCCATCAATGACACCTTGAGAAATTCGAATGTTGTTGATGAAATGGAAACACGAGTTCCAAAGCAGCTTTTGCTGATTTTTAATAATATGCTTGACATCGGTTAGAGATATGTTACCAACAAGTGAATTGGTAGGTCCAATGACAGCTAATGATGAGACACCGTGTTTGTCTGATGGCGGCGAAATTAAATTTAGTTTCAGCGATACTATGATGGAGTCTTCATTCCCGGCGTACTTACTCATTAAGCTCAATGCATCCAACACTATGGATTCTGAGTCTATAGATATGACTGGCGCCTCTCCTAATTGCAGTTGTCGTAACTACAGTAGCATGCGTACCATAAGCGAGAACAGACATGTCAGTATGTCAAAAAAGCTATCATCCTATATCCACGTTGACTTACGGATTTGCTTGCAACACGATGTAATTCTGGGAAATGCTTGATATTCCTATACAAATATTCGATGACTCTGGACTGCGACAGGATACCCTATTTGACAAAACCCCAACAACCAAGGCTAATCAATTCCATATTCGAAAACATATATTTTCCTTCACAAACCCTTACCATAAGTTCACCACTGGGAAGGGTCACGGCAACTGCAAACAAAGACCGATTGATACTGGTCAGTGATCATCGCTTGACAATGGGACTACCCACCCATATCAAAGACCCCGCGTATCAGGAATGTCTCACCTCTGTGTGTTCCGCAGGAAAACTCGTCAAGGACAGAAATCAGTGTTGCTTCCGGCAAGACTGAGCAGAATGGGTTCTTGCGGGAAAGATCTATGTGGAATGACATGGTTAGTCCTGCTATAATTGAAGGTCCGTTGGGTGATAACGTGGCAAACACGGCGTATGCATGGAAAGTGGGGTGACATTTGCTTACCACTTGCAAGCTTTACGGGTACTTGCTCACCACCCATAGCCTTTCTGATTAATTCTTTGATTTCAATTGTTGACTCGTCTTCAGGAGGGAACTCTTTCCGCAAGACAATCAATATGTACGAGATGAGATCACCATAGTCGAACATGCCAATATATGATCTAGGGTGATCAATAGCGGTGCTTGTGGCAGGTGTAGAGTCATAAACAGGCGCAGAAGAGATGTTGTTATTAAGCAAAGTTTCACATGCTACTTCTATCGGTAGAGAACCATCACTATAGCACAATAAAGGTGTAAGCGAGAGGTGACGGATACTTGACACTACGGTGGGGTCGGCACTTACATTGTTATCACAGTTTGGCCTTCCACCAACGATTTTGCTTGTACCATGGTCCAGTCATGCGCTTCAGTAGTCAAGCCTTCTCTGTGTTCCGAGATAACCGGGTATAGTGGAGGCGAGGTTGATTTTTCCGTCATTCTTTGAGCGTGAGTGGAATGGAAGAAGAGAGTATGAAAGTTCAGCTGTGACTTGCATGATTTTTTGAAATAAATGAAATTTTGTGTTTCACTGAGAGTCTACCTGAGCATCTCTACTGCCTTTGAATGTGTACGTATTAACCGAGCTCACATGGAGAACTGAAGTTAACCAGAATACTAATGCTAATGCGTGCATATTAGCCAACAGTGCCAAATCTACGGATAAGCCTAAGGTCGTCGGCGGATCCAATACCGATTCAAGATCGAATGGATCACTTGCCGCAGACGCAACGTTGCCAGCATTGTTGAAGGAGTATCTTCCCAACGAGTCAGAGGTTCAGCAAACGATCAATACCAAGATACAAGGGAGGAAAGTACATATTGATGCAGCAGATACGACGAATCGGCCAAAAAAGAAGCCGGCCAAATCCAAAATCAAGAGGATCACTTCACGAGAAAAACGCCAGCTCGGTCTATACACCATCCCGAAGCATTGTCATCGATACGATCTCTTTTTACCACTGCATGAACTTTGGAAAGGTTATATGGAGGAATTACTGGGTAATACGACCAGCGCTTTGGTCCATTCACAAAAGCTGATCAAAGCAGATTACCAAGGCGCTATATTAAGTGGTGAGTTTTCAGTGCCAGGAGTGACTTGACAGATGAACCCTGTGAATGCCATTAAGTTACAGGTGTGTTTGAAGGATTGATTTACTGATGAAGCTGGTACATCTTAGTGGTCAAAAGTAAATCTCCAAGCTATATTGGTACCTCTGGTATTGTCGTCCAGGAAACCGAGAGCATGTTGAACATCATTACAGCCGACAACAAGTTAAAACGTAAGTGGAATGATGCGAATCATTTGTGATGCTTCTGTTGCTAAGACCTGCACATCGTTTAGACATACCCAAGGCGGCAAGTATCTTCAACATGACGGTGAAAGGGAACACCTTTGCCATTTACGGAAACCAAATACGATTTAGAGCGGCTGAACGAGCAACGCGAAAGTTCAAAGTAAAACCCACCATCGACTTGTAAATAGAACATTAGAAACTGAGATCGTGCAATACTTGCTGTCGCCTTCATACCGAGATAAAATATTACCATAAAAATGTATTAAGCTCAGCAGCCGCTTGTGTGGGGTAAAGGCACATGAAAAAACGGTGGGAAATTCGACACCATTTATAATCTTGTTCCTTCCCTTCCTCACTTTCTCTCTTTCCTTAAACCATATCACTATGGCTCCCAAAGGATACACTGTTGACACAAGCAAAGCCGTTGGCTACGAGCAGCCTGCCTATAAGGTACTGCCTTCTGTCTTGTGGTACCTACGTGTACTGTATACTGACGGTTGGAACAGGTGGCATATAACCGACGCGATCTGATATTGTATGCCCTAGCTGTAGGCGTCGACCATAACGAACTGCAGTATTTGTACGAATTAGACCCAAGCTTCACCGCCTTGCCCACCTACCCTTTAGTACTGCAGTCCAAAGGCGACGGGTTTGATGTGAATTCCTTTGCAAAAGAGGTTGCCAAAGGAGGAAAAACGCCTGGATTACCTGACTACAATCTCAATAACCTCGTGCATGGCGAGCAGGGCATGGAGGTTCTTCGTGGTGTACCGTTAGAAGGAAATTATACCATCCGTAGCAAGATCTCCGGAGTATATGATAAGGGTAGCGGTATGGTCATTGAAACCATCAAAACACTTGTGGATGAGCAAAATGTTGAATATGTCAAGATGACTACACGTATGTTTGTCATTGGATACGGAGGATGGGGTGTAAGTAGTCGGATATGATCCTATGTTGCAAGGGAGACATGCTGATGTTGCTTGTAGGGTGATAAAGGGCCCAGCGCAACTAGCCATAAGATACCAAACCGACAACCAGATGCTGTTGACGAGGTGGTGACTACCCGATCCCAAGCACTCTTATATCGACTGTCAGGGTAAGTGTTAAGCATATAGTATGCAGGCTTGACGGCAACATGCATTTCACTATGCAATGGTAATGGGGTCATTCCTGACGACTTTTTCATTTTCAGTGACTACAACCCTCTGCACGCCGACCCAGCCATTGCTCCCATGCTAGGGTTCGAGCGCCCTATTTTGCATGGACTTTGCTCATATGGTGCGTCTGCTCATGCCGTCATCAAGAAAATGGCTAATAACGAACCATCTCGCTTCAAGTCTATCCATGCACGCTTTAGTAGCCCTGTGTATCCCGGAGGTACGAACCATTCTCAAATGAAAATCGTTGTGATACCGAACTGAAAGCCCCATTCTCATCTATTTAGAAACCCTGGTGATATCCATGTGGAAGGTAGAGGAAACAGCGGATCAGGAAACAATTCATTTTATTACTAAGGTGAAAGAAAGAGATGCGGTGGTCATTAAGGATGGCACAGTAACTCTATCCAAAGCTAAAATAGCCGCAAAGCTGTAGGGTATAATATAAAAAATATAATATGATTTTTGCACAAAGGAATGACAAGTGGGTAAAAGGAACGGGTATCAAAATATTGGGTATCAAAATACAGGTTGAGTGGACTTTTTTGCAGCATTGAAAGATGACTTGATTTTGGTGAGCAAGAGACTACTTTTTTTGCGTAGCAGCTTTCTGGCTCCTTGTGAGTTATCGAAAATGCCCATCAATCGTCGTTTCTCCTGTTTAATGAAACGGGAAGGTCAGCGTATGACATATAACTTAAACGTTGGCATGGTTGGTTGGTTAATTTACCTGCTGTTGAGTGTTTTCAGATGTTTCGGAAGGAGTCTACGGAGACAACAGTTAGGGCGAAATGAATTTAGATTACGTTACGAATTGCGTATTTTACCTCTTGAGCAGGACTTTCTACGGGGCCAGGGAACTTGGATCGGACAAAAGCGTCAGAAAGTCTTCGAATCGACATCCTACGTTTTCGATCTTTGCGGAAGCTAGGGCTGGGTGTTTCCCGTTGGGAGTCGTCTTCGCTCGCCATCGATACCGATTTCTTCTCTCCTTCTTTTTTAGTGGTCAACACGGAAAGGTCTGCCACTTCAATCTCTTGCGTTTCAGGACACTCCACGTTCTGAATAACTTGTTCATCGTTTTCTGAAGCATCCAGTTTAGTTTCATCTGTCTCATCCTTGCTGATGTCCTCATCAAGTCTTTCATCCATGCAGACTCTTGACTCGATGGCCACTTCTTCTCTTGACTTGTTCTCACCCACCACTGCATCTCCTGTAAGTTCGTCGGCGGTCTGTATCTCATCTACGTGCATGTCTGGTTCTTCATTCAGCACTTCCGCTACTGGTTCTTCATCCATGCACAAGACGGTATCACTGGGAGTGGCATCCTCTTCGACTTCAGTTATTTCTTGATAAGACGCATCACAGACTGGCTCTTCTACGCATTCATGGGTGTCACCTGCTGTATCATGGGTCACTTCATTGTCCCCAGTTTCCTCCACATTTGGCTGCATACAGCACTCCTCAACTGTAAAATTTAATTCAGTAACGGATGGTGGATACTATAAATTTCCGTGAAACATAGAGTGCCACCACTTACCATGTGTATCTTCTTGGATTTGAACTTCCTCTGACTTTTCTTGTACGATCTCAGAAGGTTCTTCTAATAAGCAGGGGGAGACAAAAATGTTGGCTTTTTTTTTTTTTTGAAGGTTTTGCGCAGTCATGTTACAATCATCGAAATCCGTACCACTGATAACATCATCTATGTGACAAGGTTCACTAGGACGATTTGAAGACTCTAAAACCTCTGGTTGAAGTTCCTCCAATACCTCCATAGATGCTATGTGGATAAAATGAATTAAATCTTTCAGTACCACATCGGCGAGCTCTCTCTTTGCTCATCCATTTCACGACGAGCCAAAAATTTCTGGGAAATTTTATTTTTACCATCATGATTCACGTCTTCGGTACCTTCGCACGAGGCAATGGACTCAATTAAGTGATCCGCGGAGGTTGAGGTCTCCTGTCCACCCTCTGATACATCGCTCAAGATCTTTACATTGTCTGGTATGATAACAGAGTTCCGCTTATGAGAGCGTCTTTCATGTCGTGCAATTGAGTATGCTCGCATCATCTTGTAGAAAAAGTAGAGTTGTAATGGAAATGCTGAAAGAAAGGCGGCGAGTCAGTTCTTTAAGTCATTGCGATGGTTGAATATGCGATGACAGTTGCGATGAAGACTTACTTTATTCACGACTTTAAGATAACAGTTTGGATTTACAACCGTTCAATATTTTTGTGTTTACGACCGTGGTTTATATTAACGAGCCAAACAAATAAACAATTGAATTGGGTGGGATGAGATCACCGGGAATGCAGTGCAAAAAAAGACCTCATACCTCCTTCAGCAGGGGAATCAAGGGGGGGGGAAGAGTGCAGCTGTAAATATACAAGGGGTGGATGACCAGTTTTGGTTCATTGAGCTATGACACAGCGAACAAGGAATACAGGGCAAGGTAAGGTAAGGCTATGGAATGGGGGAACCGCACGGATGTCACCAGACGAGCAATTTTTGGCTGCGTGGGATGGGATGACTGGATCCTCAGTGTGTGTATCTCTTTTTTTTTTTTTTTTTCCTTACTGCTTTGGTGCCTGCCTAACATTTCTCATGGCTGATTCTGCATTACGGCGAGTAACATGCTGGTGGACCCGAACAATGCTGGTGAACTTGGGATTCTACTGACAAGTGTCGATCGACTGACTGTTCACTAACCTTTTTTCTAATATTTTATATTTTACTCTGACTGGGGGACCTTTGTCGTTCAAACTATACATTAATGTTTTTATTGTGCGTCCTCACATATCCAACAACTTCATCTCCATATCTTTACTTGAACAATGGCTTGGCATTATAACATCCCTTGTTTAGATGGTTGGCTTAGGTCTGGTTGCACTCGGTGTGTATATAGGATGAGCCGTAACTGCTACTTTATATCCCAACCTTTTATTTATTTTCATGCCCCGATACAGGAGGTTTTCATTTACGGGCATCCAATGTTGGTACGACGTTTGCCATGGTCACCATGATCGTGGGCATATGGATCGCAGTGATCTCCTTTACAGGTTATTTCGGGACTGCTATCGAACATTTTGGTTTTCTAAGGGGATTCATTACTATGTTAAGCATGGTATTGATCCTTGAAACAGGTGAAGAGACGGAGTGGACTATGTACATGGATAATATTCTAACAATAACCGGTTTTTTTTGTGTGTAGGTATCATCATTTGGTTGGTGTCCATCGAGCCTGACAAGGTAAAACATCTAAACCTGAGATCTTTCTCATTCATTTGCTGACATCCGACCCAAGGTTCGCAGCGTTGGCAGTCAGGTCTGGGGGTACCTGTATGATCATGACCGGCTTTCTCTCAGCAACATTGAAACACGGTAAAGGGTCTGAATATTAAAAAGCATGTCGTACCCACCTTTTCTTATTTGATATCGTATACAGCATACAATGCTGTGGTTATCTTCACACATGGGATCGTCCCTCATCCTTGTCCTGCCAGTATGCACAGCCCTGCTACATGACTACAACTCAGATGCTCGATGACCATAAAGCCAGCCTGATCGCTGGCACTGCGATCGCGATAATGGTTCAAGTAAGGTTTTCTATTCACCGCTCATCGCGAACCCTCATGTATGCTAAAAATCGTACTATTTTAGATTCTGAGTATTTTAGTGACTACCTTAATGGTGGAGATTATGGAGCGTACAGAGCAGGATGATGCATACCGGCCTCTGTTACAGCAACATGTGGCTCCAGCGGATTACAGTGGTGGTGGCGGACAATTTTCCGGATACCATAGGGCTCGGCGGCCCAGTAAAGGAGTACGCAGTAGTAGTTCACAAGCATGATGTAATAATAAAAATGTATAGTTCCATGGGCAGGGAAGTGCGGGCAGATGACGAGCGGTAAGTTGATGTAACAGTTTCTGGCGTACCACAGGGCGACAAGGGTCCGAGAGGTCAGGTCAGGTCAGACTCAGCTCAGCCAACAACCTTAAACGCTAGACCCTGGCAAACAACCACTTTCAATCTCTACTTTTTCCAAGCCATGCCATGGTTAACGTTGCGCCGGTGTTGTCTCATTCAATTTGTTTGGGGGGTCCTAATCGATTGGCTGTGATCAGGTCTGAGGTGTTCAGCAAGGCCAGCACCGAGGTATGAAGGCTTTCAGAGTCCGGTCCGCGGGTAGAAATGAGAAAAAAGAGGGCCCAATTGAAAAGGAAAAGGGTGGGGGGACACAGACATAATAGCTGGCAAGCAAGACAAGCCAGCCAGCCATTTTCTTTTTTGTGTTTTCTTCTTTTCCCTTTTCTCCACTTTTTTTTTCCCTTCCCTTCCATCTTGAATCAGTGATGGATCTGCTCTCGGGTACTGATGCCTCGGGTAGACAGATTAGTCTTTTGAATGTGAATAAGCAAGCCATGGTATCTTCGTTTGGCTCTAACGCATCCTCGGTGGACGAGGACTCGCCTTCACCCAACCAAGCCATGTCTTCAATAAGCCCATATTCATCCGATAACGAGAAAACTGGCTCTTCACAGACCCAAGTGCATACTAAGCGGAAGTATCATTGTCGAGAGCCTGGCTGCGACAAGAGCTTCACCACGAGGTGAGATATCACATAAGCAAAATTAGGAACTGTGGACCAGACACTCACTTTATTTTCTATTTTATTTTTCCCTAGTGGTCACCTTGCTCGCCATAATCGCATTCATACTGGCGAAAAGAACTTTCGTTGCTTGTTTCCAGGATGTCAATCCAGGTTTTCAAGGCAGGATAATATGATGCAACATTATCGAACCCATATGTCGCCAAAATCACGGCGTACCCACAAATCCAAATATTCACCGGCTGAAGACCACCCGGTACCGCACTTACATGCTCATCACAGGTTCCGGTCCGATTCACACCGAGTGCAACCTCCTTTGACCATTGACCAACATTTAAGTCAACATCACCACCGGCAAGAATTGCCACCGCGCAGACCCCCGCCACCCAACGCCATTCCCATGCAGCCTTCTTCCTCAACATCTTCGACCACTTCGGCGTCATCCAAAACACCCCCATCAAGACGCTATGGTTTTCATCCATATCTACCTCCTTCTTCTTCCGGTGGTTCCAGTTCGTTCCCTGTTCCTGTGGCTATTCGACAGATTACCAGTAATGGTGTCAATTCCCCACATAACACACCTGCTTTGACGGCATTATCATCCACCACCCTACCTCCTATATCGCAAATCATGGAGTTACCAGCCACCACCGCTGCTGATCATCAACAGCGTTCACGTAGTAGTAGCCATCATCGGTTACCCACCCCACCCACCTTTTTAGACCGTTCTTTACCATCCTCCTCACCACCAGCCTCGTTATCGGCTCATCCACCACGGGATCCATTTTTTCGTCCGCCCTATGTAGAGAACAATACCAACAGCCCTCCTTCTTTACTAGGACCTATGATCAACCGGTCTCATGAACATCCTCCTTCACCCTTCCGGTCTCCACCTCGAGTGGAAACCCATGAAGAAAGTAAGGACGACGATGAAGACGCCCTTCGCAAACGCACTGAAATGCTCAAGCTGGCTCACATTGTTAGTACGTTTGGTTGATGATACATGGAGGAAGGGAAGAAGCAGATGGGGTTTGCTCCCACTCTTTGTAACTGTTTGTTTTTGTTGTTTTTCTTTCTACCTGCTCTTTCTCTGTACCATACTGTTCTTTAACCCACCCGTCTTCCCTTTTTTTCCTTCCTCCCTTTCCTCTTCTTCTACTCCCTGCTGACGGATTCCACCCACTTCGTCAGTCTTTAGCAGTTGTTTCATTCATGTTCTTTTGAAAAGAAAATAAATACTCATCCATTGCATTACGGCTTTATTCACTACCCTAAACCATTATTTCTCCGTGCGTGTGTGCTTAAACCTCTCCCCCCATTATCTGAGTTGCACAAGGCCCAGCCAAGAAAAAAAAAACCCTGAATGGTCACATGTGTTTCAATTTTGGAGTGATCTCCGCGGTTGGCGAGCTTCATTTGGCAGTGCTCAGGGTTCAGTGTAGGCTGGAGGCATCTCGCCGGGTGCAACAGACCCTGAAGCTGTGTAGGTTGGCAGCGCTTCCAGATGCTGAGGCACCTCGTTGGTTTCTAAACAGCCAGGTCTTCAGTAGGCAGTCATCATGCGAAGCAGCATCGCTTACTTACCGTCAATGCGCTCCAGCAGCTCTCGGAAAATTGAATAGAATTCAAACCCCCCTATAGAAACACTTTCGTTTAGCAGGCAGGGAAATAGAAACTCCACTCATAGGCGTACTTACCGCCCTCCTTGAACGTGAGCTTCACTTGGCCCGGTTGCGAAAGTCCTCCACCTGCCACCTGTCAATGCAAAGCAATGCAAAATGAATACCTCTGCCAACCCCAATGCGTGGACAATGACCCTCTCTTTACCGGCAGAACATGTCCGCTGATGTAATTGGCAGCAAACCACGGTTGTTCGTATTTACAGTTTTTGAGCGAGAGCAGTGGGACGTGGAAAGATTTGAATTGCTGGGATGGCCGGTCAGGCAGATAAATCACCTAAGAAAATTATTTTTAGTCAAGTTTAATATTGCTTGCATAAGCCAATAGAGCTATATTGACCCTTTGATTAGATAGAAAGACTATGCCATTTGCGTCGTGCCACGCTCCACTGGAAAAGTAGCCGGTGAGATGCGGTGTGAGTAAGTGGATTTACTGTAAAGCTTACCCTGACGTTCCCGGATATCCGCTGCCAAAATAATAAAAAAAAAAAGGTGAGCGGAGCGTGGCCACTGCATAGGCAAGGGGGGGAAAAACCTTACCTGCCGCTACAATCCAACTCGAAATTCGTACTAGATTGCTTGAAAAATATCTTTTCTCTTGGCAAGGGTATAGGCGTATGGCCGTCCGGTGCAATCATCGTCCAGTTGATGCTCATGATTAGGTTAGATTATCTACGTTGGTATTGTCCGCCAACCGCTGAACAAGGTCAATTTTAAGAAAAGTCACCAGTCAGTCATTTTCAGCGTCAAACCCTGGTGTCTCAGTCACGGTCCCCAAAAAAACTCAGGCTGCCACTAATGATTGTTAGCACTGCAGTTGATGTAATATTTACTATGATTTATTCTTCCATGTAGCGTTTTAAAATGTGCAGTGCTAATAAAAAAAGCCCAGTAACACATAAAGGCAACAAATAACTGAAGGGCTTCATAGTGCCACTCTACTTCCCCAGCGATTCAATCACCTTGGCTTGCAGTTCACTTTGCTCTAGCTTGTTGTCTAGGAGTCGCGCCTGCGCGAGTTCATTCTTGCCACCCCCTTTACCATTGATATTTGTCAACACTTGTTTCAATACCTTAAATCAAAATAGAAGGAACGGAATGTTGAGCTACTATAGGCCATTTGCTATCCCCCTTTTTAAAGTGTTAAACTTACGTTTTGCGCTGTAACATCGCGCACAGACTTTGGATTCACAGCTACCATCACGGTATGATTGCTGACAAGCACATGGATATCCTCGTTCTGGTGTTCCTTCAAATAGTTGGCACGTTGAAGCATAAACCCACCATCCAGCGATGCATCAATTTGATGAACTTTGACTTTGTGATCTACGTTGAAGCAAGGAGAATAGAAGCGGTTAATTCATGGATAGGTAATTGAGCAAATCCCTTTGCATAAATGAATTTTTAAGAAAATTGCATTACCTTTGTAGAGCGTGGAAAGAACAGGAAGGCCGGGGTCAGCCTGAGCAAGCTTGTCAGTGACATGAGACAGCTGGCGCTGGGTATCGCGTAGCTGCGTCGACAGCTTGTCCACTTTGGGACCCAGTTCAGAGGACGAGTTGGCTCGAACAGCGTTAAGGACCGGTGGAATGAACCTGTATTCGTTTCTATACCACTCGATACAGGCAGGGCCCGCAATGGCTTCAATGCGTCGGGTGCCAGCCGCTACAGAACTCTCGCTGACTATTTTGAAAGGGTATAATTGGCGTAAACTGGTTACGTGCGTTCCTCCACATAACTCTTTGGTCACTTCTGGAACCTAAATATCATGTAGTTAGTCGTCCATTCGGCGGCTAGTGCATTGTCGACTGTAGGGTCACTTACCTCAACCACGCGGACGAGGTCACTGTATTTTTCGGAAAACACTGCAATGGCACCAGCGTCGATAGCCTTTTGCAATGGAAAATGGCGAGTCTTGGTTTTTGCGTCGGTCAAAGCAACCTCATTGATCCAATCTTCAATTTGCTGTAACTGCTTAGAAGACACGGGTTTGCCATACGTGAAGTCAAAGCGCAATCTAGCAGGTTCCACAGCGGAACCTAAGACAAGATATTAGGGTTGACATAGATCGACGGACAGTGCAATGCCATTCAAATGTTTCAAACCTACCTGCTTGAACAACATCAGCTTGAAGTATTCGGCGGAGTCCAGCGTTAAGAAGGTGCGTGGCTGTGTGGTGAATCTCTGCACCTTGTCGCAAACGTACATCCACGTTAGTTTTAACCAAATTGCCGACTTTCAAAAATTCTTCATCTTGAAGTAGCTGTTGACTGAAAGTGGTGTTGGTCTTGGGCTGGATACGCATAGCCAGACCTCCTTCATAAGGTTGAAACACATCAACAACATCCCACTCTTGCCCATTGGCCAGTGTAATCGATCCGGCGTCCGGTACCTGACCACCACCCATACCATAGAATGGACAAGGGTCGATAGACAATAAAACCTGAGGGGTTTTGGCCTTGGTATCGACATCAACAGCCACTATTTGTGATTCTTGGTGTAAAAGACTGTGATCGTATCCAGTGAACTCTGGGAATATTTGCTGATTTCTCCATTCTAGTAAACAGATTATATAAGTTGACTGATACAGTAATCACAACACGATTTCAAGTTGCCTTGATCTTCTAAGTGTAATAAACACTATCCTATATTTCACAACAAAGCTTACCAGAAAGTCGACCTTTCGCAAGATTATCACCTCCTTTCCATGATTCTCTTCCTTGAGAACGTTGTTTGTCTTGTAGCTTCTCAACCTCTGTACACCAAAGCAAATGTAAATACGGATTAACCTCAGTCACATATACAAACGCAATTCAGCTAATGTCTGTACCTTGAAGATCAACATGCCAGCCTCTCTCGGCAGCAATGATAACCGTCAGATCAAGAGGAAACCCATAGGTGTCATACAGTTTGAACGCAGTCTCTGCTGGAATCTCTTTTTGGTTTTGTAATTTAGGCTGTTCGAAAACAGACTCAAGCAGACCAAGTCCTTTTTCCAGTGTGGCGAAGAAAATCGTCTCTTCGCTCTGAATGATGTTCTGAATTGTTTCAGCTCTGGCACTTAATTCTGGATACCATTCCGTGCCAAAATTAGCCGTTAAATACGGATACAATCTGGTCAAAAACGGCTCTATAGTTTCCAAGTTAGCGAGAGCAGACATGAAATCCAGCATATCTAAATGACAGTGATACCTTTGAAGCCAAGTTGTCGGCCAGAGCGAAGGGCTCTGCGGATAATGCGTCGTAAAACATAGCCTCGACCAACATTGCTGACATCGTTATGTTAACATAATTCACTAGACCAACCGCACATGCCCTATGTCCGGTCTCATGCTTACCTTGGAATAATGCCATCTCCAATCATGAATGACATCGACCTCAAATGATCGGCAATAATTTTTTCATGAACACTGGGGTCTTCATCATTAGTGTTCTATCAGATGGAGAAAAACTCATTAATGCTTTCCTTAAATTCTTGCTCTCTCATCTGTCTTTTACTCACTGGCAAGTTCTCAGATTTCAACAAGTCCCTAATGCCACCAACCAGGGTTTGGAATTGATCAATCTGGAAAGTATTTTGCTTCGACTGAAGCACTCTTGCCATACGCTCTAAACCCATGCCGGTATCGATACAAAGTGTAGGAAGCGATGACAGGGTGCCATCAGCATGTCGGAAATTCTGCATGAATACCAAATTCCATACTTCGAGCCATCTAGAAGGTCAAACCAGGCACTCAGTCTCTTTCTGATCGGATTCAGGCACCGCATTCATAACCCATATCACACTTACCGCTCATCATCAGACGCATCCATATCCCTTGTATCCCAAAAAATCTCAGAGCACGGACCACATGGACCCTCGCCGTCTCCCATAGACCAAAAATTGTCTTCCTCTGTCAAGGGAATAATTCGATCTTCAGGTAAACCAATAACATTCTTCCATATATCATAAGACTCCTTGTCTGAATTGAGAACCCTGGCGACGTAAAATGAAATTAGAAAGAAATGAAGTTAGACAACTGTGTCTGATCAACAAAAATTGTCGTTGGAAGTGATATTACGTGACGCGCAGGCGATCAACAGGCATCTCTAACTCGTTGCGTAAAAAGTCCCAAGCATACTTGATAGCCTGAGCTTTATCATATCGACCGAATGAGAAGTTGCCAAGCATTTCAAAAAACGTATGATGTCGACTTGTATATCCCACGTTATCCAAATCGTTATGTTTGCCTCCAGCTCGAATGACTTTTTGCAACGACGTCGCAGACTTGAACGGTGCGCTTTCGGGCTTTAAGAAGTGCTCCTTGAACGGCACCATACCTATTCAACGTACGTAACAAAGTTTAGACCAAGATTCCGTGCAATAACAGTACTATGATAAATTCACTTGCCGGCGTTCGTGAACAATAGTGTTTTGTCATTATGCGGTATGATACTGGCGCTAGGAACACGGGTATGCTTGTGGTGTTCAAAGTAATCCAGAAATTTCGATCTGATCTCTGACGATGTTAGAGTTTTCATGGAGCGTCTATGCGGTACGTTCGCAGCGATCCTCGTGCGCATTAACCTGCACGACCACATGGCAACAAAGTTTTCTCAGCTTTTCCAAAGTATCACAAAGTTGATGCTTTCGACAAGGTGGTATAGGGAAATTTTTGGGCCAGTCTATTCCTGTGACTGCCATTTCGCAAATGCTCACTGACCATGAAGCGCGCTGGCCCGCCTTGTCAATCCCCTCGATACCCGCCATGTCGAGCTCTCTGGCCAATGCCAGACGCAAGTTCGATGCCTCTGTGCGAGCTGCTCATCTGCCGACAGACATAGATCCCCAAGACCTCGACGAGCCGGGATTCAAATCAGTGGCTGACAGGTATGTCATCGTACTCAATTTTACACCAATGGTGTCCGCAGATTAAACAATCAAAGTCGATACGTGAAAAACTAATATATACCTTACACAGTGGAGTACTCCTTATATCCGTTCTCCAATCAAGAATGAATTGGTGCAACTCGATATTTCCTAAATATCGCCATGATAACGTGATGCAACCGAGACGTGCAGCTAACACCAGGAAAAAGTGGCCAAACATGAAATTCATCGGCACCTATACATTACACCTCGGCCCACACGTATTTCCAGAAACCAGTTTTTACGAGGCCTATAGGATGGAGAGTTGGACGGATGTAGGCGTTGCTGCTGGAGTGATAAAGCCTATGACCGCGCCTAAACCAGAGGTCGTCGACGATTCCCCTGTTCTCGCAAAACCGGACGGCAGCCAGCACCTCACTGCAATACAGTCCGATGTGACCATGGCTGAAGCATCTCAAACGTCCGTTGTCACTGATGAGGCGGATGCTCCTCTTGTCATCACGGATGACAGTAACGATATGCCAGTTGATGCACTGAAGGACGCTTCTAGTCAACCAACCAGTAACATTGTCCCCATCAGCGATGTATTACAACCACCAAATGGAGCATCCAAACTCGTACACTACGACGTCGTCTTTGAATTCAAGGAGGTCCCAAATGAGCGGTTTGTTCTTCCGAAGCTGGCTATTGCTGAAATGTTAGAAGAGCAGAAAGAGGTAAAAGTGTTGTTGACGTGAAATAACGAGCGATGTTCAAGCATTGACAGCTTGCACTCTAGATCCTTTTATCATTTATGCTTCCGTTAGAACAAGCATCGACTGAAGATTATTTCAAAGAGCCAATGGCGAAAATAGCCCTCTGGGGAAGCACGTCTGAAGATGCTGAAATCCAGGCAGCTGTTTCTAAAGCTCAACAATTGCAGAAATCATCAAAGGAAAATGAAGAATCACACAGCGAGAAAGAAAAGGCACCAAATCATCAAGCTGTCAACATTAAGCTACAAGGAGCTGACGAAAACATTAGCATTGCCATCAAGAGATTTTTACGGCCCGTAGAAGAGGTACAGAACAGCATGATGGAAAAGGTATAGTTCAATGCATTTGGTTATCGCCCGTACGTCTCGCCCTTACTCATTACTACCTTGTCTATATCTGACTTCAGATGCAAACGATTCCAGTTCGGCATTTCTTGCAATACCGTACGTCATACGATGCAGCAGACGACACCATCGAGGTAAAGAGCGTTCCTTTCGTGCCTATATACTTTAGCTATGTGAGACTTAGCTTTATGCTACTTGGATCGCTTACACTCTTATGCCATTTTAGCCTCTGAAAAATAAGATCAATACTGTGCCTGAAATCATTACTGGACCTATTGCTGCTGAGAAAAAACGTAGTGAGCTTTTAAATGCCATTAAACTTGGAAAGCGACCACGTAGCGACTACCAGGAACATGAAGGTAATATGTCATTCGCCATGCCCTTCACCATCCCATGTACTTAACGTCAACTAAGCACAATCCCAATTTTTACAGCAGCAACACAGAAGCGCGGTGCTACTCATCATCCAAAGGATGATAACCTTTTGAAATGTCACTATTGTAGTACTCGGCATACATCGATGTGGAGACGTGGGCCAGATGGTGGAGGAACGCTCTGCAATGGATGTGGGTTAAGGTGGAAGCAAGGCGAAATCTTAGTTGGAGCGCCGGTGATTAGCTGGCACGACGAGAAGCAGTTAGCCAAACAGAGAAAGAAGGAGGAAGAAAAGATGGACGCAGAGCTTCCTCTTGAAGCCAAAGTTGAACCTGTCGAAAAGAAGAAATTGGTCAAGCAGCCCTCTCATCGTTCCAACGATGGTTCCAAGGCCGAACAGGCAACGTCACCAATTACCTCCAAGAACATTGGTTACATGGCAGCACAAATTGTACAGCAGCAGCATAAGCAGGTTATGCTTCAAAATGCCGCAAGTCAGTCGCCATCTAGCCAAGGCAGCACTCCCATTTCACCTTCACCAGCTGCACAAAGCTCCATAGGTAAGCAAATATTAGCCATGATACGTTTGAGCGTCGGAGATGTCTAATTGATGGTTATGTTCACGCAGCAGCAACGAAACCACCAGCGAAAAGGAAGGTTTCTGCAAAAACCAATACACCGTCTTCTGCACAAGCTTCTTCACCGTCTGACAACAACGCAACCGCATCATCACCCAACGCATCCAGGTTAATGTCATCTGCGCCTGCCCCAACGCCCACGACAGCACCTATGAATGCTGTGCAGCAATCTGTGACTAGTGGAGCAGGCATACCCCTCCCTACTCTCTCTATTGTCTTTAGCGATAGCATTGCTTTTACGCATCCTAACTGTGGAGTTGCACTATTGGAAGACATTTTCTCTATTAAGCTGCGAAAAGATGGACACGACGCCACGACCATTGATATACACAAGAACTTCTTACAAAAAAGTGATTTTAACATTGTGTTTGAAGGAGAGGCTAGACGCGAAATTTTGGTCATGACAGCAACCCTCTCCAGTCAGGAAGTGGTCAATCGGTTCGACCAGGTCCTCATTGATCCGGAATCAACAGCAAAACAACATGATGTCAAAATTCGCTTTTTAGAGAAGCTGGACCCCTCTGGCGGTGGAGTGGTCAAACGCATCCTTGAACGATGGGTCACAGCAAATCCCCTGGTCTCCATGGTACCGCCCACAGACTCATCCAAACCGGCCGACACCTCAAATTAATGAACCCCCCCCCCCCCCCGCATTGTATCATACCCTCTCTCAGTCCCATCTGTATTATATTCACTGCACAACCGCAAGTTGTCAATAAACATTTTATCGTTTAAGCACTTCATCGTCGCACGCTGCTGCTCACAAGAAAGAAATCCACTTTGCATTGGCATTCATATTGGACCGTGCCACTGTTAGGGCCGGCGCCAGTTTCAGTCGATACCAGAACATAGCATAGCATACATTGCATTCGGATCACACATAATGGATAAGCATCTTCCAGACACGGTTTACCATTTTTCCCAACATAACAAACCAACCCCACTGCCTCACGGGTAGACTGACGGATGTAGTAATTTAATCAGGATGAAAATTTTATACACAAAAAGCATGTATGATGAAAAAATATCGTGGTTGCAATTTTGTCCATTCCTTGGATGAGCTTTTTGGAACTAGCTGGTGCAGGAAATATTTTTGGCGCCGGCGGGCAGTACAAATCTAAACATTGAAACAAATAGCAATATGGTGCGGGGTGGGGTGGAAATGTCTAAGCTTCGGTCTTGCGAGCCTTGACAGCGGTTCTGTTAGGGTTGCCTTGGAACTTTCTCTTGCCTCCTCTGCCACCGCCTCCTCTACCGCTGTTTCTACCACGCGTGTTGGAGTTCTTTTGACGTTCCTTGCGTGCTTGGTAGTGGGAAGCGGCCTCTTCAGCAGTGGGAAGAGAAACCTTGATAGGGCTATCTTCAGAGCTGTTGACAGTGTCAAGCAATTCTTGAGCATTAGCATGCTTCAATTCAACAAAACCAGCTTGACCATCACGATGAACCCAAGCAGCTTGATCTTGACCGACAAAAGCCTGTGTTCCAAGAATGAGTATATAGGTACTTTGAGAGCCACTAAACAAAACGCCAATTTACCTTAATATCCTCAACGGATGTGTCCTCCTTCTCGAGTGAAAACTTGAGGAGCATTCCCTCAGGAACTGAGTCCTGGGCATAACTGCTCTTAGTCTTTGTGGGTTGTGAGAAGTTGGCAGCAAAAGCGTTGAACTTTTTGGGCTTTCGGGTTGAGTTGGGTTCATCCTTGTATTGTTCAGCCTTCATGGTAACATAAGCTTCCTTAGTCATGATCAAAAGATCAGTGTCCTTGTACTTGAGCTTCTGTTCAGCGGCCTTCTTTGCGTCGTCGAGAACGGCGTATTCAACGAAGACAGATCCCTAAAATACACCATACAACGTTAATTTCCCTGTCGATTGTGAATCATTCATGCATCATGCCAATTGTACCTTGAATTTACTGGGCTTGGTATCAGTCTTGCGCATTCTAACAGCTTCAACCTTTCCAAACTCAGAGAACATCTTCTCGATCTCTTCCTGGAGCTCGAAGAAAGCCTTGTTGTCACCGTCGATTTCGGTAGGGAAACCTTTCTGGGAACATACAAAAAAGTCCAGCGTGAGTCACAATGTCTGCGCGACAAGTGTAGGTGGGGTGCGATCAAGTACTTACAGCGTAGATGGTGCGCTCGAAAAGGGCTTCAGGTCGGACCAATTCAGTCTTTCGTCGAACATTAAGACCATCCTCGCTGACTTCGAGAAGCTCTGGGCTCTCCTTCACAGCCTCAGTAATGAGATCAATATCCTCTGAAATCAACTTCATCTTCTTGAAGCTTGCAATTGTGTTGATAGGTACCCCTATAATCACCCAGCAAGTAAACCCCGAGTCAGTAAATCATTCCAAGCTGATGTTCAGGCCATTTTGTTGGGTCTTTTTGTAGAAACTCTGTCAACTTACATCGATCCTTGTTGGTGGTGGTCAAGGTGTACAAAAATTTGTCATAGGGAAGGTTGGAATCACCAAAATAGAATTCAACTTGTTTCAAGATCTTGTTCTTAAGGTCAGCTTGGTCGCCGTTTTGGATTTCGCTCATTGTGATGAAAGAAAGAGTGGGCAAAATGCAGGATGGATCTGTTTCGTTCTCAACTTTTTTCTTTAGAACTCATGCCGCCCACACAGAAAAAATTGTGTTGGCAGTCACAAGTGACGCGTTTTCTCCAAGTCGCCGAAATTGCCTCTCCACGCGATCGTTTCCCCCACTCACAACCTCGCTGTTATGCCCTGCCGTACCTATTTGGCAGTGGCAGGTGGCAGCTTCTTGCTACTGCTGGCCATGTTTTGGTCCTTCCTATTTGCTTCTAGAGACCCAAAATTATGTGAAATGTCATATTCACGTCCAGTGCACATCGAACAGCTTTCGTTCAATGCGTCTTGGTCTCGGCTGGCTGAAAAGTACAGCCTTTACCTTTATCGAGAGGGAGGCATCGATATGAGCGACCATGTTTATAGAGATAGCCAGCCGGTGTTGTTTATTCCTGGTCACGCTGGAAGCTACAAACAGGCTCGATCTATTGCTTCCGAAACCACTGTTCAATTCCACCAACTCCTCCAACAACACGGTCGACAACATCAACAAGCCAAACTCGATTTTTTTACATGTAATTTGCTTGATAGTCTATGTTCTTTACTAACTTTTTTATGCATCACGAAGATCTAATCATTCATCTTTCAGTGAACTATAATGAGGAGTTATCAGCCATTCATGGGCCAACGTTACTATCGCAAGCCGAGTTCGCAAATGACGCGATTCGATATATCTTGTCGCTTTATCATCCCTCTACATCCATCATCATTGTCGGGCACTCCATGGGTGGTGTCATAGCACGCATACTTCCCACTATACCCAATTATAATCACAACAAACTCAATACTATTATCACACTCTCCACTCCGCATTCGGTCCCGCCCGCTCCAGTAGATAGGACCATAGCCAACGTGTATCGAAACATCAATGCGTTTTGGAAAAACGAACTGGTTGATGGTGCTTTGAAGGAAGTCGCCCTTATTTCGTTGGCGGGTGGAAATTTGGATAATATCGTCGCTTCAGATGCAACCAGTCTTCATGGCCTTGTTCCGTCATCTCATGGATTTTCTGTCTACACCACTGGTCTACCTCATGTTTGGACAGGAGCAGATCATATGGCAATCCTATGGTGTAATCAACTCGTAAAGCGACTTTCAACTGCCATCATCAAATTGGTCGATGAGAAACGACCATCGCAAATTAAACCACTGCATACTAGAGTCAATATACTCAGAAAATTGTTGCTTTCTCGACTGGACAACAACGATGAGACGTATTATTTAGGTATGGACTTTGATGCTGAATCTTGACAAGTGTGACAGCTCTGCTATAACCGTGCTATACACTGTAGGCACTACTACTGCCAAGGTATTGGACACTCTAGACACAGCAGTCATCGACGCACCTCGAATAAGGGTACCATTCCAAAGTGATGTGCCGGCGAAAAATCAATATGTCTTCAAAGCGCAAGCAGTACCTTCCGCCGATTTCCACATCATCACTACTGCTCAACCAAATAGCCAATTAAGAGTCAACATATGCAAGCAGCAAGATACCGCTGGTCATCTATTATGTAACAGTGTGATTGGTAATGCAGAGTCCCTACCACAACCAGAAAACTCTAGCATTCCATCTTTGGTAGCGTTGAGAATTCCAAGCCGGCATCTGTGGAGTAAAGACCTTATTGTCGTGGACCTACCCAGTCAGCTAAACAATGGATACTTCAAGGGTGAATTCCAGCCACAACATGATCAATTACTGGTTTTAAATCACACATATCTTAGTAAGTTCTTTGAGAGCATACCCCCCGTCTAAGTTATTATGATTCTAAAGGACTGTATCCACTCTATTTAGGCTTGTTATATCGGTCTGCCACATTTGAGTTTCCCAAGCTGGAAGGGAGCGTGGTCCACTTTCCAAACATACACAATCCATTATTTCGGTACAAGCTAACCATCACCTCAACGCAGTCCGAGAGCAGCAAGAACACGGCACCTATTATAAGGATGAGCACCAACCAACTGTACGAAAGCAAATTTTTCACCGGCGCGAGTCGGGATATTGATATCGCATTCCATGGAGAAAGTTCATTTGCCGTAGGCCAGCAGTTGCCTCATGTTGAAGGTGGACTCAAACTACACATTTTCAATCAACCTCATCGTGCCTTGCAAGCTACACTCAAAGTCGATGTATTTTCCAGTCTGGGGAGAATCCTACTACAGCACGGCATAGCGTTGTCAGTGTTGCCATTCGCATTTGCTACCATGGTCCTATGCTATCAGCTTGCCACATTTAACGCCACTCGCAGTCTACCAAAGTGGACAGTGATTGCGCAACAACTCTACGTAAGGTTCATCCTACTTGGATGGTGCATATTAACGACTTTGGCTGTTTTCAGTGGTCAAATTGCTCGCATAGCAACGACACTAGGCATAGACAACGGGTTATACGGATTAGGCGTCAACGGATCCGATGCTGTGGTGCCGGCCATCATCGTGATTTTATCGAGTGTTGGCTTGATTTCATTCGTTGTGCTGGTACTTGATATGCTTGTTTGGATAATCAATCGAACTTTAATTTTCATGCAGGGACAACGTGGTGTGCAGTCCACTATGCCACACGCCGATCCCATGAAATCCTCGGCTCTTTGGGTCACGGTCGTCTTGCTTCTGAGCGGATTCATTCCACCTCCTGCTTTGTTCACTGCGGTATTTCTGGCTCAGGTGTTCCTATGTTCCCGAGCACTGACGGCATCGACGGTTACGGTAAATGCTCTATTTTTATTTTTTTATTTCTCAGTCTGTTTTTTTTTCCAAAATTCGAAAATAGTGAAAATCCAACTGAGAATGGAAACGTTCATGAATGAGGTCACACCCCCTTTAACGATATTTTCCGTTCCGTATCATGAATCTAAGCAGGGCTCAAATCAATATCGATGCAGCTTCTCGGTCCTTGTGATCCTGTGTTGCCTTCTACCTTATAACGGACCAGCAACGCTGGTGTGGATACAAAACCTCATGGCTGGGTGGTATGAAATACCACATCTTATGGGGTCTCTGGAAGGGCGGTTACAGTTAGTGGTTCTAGTGGCGTTCTTAACGCATTTAAGGACCGATAGCCTGTTGGTGCCCATAACGGCCTTTGCCATTGGAGGTCCATTGGCCGTGGGGTTGATGACATACTGCTTTTCCTTAGGCATCCATTTTGCTTACTCCTTGCAGTGGGTAGCGTGTTGTATATGGCTATTATGGACCATACCGACCAAGACCAAACAAGACTAGGATGTGATATACGGAGACCCAAAATCGGTATTGGCCCAATGATTTTAGATCCATAGGAAACAGTCTGAGATTCCCATAGGGTCCCAAAAATTTCCAGTCAATAAAATATTGCATGCTTTCAATGAGATGGATGACCTTGTATCCATTGATTGGGAGGGACACAGGTGATTCAAACTGCCCGAATTTCCCATCCTAATGACAACGTGATCTTCCATCCGTCATGGCTCTTTAAGGGAGAAAGTCGAACGAAATAGTCTCTCCCCATGTAAAATTGAACGTTAGCTCAGGAGAAGTATCTTGGCATTCTGAATTTGAACCACATTACCAACGGTAACATTTGGAATAGTTCAGTGAGTTAAGTGTGCAGTGTGTGTAGTCCTACGGCAAATAGGCGTGGTGTGCTACAGATGTGGACCCGGGTTACAATGCTTGAAAATCAAGCCATCATTACCCAGTTTCGGAGTTCTTGAGTTTTTTAAGAGATCGACATAACTTAATAACCTTACTCTTTCATCTAATAGCATCATCGCTTTCCCCTCTTTCTATTTACTTCTTCAAAATGCCAGCTTATCGAAAGTTGGAATCCTCAGAGCCAACTTTAGGGTACCAGATGGCTAGAACACTCACCGTTACTAGCCTTGCAGCAGCCGTAGTGCTCTCGTTTGGTGCTCTATTCTACACAAGTAGGTTATGTTATGTTTCCATAAAACTTATGGTTAACTCGTATTCACGCTTTTCCCATCAGCAACGAGTCGCCATACAACCTCGGCCGTAGCGCATTATAGTGCTTTTCAGTGTGGTTTGCCTCCAAAGCTGACATTTCCAGTATCAGAAGATGGAACATATACACCCACTGATCCACACCCTTCTCTTCGACAAATCGTCACCTTTGTCAAACCAGAAGACCATGACCAGTACTGCGAGCAATGGAAGCAGTTGGCCGACTTGGAAAATGCTACAGCTGCGTATGATCGCAATATACAAGACCAATGTGGCAATTGGCAAGAGAAGTATAAGCGCTTGCACCAGCGTCGTACTCGACAACTGGAGCAGTTGAAGAATGGAGATCTGGACGAAAAAAATTATGAAGACCGTCCAAAGTTCATTTCGTACATCTGCGCTAGTCTTGGAGGCTACCACCACTCTGGATGCGGCGGACTTGCTGATAGAATGATGGGTAAGTCCTCTTTTCTTTTTTGAGTGATGTTCCGGAGAAGCGGGCAATCATTTTTGATACGCCATTTTTTTTGGCTTGCCTTTTTGAACATAGGAATGGTGTCCACGTTCTTTACAGCCTTGGTCACGGATAGAGCTTATTATGCTTACTGGGAGCCACATAACCCATTTGAACTGGAGACAGCATTCGAAGCTCCCAATATTAATTGGACCTACGATGTAGACACCTTCAACCGCATTTACGATAATTCTTCGCTCATGACCAGTCGTCGCTTCCTGGATACCATCAATGTCAAGTTGGGATACCTTGACACCATGCTTTTCGGAGGTGGAACTGACACCAACTTTACTGAACTTTGGCCAGAAAGTGTAAGTGATACGAGCACGAATCTTCAACCTTCTTTTGAATATCCGTATAAAGCTAACAGCCTCTCTCTCACTTACTGCAGTTGATCGAATCCATATCCAACCGTGGCTATGTACTACATACCTTGAGAAATTCAACCATATACCCTCAATTTTTGAAATCCATGGGCCTCAATGAAGAAAACATCTTTGGCTGTATTACCGACTTTTTATTCCGCCCCACCATAGGATCCAGGCGATTCATTGATGCCTATCGATATCTACTTCGCCTTGACAGTGTCCTTAGTATCGGTGTCCAAATCCGAACAGGCGATGACAATATCATTGATCCAGCTACTGGAGCTCTGGGTACCGACATGGCGACATACGATTACTTTTTTAAATGCGCACGGCAGATTAGTGAAAGCCGCCGAAAGCCACATCATACCAAAGTAGTCTACTTCCTCGTTACGGACTCGGCTTCGTTGAGAGATCAGGCGGTCAAGCTAAATGATAATCCCGTTCTCAGTGAAAAGTACTTTGGAGACAAGAACTCTCGGGTGCTGGTCACTGGGCTGCCTATTGAGCACATTGAACGCGGAGAGGTGACACATGCCTATACCAAACACTTGAACCTCACTGACGCCGAACGAAACTCCATAGAACATCAAATCTCTCATAAAGAGCAAATCGCCGGTGTCAATAGTGCCATTATTGAAAATTACATCCTGAGTTCCACTTCCTATCGCGTCATCACCAAGATGGGATACGGTAAAATGGCTGCGTTCAATTCTCGGGTCAATGGCACCACCTATGCTCTTCCAGTGGTAAGTGTGTGCGAAGCCAACGGTGTCGTATTTTTGATTCATACAGCCAGCATTCACTGACTCAATGCCTTTTTTTTTTTTTTCCTCCAGTTACGCAAATATGAACTTGGCGCTGAGGTCCCAGATTGTAGCGACCCGAACGCCATAGAATCGTTTGAAAACCTAAGTCTTATGTGGAGCTTGGGTTAAAAGGCTTGACTCCATGTCAATTAATATACTCATGATGGTTTTGTTATTGTTCTCTACAAGGCACGATCACTCCCTACTTTATTTCTGTACCATAGTTATCTTCATTCCTTCCCCACCCCGATCTTTTGCCGTTGACCAGCTTGTCATCTATGTAATTTATTGATGCTGTGCAAAATTGCTCAGTTCTGAAAAATAAAATAAATAGACCTTTCAATTGAAGCTAATTATGACCCCAATTGAATTCATCATAGCCGTGCGTAGTCTCTCTACTGCGCTTACGCTAGTGTGCTCAGTCAGCCACCCAGGGGTTGTTGCTCTCAAAAAATGAATTACTCGCGTGGGTTATTATTTTTTATATTTTGGTCTTGTTGGTTTTATTTGGTATTGCGAAATGATACCTTCTTTTTTGCTTTTAACAATCAATCACTAGACTAGCAAGCATCAACCACAAAAGAATTAAAAAAAGGACATCACACACAATGTTCACAAACCAGTGTTGAAAAGGTCTGTATTGATGAAGAAGGTTTACAAAACGAATTTAAACAGACTCCTGAACGGCGGGTTCGACAAAGTCCTTCTTGATCTTGGTACCAATGTCAGCATCACCGGCAGCATCACCACCGTGAAGAGCGAGGAGAGACTGGACATCGAACTTGGGGCTCTTGAGGATCTTGACCTTGCGGACGTAGACGTTTTGCAAGGGGAAGATACCTTGGCAAGCCTTCTCAATACGGTGACCAATGATATCCTGGGCAGTGGGAGAAGAAGAGGTGATGAGCTTGGAAACGAGCTCCTTGAGATCGCAAGAAGCGGATTCTTGGGTCATGATCTCGAACATCTTCTTGCGGATCTGACGGATCTGGGAGGACTGAGCATAGGTGGTCTTCTTGATCTGGTTGCGGCGACGAGCAGTGAAGGCAATGACGAAAAGACGGACGAGGTAACCGTCGGTGGTCTTGACATCAATGAAAGCCTCCAAGAGGGACTGCCACTTCTTGACGAGAGAACGGAGCTTATCAGAGGTGAAGTCCATTCCGTGGAAGTTGGTGAGGCAGTTCTTGCCCTGAATTTCATCAACTCTCAGCTTGATCTTGCGGAAAGCACGATCCTCATCCTTGGTAAGATCGCCGAGAGAAACTTCGAGAACACGACCCTTAAGGTAGTCGTTGGCGTTCTCTAAATGGAGGGTAAAAAAGTTTTATACGTTAAGTGAGATGAATGGGGGACTTGTAAAAAATTTCAACGTGACACTTACTGAGACCCTGGGTACGGTTGACAAGAGTCTTACCGACCTGGCGAACATCGAACATAGAAGGAGCCTTGATGTCATACCAGTCCTTGCGGGTGAAGGGGTCAACGCTAGATAAATGGGCGAAATGTCAGTAATGAAAAAAAAAATTATCATGGTAAAGCAGCATGTAACACTGAAAATATTTTTTCCCAAAATCGGTTTGGCAATCGACATGGAATGGGTAGAATATACGACAGTTGTTGAGAGCACTTACACCTTCTTCTTCAATCCCTTCTTTCCTTTGCTGAGACGCCTAGTGGAAAAAAACAATTGGAGAGCATTAGTCAATGTTGGGTAATCGAGAAAAGTTGGAATGTCAATGTTGCAATTTCGAGACACTTTACTTGTTCTTGCCAACAGCTGTAAATGGATAGATGTTAGTTAGATGGATGTTTGGCGCATAGGATCGATGGGATGGATGATGCTGTACTCACCCATGATGGGTTCGGTTAAAAAGAGGGATTCAACGGATTGCAAAGCTTGAGGCTCTTTGAGCAACCCCCCTCTCCGCCATTTGTGACAGCGGATTGGGAAACCCTACCCGTCCAGATTTTTGCACACTACCGAAAATTTAAGCCGAGATATTTTTTTAGCAAGCTTGTCAATATCCCATTCTTCAAAAACCATGCCACGCATCGTCGTTCTCATTTCAGGCAGTGGTACCAATTTGCAAGCTATTATAGATGCCACTCAACGAGGTGATCTGAAGGCCGAAATCGCTTTGGTGGTGTCTAACAAGCAAGCTGCTTATGGCTTGAAGCGGGCTGAAGCTGCGGGTATTCCTACCAAGGTGTTCTCGCTTAAGCGATTCAAGGACCAAGGCAAATCTCGCGTTGAATTTGACGTTCATGTTGCCAACTCCATTGCTGAATATAAACCCGATTTGGTCGTCCTTGCTGGTTGGATGCATATCTTGTCACCAGAGTTCTTACAAGTCTTCCCCAACAATGTCATCAACCTCCACCCTGCTTTGCCCGGTCAATTTGACGGAGCACACGCCATTGAACGCGCTTACGACGCTTTTAAGAAGGGAGAGATTACCGAGACCGGCGTCATGGTGCACAAGGTCATCGCTGCCGTCGATCAAGGTCAAGTCATCATGAAGGAGCCTGTGCCAATATACAGCTCTGACTCACTGGAAGATCTTGAGAATAGAATTCACTCAGTTGAACATGGATTGATCGTCAAAGGTGCTCAAGCGTTCCTCGATCAACTTACTTCATCATAGATCGATCGAATATCTACATAATATTGTTTGTCCTGTCGTGCCTCTATCACACAGTAACAGCCCCGCCTTGGTTTTCACCCATTCACCCTCCCTCCTGAGCTATTTCCTCACATACTCCATATAAAAAATCGTCATTCATCACCCATTTTATTTTTAAATCGTTATAAAGCAGCATTTATCTGATCATCAATGATAGCATCGGCTGGGTTAGAACGTTATTTTACCACTTGTTACCCTTTCCCTTCTTCTTCTTCTTAGCAGCGGGTTTGGGCTTGGGTGAGCTTGCAGCGACAGCTTCAGGCTGAACTTCAGGGGTAGCAACAGGCACTTGCTTTGGCATACCTGCGATATTTGCGCTTCCAGTGCCGCCAATGCCTCCTCCAACATCGCTAGCACCTTGTGATCCTTTAGCCAAGGCCTTCTTGTTCTTACCCTTGGCTCTGTAACTGGAACGTTCGCGCTTAGGCAACCATCTTTCAGGGTCTGGAGTGGCTTGTGCATCATATTGCTTGGGCAACAATGCCTTTCTCTTCTTCTTGTTTTTAGATTTCTTGGCAACATGTCCATCTTTACCGTCCTTCTTCACGTATCGGCGTTTGACACCAGGAACAACATATTCAAGAGTGGCGAGATCCAATTCGCCGGACTCAAATGCGGGAAGTGAGTTTCCGTACTTTTCGGCCATAGCAGGATTGACTTCAGCATACGCAGTAATCAAACCAGCAATGGCTTGAGCATCCATAGGGTCTGCCTTAACAAGTTGTTCATAGTCAGTAGCTGCGTCTTGGAATCGTCCAGCTTTGAGCTTGAACGCAGCGGTTTGCTTGAGGATCGAGGAAGGAGGCTTGGTGCTCGTAGAGGAGGTACCCTTCTTCCACTGCGCTGACGCATCATCTAATGTTTGCATAGCCCGTTCAGATTGCCCAGTTTGTTCATACAACCACACAAGGAGAGCAATGAGAGCAGGTTGATAATAGACTTCTGGCTGAGACTTGACTTCGTTGAGGTAGCTCTCCAATGTTTCCAAAGCAGCCGTGCGCTTGGCATCAATGAGTTGGAGTTGGATGATAGCAAAACGAATGGCAAGAGATTGCGGCTGTTCTTTGGCGAACGATTCCAAATCGGCAAGTGCTTTGCTGTTCTTGTTTTGGTGAGCGGAAACTGCAGCTAAAATCAAGTACAAGTCTTCGTTGCCAGGGTACTTTTCCAAAAGTTTTTGAGTCAAATCTGTACAGGCATTGTACTATAGCATATGATTAGATATTAGATCATCTTTCGCAATTGCGACAATAGCCACCGCATTCAATTTACCTTATGCATGTAAAGGTTAAGAAGAGCTTCGTTCATAGAAATCACACGCTTTTGATGGGAGAAGAGCTTGCTATCAAGTTCTTTGGCACTAGCAGCCTTCAACTTCTTGGCAGCATCAAATAGATCTTCATTCTTTTTGGCAGAAACCAAATTGTTGGCCACTACGGCGGAGACTACAGGATCAGCAGAGCTAAAGAGTCAAGGGTAAGTAAACTTGTAAGATATGGCAAAATCGTACAATTGAATCAAAGCAAAGTACCTTGATTTGACAATAGACTGATAAAGCTCAACCGCCTGGTCAGTCTTGCCCTGCAGCTGATAGACATAAGCTAACTGGGCGACAATGACAGCAAGTTCTTGTTCAATGTCAGCTTCGGTATAATCATCTCGGATCATAGATTCCCTGCAAATCTCTGCACCAGGACTTTGTTAATCTCTATTCAGTCTCTAATCATTACGTATAGAACCTTACTCTTTGCGGATTCCAACAGGTCCTGAGCCTTGGTCAAGTTGCCTTGGGCAATTTGACCACAGGCAGAGTTATAAGCAAGTTCATATGTTTCGGTGTTATCCTTCAAATCATGCTTTTCGTTCAAGGAACCAGTGAACGTGAGCATAGATGCCTTTACGGCATTGTAATTTGCAAGAACTTCGTAGTAGCTGCCTTCACCATCGTTCATTTCATCGAGAAGTGATCGGTAGATATCGAGGCAAGCGGCGTAGTTCTCAAGGCGGTAGTTCTAAAAAAGAGAAAGAGCCAAGTTTTTGTTAAAACGTGATAATGGCAGACTTTCCAAAGAGAAGAACCATTACCAATTGAGCCTCCAGGTGTCGTGTGGCAACATCTTGCTGGCCTGATTGGTTTGCCGTCTCAATGACTTCCAATGCTTGAGCCAATTGATTGCTACGGTACAGACAGTAGGCACGTTCAAACAGAAACTTGTTCTCGCCTTTGAACTTTCTGGACAAGAGTGCCAGGGCGTCAGAGTACTTCTCCAAGCGGATCAAGGTAATCAGCTTGCAGTGCAAAGCGTCCTGATCATCAGAAGCAATGCCGAGAATTTTGTCGCACATCTTGAGAGCTTTGTCATATTCGGCTTGAGATACAAATCGCTCTAGCTCTCCAAACAGAGCAGGTAACTGATCTGTAGAAGACATTGTAAGTGGACGGATGAATCCAAGTTGATGCGATGAGTTGCACTGAGCACAACAAATTGAAACTGTCGAATGTGATTTTTAGAACCCCGATCACCAGTGCACTTCCCCTTGATGAAGGCACAAGGTTTTATTCTTCGTATTTAAAGAAAAAAACTTTCGAATTTAAAGGCATGTAGGAAAAAAAAGGATGAACTGAATTATATCAATATACAAATGGACGCATAATATAAGAGACATGGCCTCGCAGAAGCAACAATCATACATGCTGGGTAAACATCCCGTATGAGCTTTCTAATCTATACTTGACGCCAGCGTCATTTGATTGACTGGTATGTTGCATTTTGCTGCTCCTGCCACTTGTGCGCTTGCTCTTTTGAGGAAAATTTTGCTGGATAGACTTGAAAATCGTCATCATCCAGCATTTCGTCTGTGTCGGCATCCATATCATGATTGGATGTGGGAAAGGTACGAGGCTGTGGATCAGCTTCCAACACATCTTCATCCTCATCTATGATGGAAGATCCTTGCTGAGATGATGTCAGAGTCATATCCGCTGCATGCGCACTATCAGAGTACAAGTGAGCACCACCGTTGGTAAGTGATGAACGAGAGATAGAAGGATTTGGGTCTCGCATGGCCTCCTTGTTATAAGTCTTCATCGCCAGTTCATATTCTTCCTGTTCCTTCCTATATAAATCGTAATATTTCTAAATCCCTTCGTCAGTTAGGCGCTAGTAAACATTTGCCTAACCGCAACTTACTTGTTTTCCTTCCTTCGATAGACTTTTCCATTTTTGTCCTAAGAGTTTGGTAACGTCTCCGAGATTTTCATTGGGAAATTCATCCTTAATTTTATCACGCTCTAGCCTGCAGTACAAGAAAAAAACATTTCCAGGCCCTTTTGGAGCATTAGGATCCTTTTTACGGCGTTGAGGTTTTTCGAATATGCGAATAGCTGGCTTCCTTGCCATATGTTGAGAATGGTGCTATGGCAACTTCTCGGTTAATAACACATCACACTATTGGGGCTGTAACCAAGATTTCCATCCTTACAAAGTCTAAACCGTCGTGGGATAGAATATCCGATATGCCGTCGGATTCGTCAGAGTCGACATCAGACCGTTCACGAACCCTTTCAATTCTTTCCAGGAGAAATCTGTCCAAGCGAAGAGTGAAAAGTGAGCGTTATAAAAAAATGGTTATATCTTTAAAAAAAATTAATCCTTGCCGTCCACCTCTGACTTCAATTTAAATTGGACACTCACGATCGTTCCAGTCGTAGCCTTCCTATATTCTTCCGTGCTTTGTGAAGTCGAACATGTAATATATCGTTATCCTAAAGAAAAAAACAGGTCAAACCCGACGCTCTCCGTACAAAGAAACATGTTGCTGAGTTAAGTACCTCTTCAATGTCATGGATACGCTTTTTGAGTTCCTTATAGCGCTGTCTGTATTTTTCTGTCAAACTGGGAGATCAGAACACACACTTGACATACTCATGGTGACAACAATGATGAGTACCGTCATCTATAACTCCATTTCGCTTTGGTGTAGGGGTGTCTGGTGCCTTAGTTGAAAAAAAAAATGTCAGCTAGTTCCGCTGCGGGGGACGGGCAAAGGGGATGGCGTACCTTTGAAGTAGTAGCCATCATTAGGACAATTGGATCGAGAGCGACGGAACGAATAGCTACGTAAAGAAAAATAACAGGAAGGGACGTCTGTGTATATTTTTTTATTATTATTTCCAATTGCTTTTCGGCGCCTTGCTTTTTTCAATAACACACACTATTGGCTGTTCTCAAGCTCTGGAACATCTGTGTGCAAGGAATTTATTGCATCAGCATCGACCGCGTGCCTGTTTATTTTGTTGATGAAAACTTATTTACCGTCTTCCTTCTCTTCGTCTTCATCATCGCTATCACCGCCCTAGTAAACAAATGGGTAAGTAGGCCGTACTTTCACTGTGATATATAGTCATTTGGTGCATGTACAAACCTCGAGACCTTCCATTCCTGGTAAACCACCAGCTCCAGCGTTAGCCATCAAACTGCTGAAATCCATGCCTCCGAATTGGTCGGCAGGGTTGACATCCTCTTCTTCTTCATCATCCTCATCTCTCCACTTGGCAAAGTCAGTCTTGAGGAAGTTGACTTTTTGGCTGGACTTCAACAAACGTGGCCAATATCCTGCGGATTCTCCGCCCTTCTTGTAAATTACCATCTGGAGGTTACGTGCAGTCAAGTTCTGCTTGGATTGCTATTGAACATAAAGAAGCAGTTGTGAATAACCGAGTACTTATCGAAGGCGCATGCAGGTACTATCCGTTCCTACCTCGGGGTCGATTTCACCATAGAATTCCAATTCTACGGCATATTCCTGCTTGCTTTCCTTGCTTGTTCCCTTGAAAGAGAACTTTTGGTTGTCGATGTGGATCTCTGGTTTCTGTAAAGAGTAGCACAAGATGAAAAGGAACGATGATTAGAATCTATTTGGCTTAGGATCGCTGTTTTTGTATATAGGAAACGTTGTTCCACATGGACGGGATCACGGTGACAGTAACTGTTGTTCATACCTCAATATCGAAAACTTCGACAGTGACATACAGAAGATCAGCTCGCTGAGCCCAGAGAACGGTGGGATGAAGGGACATTATTGGCAAAAAGTACTTTGGGTGTAAAGAGCAAATACCTCTGGCTTTTAGGGCTGAGGGAAAAATACGCGTTGGTTCATAGCCAGCGTCAATGATGTCACGGGATCGAAATTTCTTCGAGCTTCTTTTTGCAAAAGTCGGTCGCCAACTCAAAATTGTAGGCTAAAGTATAGCATTGTTTCATTGTGTTCCGGTATGATCCCTTTTTGGCTTTCGAGCAACAAGGTAAAAACTTGCAGTAAGTTCATTTCATTTGACACTCACACTATATTACTGAATTTGTCCGGCCATATTATTCGATTGTTTGGTTTACTGTTTGGAGCATGGTTTGGGACATATTTAATAATACAGTGCTAGCACCGAACTCTATATATTTATTCCATCTTAAAATTTGATTCTATGAACTTGATGGTCTACCAAAGTGTTTGATTTACCTTGTCAATCTGAGCAAACAACAGCAACGAATCTGCTAACGGATCAAAAGTTTATCTTTGAATACTTTTTTTCCAGGGCCACGTTGAATTTAGCGGTTGGCATGAACACGCCCTACCAAATCCATCATAAAACAACATACAAAGCGCTTCCGTTGATAAGGTACCGCTTCTGGGATTTGCTTTGCATATTAGCATTTCATTTTTGAGGAATATCATGTTGATTGAGTTTTTACATACACAAATAAAATCTTGCTACCAGCGGTCACGCTTTTCCCAGATGAAGGCTCATAAAAGTCTTCATCAACTGATACGCCTTTCTTCGTAGATTTGACTAGCAAAGATTAGCAGCAAGATGAAGAAGAAATACAAGACAAAGTTTCCAGTAGTAAGTTGACAGCTCAATGTGGATACGTAAATCGTGCTTCGCCCATGTCACCGCAGCAAAATATCTGCGGGCACAATTGTGCTATTAATGAACGAATTCAATCTAATCGATCAACGACGTTCAATGGCTAACGTTACACCTCCTCACTTTTAGGCACGTATAAAAAAGATCATGCAAATGGATGAGGACGTTGGAAAGGTCGCGCAAGCAACTCCAATACTCATATGTACGTTATTCTGTAGACAACTGAGCGGTACGCGCCGAAACAGCATACTAATATTATTGGAATATCATTAGCGAAGGCTTTGGAATTGTTTATGCAATCCCTCATAGATCAAGCATGTGTTGAAACACGCTCCAGAAATGCCAAGAGACTAACAGTGGCTCACTTGTAAGAAAATTTGTATTTTGTTGTTGGAAACATCACTGACACGAAATATTAACTCGGCCACGTTTCATAGAAAAAAGACCGTGCAAAATACTGAGCAGTTCGATTTTTTGAAAGACGTCGTCGCAGAGATACCCGACCCCATTGAAAATGCCAATGCTGATGAAGTCAAGACCGAAGGTGATGCTAAGCCTGCTCGAACTCAGCGTGCTGCTCCTTCGCGACGAAAACCCAAGAAGGAAGAGGAGGACGAGGAATTTTGAACATGAAAAAAAAAAAAACGCAATGCTTTACCTTCAGCATATCTACCAATCGAAGCGCTATAGCCTCACTCCGATACAATTGAGCGACACGACACGCCCTTCAATTCTATCATCCTGTATTTTTATAAGTTCGCGCGCACTTTTCCTGTAAACAAAATAATAAATTATTCAAAGCTAGTATGTTCACAGGACAAATAGAATACGCATTCAGGCATTTCTTTTATGATTTGGCATGGCGGGCCACTTGAAGGACAGTGAGAGCCATTTACATTTCTTTCAGCTTTTGAACAAATTATCCCGGGAAAGGCTATTACGCGATTTCGTAAGGTTCTGCCGAGATCGTGCGACTGCTTGATTCACCGCTTATCTTGCCAAAACTATCACCCACCGTTGTAAGTTGCAACATTGTCTTTACTCTTGATTTACTCCCCACTCATGACCAATTTGCAGCCGGCGCGAGAGCATTCACCATTACTCGGAGGCTCTTCAGATACCATGAAAGCTAACGAGCGCTCAACTAACTTATTCTCTCTGGCCGGCCAGGCTGGTATCATACTATTTGCTGTCCTGGTATGGAGTGTGCTGCTTACCACCCCATGGTCTTTGTTCTCATACCATCCAGCCGGAATGAGTATCCTCGTCGTTGCTGCAACTGAAGGTTAGTAGAAAATGAAACGACGAGCTACTTGTCTCAGGTACTCATCTTGGTATACCTTTTAGGCATTTATCTTTTGCAACCAACGCACACTCCGCAAGAGAAGAAGGAAGGGCTAAAGTACCATGCTATTCTTCAGATTCTTGGCTACACTAGTGCCGTAATAGGAGCAACAGCCATCTTTTATAACAAAGTCATTCATGATAAACCACATATCACCAGGTACCCTCATCGTCCACCTATATCGTCTTCATAACCTGCGTCATATCCTCTAATATGTCTCTTTTTCCTTTGAATTTAAGCGCTCATGCAGGCTTTGGAGTCCTCACACTTAGCTATCTTCTCGTCCAATTACTGTTTGGTGTCTTCATGGCCTACGTCCCTTCTGTGTTTGGCGGAACTTCACAAGCAAAAGCTCTGTGGAAGTATCATCGTGTGTCGGGATATGTGTTGCTGATCATGGTCTGGATCACTGCACAGCTTGGTGCTCATGCTGATTTCATGGTTGACAATTTCCCTGTACCGAGCTTTTTGTGGCTGTATTGGGTATCTCTGGCCCTAGTCGCGATCGGTATCTTCAAGAGAACGGATGTGAGCAAGTGGGGATTGAAAAGCCGCCGTCAATGAAGACCGTATCATTCCACCATGACTGTTACAATACGGAAAAGCAGTTGCTTAGAAAATATATTGTAACTTGCGCCCCGGTTGGCCTACACAATTGTATCCCATTGTCAATTACTTGATATATTTTATACCTATGACATTACTGTAAACAAAGCACAATGCCCAATTCATAATAGTTGATTCTTGCTCTATGCCAACTTGATCATACTATTTGATCAGGCTAATTTCGAACCATCCCTCGCGATTGATGTATCAAACTAATTGAGGTCTATATCAGGTACCCATTGCCTGTATATCATGGTAGCGATACATTGTATTTTATGGTAGCCAGTCTCGGTGAAAGAGTGCTCGGGTCATAGATGTTGATATATGCATAGTCTAGCCTCATATTATATCGCTTTGCACGGCAAGATAAAGATTCATATGACGAATATTCTTGTGAAGCTACATTGAACCAAAAGTCAGCGGCGATTTACCTCTACCACCGGGATATTCGTCTGTCACGGGCAAGGAATTTGGTAATCTGAATGCGGAGCGCGGGAAATTTTAACAGGAAGAAAGAAAAAGCCAGACTCGCTAAACCTCTTCAGACTTCAACCATGGTAAAGATTGCAGTTGTTCAATTCCACATTCGACAGACCATCAGTGATGAGGATTGGGATGTCAAAACCAACATAATGAAGGCTGAGCGCTTCATTGCTGAAGCTGCACAGAGCAAAGCGGATATCATTGTCTTTCCAGAGTAAGTGCCATGATCACGTCAGTCTTACCAGTGCCCCGCTGTCTTTTTGACAAATCAAATACTTGCCACATAGATACTTTTTGACCGGCCCACTGGAGGACAAATCCCACCTCGTCGATTGGGAGTCAAAGCATCATAAAGAATTCTGCACACTGGCGAAAAAGTACTCAATTGACATCGTACCTGGAACCATCGTGGAAGGCGACCAGTCTGAGGACGCCATTATAAACTGCGCCTACTACATTGATCACAATGGTGAAGTCCTTTTGAAATACCAAAAGGTACATCTATGGCACCCAGAAAGGAAATGGCTTACAAGAGGTGAGTGATGACAAAGGATACATGTTCGATCTGCACTTATTAAGAAAGCATCGACTAGGCGGTGACGGTTACAAAACTGTCAAGACGCGATTTGGAATAACAGTCGGATTGTGTGTATGTTGGGATATTGCTTTCCCTGAAGTATTCCGCGAAATGGCATTGAAGCAGCATGCTCAGTTAATCATTGCTCCTGCGTATTGGTGCTTCGATGATGCTGGTGCCATTGGTCTGAACCATGACGGAAACAGTGAAGTCAACTTGTTAAACGCCGTCTGTACCCTACGGCCTTTTGAGAATGAGATCTGCATGGTCTTCTGCAACGCTGCTAATGACGAAAACGTGGACCACTGCCCCGAACAAGAAATTGAACATCTTGTTGGCCGATCTCAAATATGCGCTCCTTTCAAAGGCAATCTTGTTCGTTGCGACCACGCAAGGGAAGAAATGATCATGGCCGATATCGACGTTACTGGCATCACAGATGATGCCGAACAAGTATATAAAATCAGGAAGGATTGGAACGAAGGCAATATTCACAATGGGCCTCAAAGAAGATAAATGTACACAATTGCTATTTTGTTGTCAGTTTAACCCTTTAGACATCACCCATCTCGCAACCATAAAAGCATGCTTTAGATTAAACTGTTGAATATCCATCCATTATTATTGTTATTACAACATCCTACTCTCCTTTCTGTACTCGATCTTCTCGACCTTGACATCGTCATCTATGAGCCTATAAACGTATATGAAGAGCGTAGAGCCTTGAATGTCCATCAACACGAATGAAGGAACAGCATCACTGAAAATGTTCTCGTTAGCAGATGCCTTTGATAAAACACGTTATGGAGATCACTTACGCGCTGCCAGGAAGACCTGAATATGCACCAGTTGCGCTACCAGGGTTGATGAAGTATCTACCTTCACTCTCGTATGCATCAAACTGATGGGTATGACCTGACAAAAGAACATCTACCTCCATTTGCCTAGCAGTAATATTCAAAGCCTCCTTATCTCCCCAAGGAACGATTTGATGTCCATGAATGACGCCAACGCGGAAGGGTCCATGCGTGATGACCTTTGATTGCGGGAAGGATGGGTTCTGCAGTCACACTAAAGTAAGTACATGTAATCATCCAACTTCAAAAACATTAAAGTTTACTCACTGTATCAAAATCTCCCTTTACAATGTGCACCTCGCCAGAAGAAATGGAGCGAATATAATCAAAGGTTTCTTTGTCGCAGATATTGCCAGTGGAAATGACCTGCTGTATTTTTCCAGGAACCTATATCATATTGTTATAGCCAGCTCCCTTATTCTCGAGAGCAGTTCACGTAAATAGAGCCTACCAATAACTTTTTGAACTTTGGTGACAAGTCGTGCACCCGGTTCGGAATGTGAAGATCGCCAATGACCAGTACCAACTGGAAAAGATAAAAGCGCATGGGAGAATAACGTCATGAGGGAGAGAAGCATAAGTTTAGCATTGGAAGCGACTGGATGTAGAAGGTATATTAGATGCAGCTGCAGCAACTTACAACCATCGCCAAGGAAATGAGTTAGAGGAGAAAGGTTGCTGATGGTTCTGCAGCGATATTTCAAACACCGTTGGTCATTTAATTCTTTCAGGAAAATCAAATTATTGGGGATGTGATTGGACAACGGACTCCAACTATGCTTGGTGTCAACAGTTTAAGCCAAACGCAAGTAAGGGAAAAATCATATTGCAACAAGTTCATAGCTACGCCTTACTGTAAAATTTTCTGATCGTTTGGATTCTTTTTTTTGTGACCTCTCGAATCATCATATTGGGCAATGCTCTTGTAAGCAAATCCAAGAACCAGCACGCCTTTCTAAGCGCTGCACATGTATAACGTTAATGTTGTTTCTTCTCAAGAACGTTGAAAGTAGCTGCCTTTCTTTTTATTGACTTTTATACAAGGTTTAGTAGCTAAATTGAAAGCCTGATATTGGTACTTAAAGTCTCTGTCTCCATCACCCTGTAACTATCCGGATTAACTAACGAATATGAAAAAACAATCCAGCTATTTTTTATGCCTGACAGCATATCAAAGGAACTATATAATATTGTTGATAAAATTTCAAGCATAAGAGAAGAATACTGTTAAAAATTATATCTGTCAAGAGCCTGTCATGGGAGCTGAGAAAGCCGTGATTGAGTACGGTATACTGTTGATTCATGATTGAATAATTACCATCGATAATGCCCGGCAATTTGTGCTTCACTTTGAATTTTTTTTTTTATGTTGAATATCTCACTGCGGCTGTGAACAATTTAGTGAGGACGAATAAGTATGGATATGAATTGTCGCCTTCATATCCTTTAAACAGTTGTTTGAGTTTCCACATTGCACGAACATTTCAAGGTACAGATTCATTAGGACAGTGCTCAGCGTTGACCACAGAAAGTGCTAAGAGTGTAATGTTATACCGAAGGTAAAATTATACTTTTAAATGAGTATAGTTCACAATACTCCGTGGCGGAAAAAAGTTCAGGAGAGACAATATCAAGACCTCCCAGAATACTAAAGTAGAATGAAAAGTGGTCCGATCAATGCAACTATCATTCTCGTGGCGGCGAACTTTTTGCGACTTTTAGTCAGAATATCTTTAAGACAACTGCTAGGTCAGGCATGGAGATGGGGAAAAAAATTACTATTGCCAGTAGGATATTACTTCAAAGAAATTAGAGGTAGATATGTCCTCAAAAATTACAGAGGACACGCATTCCATTCTCATATTTTCATTACCTTTTCGGAGACATGAGGAACCTGGGCAACTAAATTTGATGCGGACGGAAAGAGAACTGAGAAAATGCTTATCTATACCGTTTTATACTTCATTCATGGGACAAGATTTGCTCTTTGGCTTAACCAAACACTAGTGCAATACTTAGAATTCGCTCTGTAGAACATTATTACCGTAACAGCACAGTAACCTAATCTCGTTTCCAGACACAATTGAAAGAGACTCAATGGAATGAAATATCTTTGGAAGGATTAGAGGCAATAATTGAAGAAGATAAAAATGCTATAAATATACTCTGAATGTACTCTGGTAGTTCCTCCAAGATAAATTCGCAGGAAATCACTAAGAATACGCGATGTACCGGAAAATTCAGGAACGCATACCCATGAAGACTGTAAACATAGCTTTAATATTCTATTGTTTAATTTTACCTTATTTTTACGAGAGTTACGATAGCTTTTGCATGGTTCCTTCACCTCATTTGGTCGTGTAAATGTAGACTGAAAATGATTTTGCTGCTTCAAATTATTGTAACTAATGCAATGCATGCAATATGGAATCCTTTCCGCCAATTTTCACATGGAAAATACCCAAGGAACCTTTCAAATGAAGCAAAAATTACTGATTGTGATGGTTCGCTTTACGAATGATAGGATATGAAGTTAAATAAGTAGTGAGAAATAAAATAAGATCACCACTTGCCCAGCATCTGCTTAAATGTTTTTGCCTTTTTTTTTTTCTTTTTTGGAATTTTTTTGTGAAATTTGGCATGCTTTGTTTGAGAGCGTAGGATCTCTTGTGCGTTATGCTACCTTATAAGATTATTTTTTGTAAAGCTATGAGCGCTAAGATTCATAGCAACTATGGTTCCTCGCAATGTAAATGTCCCTGAAGTTTCGTAGCAATATGCTAATGTTCGAGTGAGCAAGATGTATAGCCATGCAACCTGCAATAAGTGGAACTAGAACAAGGAAAACAACAAGGCGAACTGATATTTCATAGCTGCTCATCTGCAATAATCTAACAAGAGTAAGGTTATATTATTTGATGAAACGAATCAATAGCCAAGTCAAAACTTAAACAATGCCGCAGACAAGGCTAGTCTTGTGACAATGAAGTGCAGCACCGGCAGTGAGTAAAATCATGGATGCTAAATACAAAAAGCGTTTGGGTCTTCCTATGAACGACGAGCCAGAGCACTTTATACCATTGTGATATTTGAAAGAACCTGTTTAATGAACAGGTATAACCTGTCTGGAGTGTGTTCATGCGCATGTTCTTTGCTTGGCACCCTAACAGGTTGTGACTGTTATGTCAGTGGACAAAGCAACTGGATTTTAAAGGCGTTGCTACTGAGCGACGAGTTTGTTCGCCATCCTTATTCCTTGCTCCATTGCTTAGCAACCTTTGACACTTGCTTTACTATACTTGCATTTCTGAAGTCGCAAGAGAAAATTGGCATTTTCTCAAACGCCCGTAATAATAATCTGCGGCGGCATGTATAGCGGCGATCAATGGGAAATAGCACAAAGAGAGAACTCAGCATCGCCCATGCCTTCCAGAAATCAACTATTATCTAATCACCCTGCGCCTACTCAACCTATGAAAAATAGTACCAAGCAAGCGGATTCAGCCATTCAAACACCTCAGCCTGATGCCAATTACCAGTACGAAACAGCTGCTGCTTACTTGTTGGAACTGAGTGGAAAAAACAATTTGAGAAACAATGCAGAAATTGACGCTATCACGGCACAGGATGGTATGAACGACCAAACAAACCACTATGCGCGTCAGGTTTCTTTCAGCGACAAGAAAAACCTTTACAATAATAATGACGATCAATCAATCGGATCTGCTACTGCAAGTGAGCGAACAGCTGCATCATATGGCCAATCTTCTGTAGATGATGATAAATCTCCAAACCACCATGAGCACAGTACACCAGGAGCACCTTTAAATAATGGAAAGCACGCACGCAGTCGCTCTAAAGATTTTGTTGAAGCTTATAGACGACAGCGTAATCAACTGGCTCCAGCTGTCATTCATATACCACGACGACATCACCCAGAAACGAGTGGCAATTCGCATGGGTACAACAGTTTGAGGAACCGAGGAGCGTCGTATGATGGAGAAGGTAGGTACAGCCCATGTTTATGAATTTGTGTAAATATCGCTAACCTTGTTAGCTATTTATCAGCCCAAACTGTGAGTAGTCTGTTATCTGCAGGACACAAAATGCCTCCTCCTGGATATAATCCAGAAGCTCGCTATCTTCGTGCCATTCGACAAGTTCCACAGTCAATGGGTATCAACGCTATCAATAGACCGCAATCAGTTGAGATTGATCAATATGAGACTGAAGATTCCGAAGAAGATTCCGATGAGGTCGACGATATAGATCACTTTTTGAATGACTCCCAGAAAAAACCAGATGATGACCCGTGGCTGAAAAAATGGGTAATTGAACACTTAGCAAAGATGACATCTATTTGACGCTCCTTCCATATTCTAACCCTCCTGATATTGGAATTTCTCTCCTAATAGAAATACGACGACCCTGAAGTATGCTGCATATGTTTAGGCGAAGGGGCTGAACAGCGTAATGCGTTTGTGTATTGCGATAACCCACAATGTGAAGTCATTGTTCATCAAGGTAAGAGATTTCGACGATGCCATTTATAAATGCGTCAATAGTCTACTGACCCATTGATGAAGAATGCTATGGTATCAAGAAACTTCCTGGACCAAATGATGTTTGGTTATGTGACCGATGTAAAGAACAAAACGAGAACCCTGCAGCAGTAGTGGTAAGTAGAGCATTTACATGGTATACCATTGATAGACGCTAAAACCTTTTGTGCTGCCATCCCCAGAGCTGTGCAGTATGCCCTAGTCCTCATGGAGCGTTTCGGCGACTTGACAAAGTTCATCAATATCCTGGCTGGATTCACGTCGTCTGTGGTACGTGGATGCCTAATGTACAGATCTCGGATGCAAATGCGGTCATCGGCTTTGATATAAGAGAAATTCCAGAGAAGAGCTGGAACTACGTATGTATACTTGCCTTTTACTTTTCAAAGCATACGCCCTTCATGATGCTAACCTGCGATTTTCTGAAAGAAATGTTTCCTATGTCCAGATCCAGTGTCAGCAAGTCACGGTGCTTGCGTACGATGTGATGCTCATGGGTGCAAAAAGACATTTCACATTTCTTGCGCTCAAAAATTCTCACTCTTGGAAGAAGCAGAAGAGTCGGAAAAACTGGCCGATCCCTATTTCACCTACTGCTTGGACCATAGTTCCTATAATCAAGGTGAACCCAAGTTAAATAATTGGGAGAAATGGGTTCGACAACGAGATCGATATTTGGTATTGAAGAATGAAGAATCCGCTGAGCAGCGCTCCGCAGCACTTTGGAATCGAGCACAATCCATTACTAAAGGAAACGATCATGCTACCTCAGAACTGATTCGAGCTGGATTTGGATTTCGTGAATTAGCTTCTGATCGATACTCATTTTTTGCCAAAGAAATGGCCGATACTATCTCATCTTCCCAAAGCACTGTGTTTCAGCTCGAAGCCGAAAATTTTCAACTAGAAGAAGCTATATCCAAGATGGACTCTAATTTGAAAGATACCTCACATAAGATCAAGCGTGCTGAAAAACGGAAGGTTGAATTACAGAAAGAAATCAACAAAGTTAAATCTCTTCTAGCTAAAGAGGAACTGGCAGAAAAGAATCGACTAGAACTCGAACGAATGGAGGACGCTAGGTTGAAGAAAACCGTTAGAGTCGAAAAACGAAAAGCTGAACTTCAGAAAGAACTCTCAAAGGTTACAGCTGAAATTGCTCAAGAAGACCGTGGCCGTAAACGAAAGCTTTCGCAACCTAATGATTTGAGCCATACTTCGACAAAACGTTACCGAGAGACATCTCATTCCTCTTCGGCATTACCTGACCACGAGTTCACAGGCTCAAGTTCTCCAGTATCTACACGAAGCAAACCAGCTACTACTTTCTCATTCCCACCTATCATAAGCTCTTTGTTCGGTCAGTACAATCACAATTCAGCTGATGCTGAACAGGATGAACTTAACAGCCCAACTTCAGCATCTCCAAACACCACTCCTAGCCCAACGTCTGGTGGTGCGATAGAATCGCTGCCTGACAATCCTACAAATGAGCAATCTAGCTCACTTGAACCAACGATGCCATCCATAGCACACAAGTCTATCAGTCCTGAAGCCGATACCACCAGTCTTCACAACCATAATGTACATAATCGACTGAGTCGTGTAACGGGCGGATCTGGTCATGTTAGTGGACTGGAAAATCATGGTAACAACTCTGATGCACACAAGCACTCTGATCACGTCGAAACTACTAGAGCACTTAGTGCTTCATCGTCGCCACCAAGAAGGCTATCGTCGGAGCAAGATAATGCCGATCGCGAAGAAGTAGTAGAGAAAGCTGCTAAGGCTGCCATCGTCAATGGAAAAATGCTATTGAGGAAGGCTCAAATGACACATAGCAAGTCGAAATTTCAAAACAACGAATCATACGGCAAGGAGGGCAAGCCTGAGCGTGTGTTGGGCTTAGTCGAAACTCTGAACTCCGTGCTGGGATCACCAGTAGAGGCGGGCGAAACGATTACGGGAGATTCTGAGTTGCTAGAAACCACAGCGGACGAAGAGTTAGTAGAGACCGACCTTGGCGATTCAACGGAGATCAATACCGATATCATCGAGACAGAAATGCTCTCGAATGGTCGAAGGTTAGAAACGACACCGACTCCTCCACATTTAGACCAGTCGATAACACGATCCAAGTCAACCGAAAAACGACAATCAGATGCATCACCGCCCATTTTGTGGCCACCAAACATTGGTCCTGGAGATGAGAGATTTAGTACCGATGTCGGCAGTGCGTCTTTAGGCGAACCATCCTTGTCAGGAGTCGAAGCAGCAGCTGAAACATACGAAAAGTATCGAACCTTTGTGAGGGTATCCCCTTTCGATCCAGAACAGCAAGTAGAAATATCCTTACAATATACCCCGTGGCTCAGCAAGTACTTACGTACTGACAATGCCGATGCCTACGATAGCGATGGAAATGATATCGTTACTGAGTACATCCCGGTTTTTGATGGTGAAGAAAATATTGTACCAAGCGTCCAGCATGATGATACTAAGAACGGCGAAAATAAAACAACAGCTGGAAAGCGCAAAAGAACAAGCCACAAACAGCCATCTGTCGAACCTGCTTTGCCCTCTCGGTCAGCTTCGCAAAATCATCGAACCGTCCAAGTACAGGAAACGCCGATGACGACAAGGTCGTTGTCACCGCGAAGGTCAACAATGATCAGAGTACCGCTTGTTAACCAACCCATTAGGCCACGAATTGATGCAGCCGAGCACGATAAGGAACATCCTCGTACCCGATCTGCCAGCCCCCTAATGCCGAGACGTCCGATACCGCGTTTAATGCCACGACCATCATCTTCTACGTCGAGTACCAATAAGATCAATCTGCGAACACAGTACGAACAAAACACTAAGGAAGCCAGTCTTTCAGTAAGAAGTGAAGCAGCGAGTAATAACAAGAAGACAGTCAATGGTCAAAAAGAGGTTCCAAAGCTCGATAAGCAAAAAGGCATCCACGCACCCATTAAAAGGGCAGCTTCCGATCCTAAAAGCTCGGCCACTCCTCCTCCTCCCAGTCATCCAGAAGCAGCTTTGCCGCCTAAGCAAAGAAAGGGCAGATCATTGGCCAAAAAGGCAACCACACTGCCTGCAGATGATGTTTGTGCAGAATGTGGCAAAAAGGAAATCTCATTGAAAATTGCCAGTGAGCTTGGTGTTTCCGCTGCAAATATGCGCCACCTAATAAGTATACGACCTACTAAAAAGCCCGGTCATACTGGTCAAGGCAAAGACTGGGATCCAGGTGTCTTGGTTCAATGTGAGACGTGTCGTAACAACTATCACTGCGGATGTACTGATCCACCTATTCGCAACTATCCAGAGCGGTAAGTGTATCTGAGCTTGGCATGTATGTTTTTTCCACCGTTCTAACGGTTCATGTTTCTTTACAGAGGCGTGCAGTTCCGATGTATAGAGTGTGATGTAGTTAAGATCATCTACCCTGAAGTTGAAGAAGTTCGACAAATGAATCGAGCACAACTCAAAACCGACAAGAAGTCTCTTCGAGAAAGAAAGCGTATTAATTACCATGAATGATCCCTCCCCAACCCTTCTATAATATTTTCTCCAGTTTTTTTCTCATACATAGTTTTATTCGTGCATCTACTATTTTTTTTTCTTTCTTTCTTTTTGGCCCCCCACATTTACCGGAGTCCGAATGTAATAAAATAACCCACCTCGCCAGAGCGCCTAGCTCATCGATCACCGTTTCCCAATCATGCCATTCCAAACTGACGACTTTATAGATTTCGCTAAACAATTCGTCAATCCTGACCTCTCCTCCTGGCAATCATATGTAGAAACACCAGAGTTCAAGGTGTACCGGCGGACTTCCGATCGCAACTCATCGCTGTTTGAGTACCGTATAATTGGAGGCTGGAAGGACATTCCAGCTAGGATATTGTCTCATGTCTACTTGGATCTGGCATATCGAAAATCTTGGGACAAGCACATGATCTCATACAAAGACTTGGGATCCAATACTTTTCACTACCTAATCAAGTAGGGCCTTTGAGTGTTTTTACTGGTCACAGACTAAAGCGGGCTGGAGCACTCACATTCAATTTTCCACAGATATCCATGGCCAATGAGTAATAGAGACTACGTTTACGAGATCCAGAAGAAAGAAATGAAATCCCAGGACGGGAAAAGAATGTGGGCCATCTTAGGAGACTCTATCAAGGATCCACAGATTCTGTCCCAAGTCACTCACGAGAAAGGCGTTGTGACAATTGATAACTATGCTCAGAGGATCGTTATTGCCGCCGACGGCGACAAGGGAAGCCAAGTTTTGATGGATTATTTTGATGACCCAAAGGTAAGCATGAAAATACAAAAGGGGCAAATGTTGATCAAGCAAAGTATTCAAACCGGTTACGACTGTAGGGCAATATACCAACTGCTGTCATCAATTGGGCAGCCAAGACAGGTGTTCCTGGGTTTATGAAGAGCTTGCATCAAGCTTGCATCAAGTTTGAGAAGGAACACCCAGGATTTGAAGAACAATCCGCGGATGTAATAGAATTTGAGCTGTAGATTTTGATAGCTGGTTTTCTACGCTGTGAATAAAATTCAATCAGCCATTGATAAAGAAATTTTGTTTGTGTCAACTTCAGCTTTACTGCGATCTTGGTGAATGTTTTTGCATTCTAAAATTTTGCCGCGTGTCGCTTTCCAATGTAGATTTTATACCCCAAGGCATGCACCGCGACCGACTGACCTGTCAGCGTACTTGGTACAGGCAGCAGATAAAGACCCAACCACTACTGTTCAACGCGGGACACGGTTTGAATTCTGCACCCAGACGGCACTGATGCAACACTTTGGAATGCAGCTAAAACACTATGGAGGACGAGATGACGGTGGGATTGACCTACGGGGCATATGGCCGCTTTCGACTTTAGTACATCACTCTCTACCTTCGACAATGGCTCTTTTCGTACAGTGTAAAGATCATCAAAAAGGTGTGAGCCCCGAACACGTTCGGTCCCTGATTGGCGCTATGGTCAGCCAGCAAGATCCTAGTCACCTCAGCATTGGAATACTAGCCTCCCCGTATACGCAAAAGGGATTCACTAGACAAGTCATTAGGGCTTTCGATGCAACCCATATTCCGCTTGGCCTGGCCATTATAGACGGCCTGGATGTAAATGAGTTAGTGTTCAACGAGGCTGCCAAAGATGCTATGCCTGGAGTAGACGTGATTCAGCGCTTCTTGCCTAACGAAAATACCTCAGAGCCAATCATGACCTTCAACGGACGACCAGTGCCTATTGTAAATTGATTGAAGTGTGGTATTCAGACTGGGTATATCTGTTTGCTGCAGTTTGAGTGTCTCTAACCATTGTGGTGATGTTATTTCCAAAAGTATATTGCCTTTAATCTCACGCACATAAAATATATCTGTTTCACTATCATTACTGTCATACTATTTCTCAACGCTGATATCTAATAAACGTCACTTATGTTCAATGAAGTGAAAGGACAGCCTTCGCTTGTCGCCTGCCGAATGCTGAATCATAAAACGAGTCACACTTAAGCTTTTAAAAGGTAAAGCAATTTTTGCCATTGACTTTGATAATACCAACAGCTAGCAATGGATCTCGATGACGACGTAGATTATGAGTTGATGCAGCAGTATGAAGATCAGCTGTATGGCGGTCAGGAATCGCAAGGATCAGACAGGTACCAAAATCCACTACAGTATTTCTCAGTGATTTCAATTACTCGTTAACACCTGACACCGCTATTGTAGTGGAGGAATTGACAGCGACGTAGAAGACGCAATGCTTAGCAGACTGTATTACACAAGTAACACCAAGGGAGCGAAAGCAGCAAACGAATCTAAAGAAGCCAAGGAAAATACACAGCCAAAGCGAGATTCATCACCGCCGGCTACCGCACAGCATAGCGGAAAAAGAGCATATGACCAATTATCGTCTTCAGACTTGGATAGCGAGGACGACGAGGTTAAGGTTTACGGAGAAACAGCGAGCAGTGGCGATGATCACATCTATGCAGATGAATCTCGTCAGGCAAGCTGTGAAGCCGATTCGGACGAAGAAGATGACAGCGACGACAATTCCATTGTTTTCACGCCTGCCAAAGAAGTCGAAGACAACGATATACCCGTCACTAAGATCATTGACCTTGAACAACCTATGGAGCTGGATAACGGTGTCAAAGATACAGACGAATATGCCTATATGGACAGCGCAGCATTTCAGGTAAATTAGGAGGCTCTTGCAAATTGTAGTGGCAATCTATCTCAATTTTTTAATTGGTTTTTGTGTGTTTAGGACCGAAATAGGTATTTTCAAAACGAGGAAGGTAGACAGCAGCAGACTTCGAGAAATGCTTGCTATTTATGTGGACAACTCGGACATCAGCAGAAAGACTGCCCAAAGGTAGCTAGCTAAACAACCATGTGAAAGTGTGATCTGTGCACCCCTTTAACCAGGTAATGAATTACAGTGTAGACAATGCGGGTCAATGGAACATAGAACAAGATATTGTTTGGCAAATGTTCAATGCTTCAAATGTAAGAAAATGGGACATCGTTCAGCGGTAAGTGACACAACTTTACGAATGCATGCATTGATGCTTAGCAAGAGCTTTTGTTTAAATTTTTCATGTTGTGGTTAATTTAGGATTGCAAAAATCAAAGCTCAAAGGAGTGCTTCCGATGTGGCTCCATACTTCACAATAGCGAAGTCAGTATCGCACTAAACATTTCGTAAAGGTTATGGCTCGACTCTAATCTAAATTTTGTTGAATGTAGGACTGCCCTTCAATATGGAGGATTTACAAGCTTACCGCCAAGAAGAATCCAAGAGACGTGTGGTGCTGCCACTGTGCCGCTCAGGGGCATTCATATCTTGTAAGGATTTATTCTCAATGTGGAAAGTGAACAACGTGGATCTAACTAACAAAGTTATAAAGGATTGTAATGTGAAAGACGCATTTGCCAAAAAAGCAATAATGGCAAGAGACTCAATAAGGCACGATCATATGTAAGTAACACAAGCAAAATGAGATGGGACGACGGCATCCGCTAACGTCTAAAGTAATTATAGGTCCCACCGAAGAGAACATGATAACACGCATTACCGACGTGATCGAGGGCGCTCTCCACCTGCCAAAATTCAAAGACAAAGCTATCGAGGCGATACCAGTGAACGACGTTCAAGATACGATGATCATCATGGACGATCTAGACGAGACGAAACCGTATCACACAATCGATCCAATAACTACCATAAGCATGAATCACATAGAAAACCGTACAATCAACCCAAACCACAATCCAACCATACCCCCACAAACCGTAACCAACGAAGTGGTAATGACTATAGGCGATCCGATCCGCAACCAACGCGATCAGGCACATTACAACTTTCGAATAATGATGGACGAGGGCGACATGGTGGTAATAATTATAGTAATGATTTTCCACGTAACGCACCCAAGCTTCCCCAGCCTACCTCCAGTGGTATTATTGGACTTCCTCCAGGTAACCGAGGATCTCCAAGGTACCGTGGAGGTTACCGGGCGGCGGTGTAACGCTTGAGAAATAAAAATTCAGTCAGCAACATTTCACATGCGGGAAACAATTATAATTTTTTTAAATTGGGCTTTTTTACCCTGTCTTCTCCTCTCCTTTCCTTACCTTTTCACTTCAACTACATTCTTAACGATTTATGCCCACTGTCATCGAGCTTCCGAGCTCGGATAAGCCATCGAACAAAGAGGATGCTGAACGCACGAGAATTATAGAAGAAAGGAATGCGCTGCAACTGAAGGTAAGCGTTGTTGTCTTCGTTGTCCCTCTTCGCTTCCCCTTATTCCTACGTGACGACATAATCCCTCACCATGGCGTATACCAATAACATATCTTAAATTGACAGGCTCACAAAATGAGATCTGCCATCGACCAACTGACAGACCAGCTAGAAACCACAGGCCAACAGGTTTCCTATTTACGAAATCGACTGCTACGCATAGAATCTAGCAATCTTTTGTTGTTAGATGGAATTAAAAGTGCCGTGGTTAACACTACTCCACCAGAAGACGAAGAACTTTCAGATTGGCAGGAAGATCGATATATTAGAATTCGTAAACATTTGCAGCAACTCATAAAACAGGCTGAAGCGACACTGGTTTCCACCGGCCAGGAAGACGCTCTTTCAAGCGAACTAAACGACCACACGTGTAATTCGCTTCTAGTGAGGGATGCCGATGACAGACCCGGTCAAGAGAAAATTGCTCACGAATTCAATGCTCTTATGAAGGTTGTGGACAATGATGGTGATACCGTCTGTGCACTTTGCCATGTTAAATCCAAGCGACAGGAACCAAAAAATTTTCTGGTCAAATTGAGTTCAAAATTGGGCATTCCCCACGAAATTGTCATGGCAATATGTAAAACTATGCCATACCTTGCGCGACACGCCTTTTCAGCATTCACTATATTGACAGCCCTTATTCCTGCTGTACGTGCTATTCTTGGTCGTCGTAGAAAGAAAGGTAGCATACCAAAACCGCGAGTTACAACGGTCAACCGTACAAAAACAGCTATCATATCTGAAGTAGTTTATTTTGCCATCATGTTTATAACTTACACCCGCGAAATATTTGGATCGGATGGCACTTTATCCTCTATCATATCGAGAGGAAAAGAATTATGGCATATCATAACGTCTGATGCCACCAAGGAAATCGAAGACGGTGGCTCCCATACTAAAAAACGCGAGCGTATCCTATGCAGCTTCGGAAGTTTAATCAACAAACTATATGCATTCATCGAAACAAACGAAAGAAACGAAAAGAATGTTAAAAAGGTCGTAAGCAACACCGTCAAAGTGGAAACCTTAGTAGGCAAATTGACGCAGGCGTCAAAATCGTCTAGCTCGCCTCTCATGCATATGGCCACCATGTTCATTTATGCTGCCGGCCTTGTTGGCGCCTGGGAAGTTAGCAAAAGAGCGACAACTTCCATATGATGATGAGGATCCCTGCCCTCCCTGACATTCAAACCTTAAATGCTGGCAAGCCGTTGCACTTGTAAATAATAAGTATACTGCCAGTCGGTTTAACTCACCTCATCTTATGAATAACTATATCACTGCAATCCTTTTTAATGGAACCATGTAATTTCACCCTCACAAAAATTAATTATATACCAGTAAACTACTGACTCGCATCATTCTATAACTATGTTTTGCAAAAACTGTGGTACGAAAGTCAAAGGGACACTATTACAGCCCAGACGTATCGTTTGACAATCCTGATGATATTTGGTATCTCACAACTCCAAACTACATGTTGAAGGCTACGGTTATTCGGTTGGTCATTACACTATGAATGAAAAAAAGGTCAACAGGGGAAGACCCTTTCCAGCTTAGCCTATCGATTGTAAGATTAGAGTGAGTGCATATGTAGGCAGATATCTATGGTGTATTACAACATCATGTTATTGGACACTTTCATACATATGTTAATGTTGCTGTGTATTCGATGGCGAAAGAGAAGATGTTGATACGCAACTGCTATGGTGACGGTAGCCACGGGCATTGACAGTTGCTGCTGAGTCAAAGGCTTGAATCTCCGAGAAGTCTTTGTGGCTTATAACGATTTTAAGAAGAAGCCAAAAACCTGCTGTAACTATCGTTTCAGAAAGCGGTAGTTGTTTCGCTGGCAGGAACCACTCATAACAGGCAGAAAGAGACCTAGTAGGAAAACATCTAGACTCTCCCTACAGACCGCCACTGAACACCATATTTCGACTAATTTCCGTAAAATCAACTATTGGACGTTGAATCACACTGCGACAATCACCCTGTTCATGTTACACTTTTAGCAAAGACATACGACAGTTACAAAGAGCATCTACAGCACCACAGAAGTAACTGATCATTGAAAATGATTAATAATTCGACAGCATGGGCCGGCCAAAGTGCAGTGAGTGTGACAAACAGACCCTAAAGTATTCAGTTGAAGTGCACAAATGCTAACCATTGTCTTGACAATAACAGGCCAATAGACGAACAGTTGAGCAACTCGACCTTGCATCCCTAAAAGTCGCTCAGATTAAGGATATAGTCAAGGAATTCAATGAACTAAAGGCTAATGGTCAGAAGTGGCCCCGTATTACCCTGGCAGGAAACAAACTGGAGCTGATTGGCAAGGTCCAGAACCGTCTATTGAGCGTCACGCAGCATCCGACATCAGAGGCTTTTCCTGACCATATGGCGATTATCCAACGATATGTAGATCATCCTTCGTACGTACTATTACAGACTTTGATAGACAGACTCGTGCGGAGATACTAACATGCAAGGTTTGAATTCAGTCAACGCTCAACTAATCGGTCGACGGCACCTTCCACCAAAGCTACACCCTATGCCGCTGTAGTGTTGCCGGTACGACAGGATCAGTCATCTTCACAAATCAGAAGTCATGGATCTCATTATACATGGTGGGACCAAGTGAAATTTAAAGATAGTCCGTTTTATGAACCTTTTGATAGGGTCAGTACTCCGAAGATGTGCATAGGTAAGGGATAATGAAAAAAGAAATGGCTATACTACGAGATGTGACTTCTAAGTACGATGCACCGAGAATAGAAGCAAGAGATATGAGAAGTTCCGTCTCAATGGACATACAGCTCACCGAAGCACAGCGAGCGGCTTTAAGAGGCCCGAAAGATGAATCTGGCCAAGTTACGCAGCTACGGTTCTTTTGCACAGCAGCTGACAGTTTTAATTCTAAGCTTCCTGCTCTAATGGAATATCCGCCTATTTGTGAGCTGAAGGTCAATGGCCAGATTGTTGGAGGGGTAAGGGAACATATCTATCACCATTTTGCAACCATGATCTAGTACTCACATGTAGAGAAAATATTTAGAGCTTACGTGGCCTGAAGAACAAGCCAGGCACTGTTAATCCTCCGAACATCACACCTCTGGTCCAACTAAGTCAGGCGAGAAATCATGTTGAATTGGTGTATGCGAATACCCAAAAGGTAGATATTCATCTGGATTGGGTGATCATTGTACACTCCACTCTTTTTCCAAGTCGTGCATTCTTCCGATACTGAGACTAATTGTTATCATTCGGTATCATTTTAGCGATATGCAGCCGCTGTCATGATCGTTAAAGCACGGTCTGTCGAATCCATTGTAGAGCAAATCAAATCAACAAGATATGTCACGAAAGAAGACGTTTTGCAGCGAAGTACGTTATCATTAGAACTTTTCTCACCAAACGCTCCTAACTTCATTTCATACTAACCGTTTCCATTACATTACAGTTCGTGCTAGAAACGCTGACTCTGACATTGTGGTTGGTTCCAGTGCTGTATCTATCAAGTGTCCGGTAAGTAGCATGGACATTTTACATTTTTCCAAATGGCATGGTTCGATATACTGATGATCTTTCGTAGTTGGGATTCATACGGATAAAATTGCCATGCCGTTCCCGCTTATGTCAACACATACAATGCTTTGACGCATTCACCTTCTTCCATATGAATGAGCAAACCCCTACATGGACATGCCCTGTCTGTACTAACATCATACATTCTTGGGAAGAATTGGTCATTGATGGGTATTTTAGCGATATTCTGGCAAATACCCCGAAGGAGCAGGATTCAATTATCATCGAAGAAAATGGCGAATGGCGTCTTGCTAAAGATACATCAGCGACATCTCTTTCCGCTTCACCGCCGCCTTCATCTCACAAACGATCTGTATCAGCCATGCGCGATAATACACCTGCTACCAGTCAGACAGAAGATGTAACTGTCATCGACGACGAGGATGACACGCGACCAACGCCGGTGTCAAGCACCCGATCAGCCGGGTCGCCTGTCAGTCAACGGTCAGGAAAGAAACAGCGCGTTATGGAAGTGATCGATTTGACGCTCAGCAGCGACGAAGAAGAAGAAGACGACGAGGCTGCGGAAGAGAAAGATTTCGTACCAACTGAGGATTTTTCGACAGAAGAAGCACCGGTCAAATCCGAGATTACACAAGAGAATCCAGTGGCCACGTCAAATGTCTCCAATGGGTATACCAATGCCCCCATCCTACCGATTCCAAGCACTTATCATATTAATAATGAACATACAGCATACGGGAATGGCTCAACTTCCTGGTCAGGGAATCACCCGGCTATAGTGACCATCGACAACGCTCAATCTGGAATTGACCGACCGCCGCTTTGGTTACCACCTCTTCGAAATGGTTCTGGCTCACCAAGGCAATACCAATCACCGCTGCGTAATTTGAGCCCACTGTCAACAACCTCATCGCAACTATCTTCCACCTATGACCCATCCAATTCTATACCACCAGTATCACGACTCGTCTTGGACAGTTGGAATGGATTCAATAGCGATCGAGAAAATAACTGAGGTCCACGTTAAAGAAAGGGGGCTTTTACTCCATCGAATGTAGTGTAGAACAAAGCCTGTGAGGCGTTTGGTCGTAGCTAAAGACTGTAAAAATGTAAACTAATAACTTTTTCTTCATGAAAAGAAAATTGAGGCATAAATAATATTAGAAAGGTTTTGTGAATAACCTGACTCTACGAGACCCGCAATAGCCCAGATGGGCTTTGTCGTTTATAACATGATTGCTTCTCTACTGTTCTCCACTTGAAGATGTGATGTTGACATGGCATAGAGCTGACTGGTAACTGCTTGTAGTACCGAAATCATTCTCGGTGATTAAAAAAAAGGCATTTATTGCATGCTTGGATTGAATGAATTTACAGCGGCTTATAGACAATGAATGACACAAATGATCGAAAAAATAATATAAAAAAAGAGTTGCAGGTGATTGATATGTAATGAAATGTTATAAATGAACCCAACGAGACGCTCGAGAAGTTCATGTAGATCGCTTTTTCAAAAGAAACTGCGAGAGGCGAGATTTACAAAGTAGAGAGGGGGGAGGGCAATTTTTGCAGTTGAAGAGAAAAGCGCGGCGTTTTCGTGTATAGGGTCATTTACATGTAGCAAAGCCAAGCCTTTCCTGCTCTAGGACATACTGGTGCATACGCTTTCATGGGCTCGTTGTCTACTTCTTCAATGAACATCTCTTGTTCGCTTGGTTCTATAGATGTATTGGGTCCGACATGACATGAGAAGTCCCAAACGTAGACTTTTTCCTTTCCGGACGTCATATCGCACAAAACTGCCACGACCTTGGAAAAGTCCGGTGTGGTTCGAATATCGGTAATTGATGTGAATCTTCGACTTTCAGGGGATGGGTCTGGAACTAGTCGATAGATGATTTTCCCTGTCCGCAAGTCCCATACGTTAATGCAAGCACGCATGTCGGGCTGAGAGAGAGAGTCGTCGTCATTACCCATCGGCGTATTTCGCAATTGCAAAAGCTGCTGCAATTGATAGGCTGTCAAGTTGGGTTGCCGAGGTATGTTGATTGTGCTGTCATTCAGCTGCGTGACATAGCCGTATCTAGTACTGGATTGTTCTTGGCTGTTGATGCGTTGTTCTTCCATGGTGTGGTTCGATGTACTCTGAACAATTCGAGGACCATTATCATTTGGTAGGACCTTCCCTTTCGTGAGCAAGAAGAAAGGGGTCATACAAAGATGCGAGAACATGGAGCCGGTACCCATAAATCTCGATCGCAACTGGTAAACCAAGGAGCCGGTGAGTAAGGAGAAAATGAGAATGGGAGCACTTGTATCAGAAGAACATGCAATAAGATTATCGTTGACTGCAAGCTCTCCAACGCCAGTAAACCATTCGCTTGTAGTTGATAAATAAAGCGATATATCAATAGTGCCTCTCCAGTTGTGTGCATCTGCAGATTGATTCTTGCGATGGGGCATTAACCGGTTGATATCCCAAACTCTTAACGTGCAATCAGAGCCACCGCTAATCACCACTATATGGTTCATATTAAACGATCATTAGGACGACTGGATGGCTTTCATCAATGAATATGCTTCTTAATTCCCTTACCGTTTTCATTCATGCTCACGCACAGAACTCGTCCTCGATGACCAGTCCACGTTATAACATCGTCTTGCTTGGCTAGGTCTCTAAGACTGACATTTCCATTGATGTCGCCGGTGACCATATAATTTAAAAGTGGATGTGTATATTGACTAGAGATGCCAGCGAAAGGTTCGGAACTCAGAACGGAGGTATTCCCAGAGCTGGTGTGCTGGAGAACAGCAATAGTGCTGTTGCGTGCTTCCTGCCCCTCGCTTGCTGGGGATCGATAAATTGGATTATAGCGCACGAGTTGTCCTCCGGGAATCAAATTCAACGATGTACTAAATAATCCTTCTTGCGGTATTCCAACTACAGCGTGGGGGTGTTTGGATGTTACTTCCGAGTCTATGGTTTCCGGGAAGTAGCCATGACAGTTTCCGGAATACCAATTGGTGCTTATCCGATATGAGTCCGCCCACGTTCGCTTCAGTGCTCTGAAGGAGCCAATGTCATTGAAACTGCGAGGATGTTGCATTTGCAATTTCCAGAATCGGCTGATTCCTTCGAATTCAAAATCAGTCTTCGCCGCGGATCCCCATATCAACTCTTCGTATTGGTGTATGATTCTATACCAATGCCGACAAACTTTCTGGCATTGCGTGAGTGACCTGCCATCTAGATATTGGAATATGGCAACATGAATTTCCACCGGTACAACCACTTCTCGTATCGGTATGGTAGAAACTGATAGGCGACCAGGGGAGACCAGTGGTGGACACGAAAGTAGCATCGGAAGAGGAATAGGTGACAAAGACAGAAAAAACGGGGCGAGAAAATAATGGGGGATTTTTTTTATTGAAATCGGGAGCAAGCAGTCAAGCAAGCAAAAGCAGCTGCTCTTGTTTTTAAACCAACAATAATCAATCGATCAACAATTGGTCCAGCCTTTAGTCGAAATGGTGACAACACATGAATCATCTGCAAATACCTCTCTATAGTCCTTAAACACTTTGGATGATACATTGAAGGAGTCTGCTCATTATGATGGCATTTGACAGCCACTCCGAAGTCTACCACAGCCATCGTTAATCATATGCATTGTATCCTCTGAATTGACTTTTTGTTTATTAAGACGATTTATGTTTAAAACTAGCAATTTGTTCATCAAACAAGTTACAAATCATTATCAAACAAAACATTCGTTGCCGTAGGTTATTGGCGTTGAAACAATCGGACAGCATAGACCGAGTAGTATTTTTAATTTATTTTTTGCTATCTACAACTATGAGGGCAATGTAGAGTATACAACCACGTAAGGATTAACGCCTTCATCCTTCAAATGTTCTCTAGAAGATAACCTATGGGTATTATGTAAAGTCGCTGAAGTGACTGAGACATCTGGCATATCCCACAAGCGTTTGGTTTTCAACCAGATATTATAATGTAACAGTACATGGATCATCCTCTTCCTCCTGACTTTTTGTCGAGGCAATTTTGCAGCTATTTTTTCTTGCCAAATTTCTGTGCGGGGCAGCTGGGACTAGAACCTCCTTCATCCAAGAGCTTTTCACAGCAAGCTCGCAGCTTGTCAATGACGTCTTGGCAGCGCTTTTCCTGATACTGGTTCTTTTCTAAGCAGGATTGGATCGCGCAGGCTGCCATTTGAACATTAGTCTAAAAGAATGTCCCGATACCAATCAGCACTTTTTGTACTCACCTTCTTTCATGCACGCTTGTGTCTCTGCTGGCTATTGTCATGTAAAGCATGGCGTCAAAAGGATATTCTGCAGTGTGGATAGATATCTTATGGCTTACTTTACCATTGTATGTTTTGAGGAATTTGGCAGTTCGTCAAGCTTTAAAAATAAAAAAATTTATATAGCTTCCTCTGGTAATCAATGATCTCATAGAATTTGTCACTGCTCACGGATGACGCTATAGCCCAAGTGCTTCATTACTATTGTCCATACTTTGAGACATCATTTTCTTATCTATTTGTTTCATTCGCTTGTTGTTTTGGCACAGTATATACCGAGCAAAGAAGATCTCCATTCATTGGCTTATTCTTTGCAGGAATGACTTTTGGCCGCTTTCGTCAGATAATGAAATCTATGTGCAAGTCGAAGACCGAACGCTACAAATGCATTATACGGATCGTGGATATGGGATTTTGTTCACAACTTTTGAGTTTATTCGAGAGTGATTGCCTTTTGAATATCAATAAACTCTATCATCTCTCGAGCACAGGTAAACAACAAAAGAAAGGGTAGGTGTAGACAATCCCATATCCACGATCCGTATAATGCATTTGTAGCGTTCGGTCTTCGACATCCATCAAGTTAGACATGATACTCCGTCAAGGGGATCCTGGCATAGTGGCACCAGATTTTTCCCCGTCATGACCACGAAGTGAAATCAACGCGAGTGACAGCCGGTAAAAATTGTTGAATATCGTCTCCGAGAATTTGACAGCTGTCAGCTACTTAAATGCCTTACACCCATCACTCTCATTCAGGGCAATTTTGCCATCATGCCACTGGCCAATTAGAAGAAGTCATTCTTTCAGCTATAAAGAAAGGTTTCCACACCCTAGGCTTGACTGAGCATATGCCCCGGTTCTCCGAAGGTGATCTGTACCCGGAGGAGATTGAGGTACGTCCAGTGCAAAACCTTGAACATTACCTTTCAGTACTTGCTCATTCCCATCACAAAGGCAAAGTGCACGCCGCAATCACTTCAAAAGACGTTTGAAGACTATTTAGTGGAAGCTCGTCGTTTGCAGCAAGCATACAAATCGCAAATCAACATATTGGTTGGGTGCGAAATCGAGTTTATTACAATCCAATACAAGCAATATATCGCAGATTTACGGCAAGAACACGGTATCGACTACGTTGTTGGATCTCTCCATCATGTGCATGGAATACCCATAGACTTTTCACCCGAGCTATATGCAACTGCATTAGAAAAGCATCAAGGCAACCTGCATGACTTATTTGCCTCGTATTTTGATGAACAGTATCAGATGCTTCAGGCTGTTCATCCAGAAGTAGTTGGTCACTTTGATCTTATTCGCATATTCCGAACAGAGCCAAATGCTGGAATCAATGACGAAGTATGGGATAAGATCACGCGAAATGTAGAGCTAGTTATTAGCTACGGTGGACTCTTCGAAATCAATTCGCGGGCGTGGAAGAAAGGTCTGAAGGACGCTTATCCTCAAAGAGATGTATTCAAGGTAATGGTGGAATTGATGGCTATGTATAACCCCCTGTCAACCGTATTTAATACCCACCTTCCTATCTACAGCTAATTCAGGATCGAGGTGGAAAATTCACCCTGTCGGATGATTCACATGGACCTAAAGACGTTGGCTTGTATTACAACAAATTGCAAGCATATCTCCGAGAAATGGGAGTGGGATCCTTGTATTATTTAGCGCTAGATGACCAAGGTAAACCCGTTGTAAAAGAGCACAAGGATGCGGCAGAAGATACGTTTTGGATGAAGATTTTGGAACAGGAGTGAAATCATCTATGTATCTATTAAAAAATAATGCTACTACTGGTACTTCTATGATGCTATTTTGCGTAGCTTTGCAATGAAAAATCCTACGGTCTCTGGATTGTTGACAGGGTCGAACCTTTGCACCTTGGAACATGCATCAGCTTCTAACCCATAGCCTGCTAATCCAGGTCCTCCTAAGATAGTATCGGGTGTGAGCAATTCCATGTCAGCATAGTTTTTGAGACACCAAGCAACCACAGCTTCGTTTTCATGTGGGTTAAGCTGCAAAATTGAGATGTGGTTGTATTTATTGATTAGACTTTACCTTTGGAAAGTAGAACAGCTTCAAAATGTGTGAACGTTTTACTTACAGTACATGTTGAATATATCATTGTTCCGCCACTTTTTAACAATCGCACAGCTTGCGCCATGAGGCGAACTTGATATGCAGGTTGAGATTCACGGAAGGATCTGACCTCCTGGACATCTTTCGTGGTGGAGAACGTCGGTCGTTGGCCAAATCCAGTACATGGTGGATCGAGCATAATTCGGTCAAAAACATTGGCTGCAAATCCTTGCCCAGGTAACCCTTTATAGTTTTGTGGTTCCAAGTCTCCTTCTAGTTTTGTGGAATTTTGAGCATAAGTCCTGACCTGACTTTCTACCCCACATAGTTGAGCGTTTTTCCTGATGCGATCTATCTTGTACTTGTTCTTATCTAAAGCAATGACGAATCCGTTTCCTCTCAGCATAGAAGCAATATGAACGGTTTTACCGCCAGGAGACGCACACTGAATAGTTTGTGGTCAGATAATATCCCATCACCATTTATTATGCGTGTCTGCAGACGTCAAATTGCTTACCATGTCCAGAATGATATGGCTTGGCTCTACATCAAGTAACCGTGTAGTTAGAGTACTGGTAATATTTTGGAGGAACACCAAATGAGATAATCCGAGTGGTATTCCGCAAGTTCTGTACAATGGCTCTACCATGAAGACACCATCTCCTGAGAGCTCGGATGATGGTTTTGAGAATATGGCACGGCGCGGCTTTTTCAATATGCCATTTCCAACATGAAACTTTAACCCTTGAAACTTTTCAGAATATCCTCGTAGGCATTTTTTTTCAAGATCAACCTATAAAGGTTTCCTAATGGATTGAGTATCTGTATGCTATTTTGATCAATTTGACCCATCGAATACCTACCATGATAGCAACTTTATCATCAACATTTACATTGCTTTCAACAGCCAGTATTCCAGGCTATATTCACTATTAGTTTCCGTCTTTAATGATGTTTCCACATTGATCTCAATTACCGCAAAGATATCGGCACCTCGAAGGACAGCAGTAGCGGTGGATGTGTCAATTGTGATTTCTGAAATAGCGTTCTTTGCTCAACATCTTCCTTTACACAATGATTAAATAGTTTGTATAGGTTACCTTTTTGTGGCTTTTCAATGCTGAGGGCTTCTATCACTGGTAGATATAGAACATCCTCAAGCATAGGGTGGCATTGCAGCTGAAAATGATTGATATCCCACCCTCGTTCGAAACAATGCTGTTCAACTTTACAATCAGCTACTACGCCAAAAAACCAACCTTATTTCAACTTAATGAATACCTTGTCGATAGCTTCTTGGATATCAGGTAATATGTCAGCTCTTCGCTTATGTGCTGCACGACTGAAATTCAAGTTAGGTTCGTAGTCGGAAGGGACAATGACTCTAAAAAAGGTTTTGGAGGGAGGAGAAGAGAGTGATTTGCAAAGGTTCTCCCAATGTTCCTTGGAGTAGGTATCTAGAAAGCAGCTTTCTACGTCCTGCGGCACCTTGAAAGGCGGCGATCGTGACATGTCAAGAACAGATCTCGAAGAGCCGTGAACAAATATGACTTTGAACTGGCCAATCAATGCTGGGTAAATCTGGTAAAGGCTGCAGCTGAATGGAGAAATAAATGTTTTAACTTGAGTACTGATTGGCTATTTCTTGCGAAATACAATCTCCGTCAATGACAGCTTTGAGGGACCAGTTGCTGGGTACAGCCGGTAAATTCGTTCGATCGGAATTCATCACCATGTCGTCAGTCACTGTTTTAATGGTACGATTAACTCAACACATATACACTTGAACACAGTATTTGAAGCTAACTTATCTGCAAAGGTGGCTGAAAAGCCTTCACTTGCCGAAGCCATTTCGAAACTGCTTGCACCAGGCGGCCACGTAAGTGAAATGAATCCGAATGCATATGGGCGACGCTGGGATCACGATCCCACTCATAGTATTCTAACCGAAATGCGAACAGTACGAGACGGTTAGAGAGGCGACGCCCGTGCACAGCTGGAAAGGAACGTTTAAGGGCCAGCCTGCCTTGTTCAAGTTCACGTCCGTAACCGGACACGTGTATAACATTGATTTTACTCAAGAATTCAACTCATGGGAGATAGATCCACTTCGTCTTTTTTCAGCGCCAACGAAGAAGCTAGAAGCCAATCCCAAAATGCACCTCTGTCGACATCTACAAAGCGAGAGTAAAGGCGTCGATTACCTGGTGCTATGGCTGGATTGCGATAGAGAAGGCGAGAATATTTGCTTCGAGGTGATGGAGAATTGCGTTCCGAAAATGAAACAGCCTACCAATCAAGGGAAGATGAGCCATGTCTACCGAGCAAAGTTCTCAGGTACAGCCATACACTGACTGAAGCATTCATGCAACAACCATGTCTCATTGAGTTCATTGCAGCTATTACCGCCACTGATTTGAAGAAAGCAATGGAAAATTTGGTCAAACCAAATGAAAATGAAGCGAGGGGTATGGACTGTTGTTTTATTTTGTCTTCAATGGGGTTTTGGTACTAATGTGCTGTTAGCTGTGGACGCACGTCAGGAATTGGATTTGAAGGTTGGAGTCGCCTTTACGCGCTTCCAAACTCGTTTCTTCCAAGGAAAATACGGCAATTTAGATTCAGCAGTCATTTCCTATGGACCTTGTCAGACTCCCACTCTCACTTTCTGCGTACAGCGCCATGACCTGATCCAGCAGTTTACTCCAGAAACATTTTGGACATTGGCTGTCACCGTGACAAAGTTAAATGCTCCTATCAAGCTAACCTGGGAACGCGGTAGACTTTTTGACAAGCATGTCACAAGCATGCTTTTGAATGCATTACAGAAGGAGAGCGAGAAGGGTGCAAAGTAAGCCATTCGTAAATACGACGCTTTATCAATTATGGCATGCACCAACATGTTTTAATTGCAGAGTTATCCAAGTCAGTAGCGAGAAGAAATCAAAGTCAAGACCGCACGCGCTCAACACTGTCGAACTTCTTAAGCATGGATCATCCTTTTTGGGCATCAGTCCGTCAGAATGCGTAAGTTTGTGGAAAACATCATGCTGGTTTTTGAGCTGAACATGGACATAAGTACGTTGCATTCTTTATAGATGAGCATTGCTGAGAGACTGTATATACAAGGTTACATTTCCTACCCCAGAACGGAAACCTCCTCATACCCTACGTCATTCGACCTAGACGAAGTTCTCGAAGAGCAGTGCAGGCATCCATTGTGGTAACGTTCAAGGTTCTAAGCGCAAAATTCGAATGAAGAGTAACTAATAATAAGAACATTAGGGGAAATATATGTTCAGATTTGCTTCGAAATGGGTATGACAGACCGACTGGCGGTAAAGACGTTGGTGATCATCCTCCAATGTATGTAAATTCCTCAATTCTTCCTGGAAGGCTGCCTATGTGCGCTAATATTGTCACCTATGTCATACAGTACTCCGACTAGAATGGCGGACGAAGCTGAATTAGGCGGAAATACATGGAGAGTGTATGATTATATATGCCGTACCTTCATTGGTTCTTTGAGCCCGAATCTCAAGTACATTCAAACTAAGGCACTTATGGCGATCGGTAAAGAGAAGTTTGAATGCTCAGGTGTTCAAGTGACATCTTTAGGATTTGCGTCCGTTATGCATTGGTAAGTCAATCAAATCTAATACTAATGCTGATGTTTGGATCAATAGTTATAAACATGTAAACTTTCAGGTTGAGCAAAGCGAATGAATATCTACCCGAATTCACAGAAGGAGAGGTGGTACCTGTACTTGACACGAAAATTGCTGATGGTCAAACTAGCCCTCCTGATTATTTAACGGAATCTGAGCTGATTGAACTAATGGTAAGTTGTTTGCCTCAGACTTACTACTGCAAGCTAGATGCACGGAAGGAGCTGACTATGGACCCAATTATAGGAAAAGAATGGCATTGGAACCGATGCCTCCATTCCTACACATATCAACAATATTTGTCAAAGAAACTATGTACAAGTTCAAGGAACGTCTCGAAAATTGGTCCCTACCAATCTAGGAATTGTTCTCATCCATGGGTAAGAATATCTCACAAGCAATTTTGCCATTTTATGACTTATGCTAACATATCTGGCTACGAAATTGTCACAACACCAATTACTTTAACCAGCTATCGTAAGCACTTCACATTGCATAGTATACTATAGACGTTGCAAAACTTATCATGTTGTTTCATATGCTACAGAAAAGATCGACCCGGAGCTATCGCTACCAACAATGCGGTCAGATATCGAGCAACAGCTCAGTTTGATTGCATTGGGACAGGCACCTCATGTAGATGTTTTAAAGTATTTTTTGGAAATGTTTGAGCGAAAGTTTGGATACTTTGTCAAACGAGTAAGTACCATTGCTAAGGAGGCATTTGTAAAAGGCGTTGGTCTAACTCCTCCCCCGCCTTTAGATTGAAGGAATGGACGAGCTGTTTGAGGCCACATTCTCGCCTCTCGCATCGACTGGAAAAGTAATGTCAAAATGTGGAAAGTGCAAGCGGTAAGCATTTTCGTATAACAAGGAACATTCAGCACTACCATCATAGCGCCCTAAATATACCCTCCTCATATTAGATATATGAAGTATATCGCACTAAAGCCAAACCGTCTGCATTGCAAAACTTGTGATGAGACATACTCTCTTCCTATGAATGGAAATATCAAGCTTTACAAAGAACTGCGATGCGTATGTTACAATTTGACATAGTTTGTACTAGTCACATTTGATTTTCAGCTAACATATCGCATAGCCACTAGACGACTTCGAGCTTGTTCTGTTCTCAACAGGATCAAAAGGAATAGGCTATCCCATATGCCCTTACTGCTACAACAACCCGCCATTTGAGAATGTAAAGAAGCACACTGCTTGCAACCATTGCCCTCATCCGTCATGTAAGCACTCCATGGTTAAAAATGCGGTTGGACCATGCCCAGAGTCCGAACGAGAGATAGACCCGTGTCCGGGTCGCCTCATTTTGGATGCCACCTCAGCGCCGCGATGGAAGCTGAGCTGCAATGAATGCAACGTTGTTTCAAGCTTCATTGATACGGTCAAACGTAAGTAACTCGATGTATTGTGTGAATGTGGTATAGCGATTAACCCATGCCTGTATCATCAGATGTAACGTTACTGGATGACGTGTGCGAATGCGGGTCTACTTTACTCAAAGTAGAGTTTAGAGAAAACGCCGGCAAACCCCCTGTTGAAGGATGCGTGTCTTGCGACGATGAAGTGGAAGCACTGCTAGAAACCCGATTTGCCAATAGGACAGTTAAAAGAAAGTTTGGAAGGGGACGCGGAAGAGGTCGTCGAGGTCGTGGACGCGGCAAATTGGATAGGCTGTATGCCGATATGCGCTAATAGACAAATAATATTAAATATTGGAAACTAGGAGTTTTCCTCCTCACCACCAGACTCGAGCCCCCTCTTGAATTATTGACGAGGTTTATTCATTGAAATGTAATGTGAAAAAGAATGAAATGGAGTTATGGACAAAGAGAACTTTACGAAAGTTCCCTTATAATAATGAAAATTTAACCGCAGTGACCATAGTTCTCGGCTTCCGGGATGCAATGTTGGCCGGAGGGGCAGTCATCAATTGCAGGGCGACATTCTCTTCCCGCTCTAGCTTCTGGATAATTTGATGTCACATGTATACAGCTCATTAGTCAAAACGTAACATATCATCTTCGCTCAAAACATAACCGTACTAACCAAGAGGACGCGGATTATACAGAGGAGTTGCCGAGGCAAGTTGGAGAAGGAGAGTGAGTTGTACGACGACAGTGAGGGCAGCGGCAAAGAACTTCATTTGCAGTAATGGAAAAGAAAGAAGTCGATGCATATTTGTAATTGTTAATAAACGCAGTTATATAGTTTTTTCCATCTTCAATGTGTTGTCATCAACATACGGATATCATTTATATTAGCCAAAATCGAAACGAATTTTCAGCATACAGTCCTATTGGCTGATTCGCAAACCAGCCTTCACATACACATTTTATTTTCCTTTCCCATTGCAGGCCGTCCATGCCGAGCCAGTCTTTCTGCAAACGACACCACATGCCTGGCTTTCTTTCAGGCATGTCTGTTACATACATCTCTATGCTCGTGTGTTGCAAAACATTGCAACACACAAGCCAAATATTCAACATCACCATGTAGTGCGAACATTGTCCAACAAAATAACCTTTCCGTCAGCGTAAGACAGCGCAAAGTGTTTTTTTTTTCTCGGAAATCATGAAGCGCTGCTTGGGCCGTATGCATGCATTGGTGCCGATTATGCCCTCGCTTTTATGTCAAACAAAAGGATATGCTCAGACCTCGGAGGAGAAAAATTATTAAGAAAATGTATATCACACGTTAAACGTTTAATTTCATATGCTGACCATGTCTGGTGATAACGAGACATATGGAAAAGCATATAATATGCCCAAGTTAATGCCATCGTGACTAAGTTGATGTGAGAAACGAATGAAAAAACGAACATTGTATTGTATAAGTTTTGGTTTATTAATACTCCATGATGTACAACTATATAGCAAAATATTCCATGATCTGTAATAGAGGAAATCCGTAATTGAGTCAATGGTAAGGTTAACTTACAATAAACCATTGACGAAATGAGATACTGACCTGCTTTGGTGGCATAAATGCCAGCCAGTCCGAAGTGGTTGTGGGTAACAGACCCATGGCATTGACTTTGTAAATGCCAAGGCCGATAGTGACCAATTGCAGAGCTAGGAAGGTTGCCTTGGATGTAAGCAAGCTCGCTTCAGGATGATTCTTTGCAGCGCCGGTGGGTTCAAACCGCTCAAATGCTATACCGTTATGATGTTAGGGTCTGGATATAAAGTGTGTCGAATTTACCGAGACGGCTGAATGACTCTTACTTTGATTCAAGGTGAAAATAGCTTTGATAGGTTGCCAAAAGAGCATGGCAGTGATCATGACACTGAAGATCTGAACACCAGTGCCGCTCATGTAAATCATAATAGCATTCATGGGAATGGTCTTTGCTGGTCCCATGGCAACGTCCCAAGCTCTCTAATAATTGAAACAAGTTCGACATCGTATTAGCTTGGGATGCGTACTGTTAATGACATCCAAGTGCCTTGAGATGCGCTTACCCTAGCTTTCAAAGTCATGTCGTTGTGATCTGCATCCGCTGAACGCGACGCTTTCTATTTAAGAGAGAAATACAGTAAGAGTCTGCGTGCCTAAACCATTCGACTTGTCTATACCTACGCTAGATTCTCGTGAGTTTTGAATCGCCCAGTTTCCATCAAATCCAACGGGACTTGGGATGCTCGAAGCTCTGTGTCGGATCGTGGTATCAATATCAAACATTGGCTAACATGGCTGTAACATCCAAAAAGCTTGCTCGTCTTTTACCTAGAGGTGGATTCTAGTGACGCAAAGTCAACACTCCACTTTGATTTATCGCTCATTGGAATGAATTGAACGGGTTAGATGTCAAAGCAGGACAGTTCGGGATATGTTTTATGGGTTGCGGAGAATGAAACTTTTATAAGTGGGCATCGTTGGGTGCTTTCTTTTTCAGCTTCTAAGCACCAACTATCTGAGAGGTTACATGAAAATCAATCAGATATAGCTATTTCTCTACCATTGCACTATCTATTATTTCACAAAAAAAGGTTTTAGCATGCAGAGTAGGAATGTAGGCTGAAATACTGTGCTTTTTCTATGATGTGTCTTCTATTAGCGGCTCGTTTGCCGCATGATATTGAGGTGGAAATGGTGGATAATACACTCCCATCCAAGGCTGCAATCCTGCTTGTTGACCATTCGAATCCACCCAAACCGTAGGAGCAGCTGGAATCTGTGTTAAATACGGTGCGGGTGCAGCTGTTGGATAGGGGTATGTAGTAGCGGTAGCAGTGGCTGTACTTCGATCCTTTCCCCACGATAGCTGTAATAGCGCGCTTCAGTAAGATGTTTCTCTCCCATTGAAAAATACATAGCACTGTAGTATGATCCTCATTTTCTCGAAAATCATTCACTTACTCGAGCTGGCCTTCCTGCTATGTTGACTCCCTGTAATGACACAATTGCGATCGCTGCATTAATATGAGTATCCAGTCTGTAATAGGGGATATATAGTCAGTATTGGAAATAATGATATCTAGTTGCTATGACAGCTGTCAATACACTTACTTTACAAATGCAAATCCTCGCTCGCCCTGCAAGCGAATGTCCATTACATATCCATATTGCTGGAAAAAGGGAACTAGCTCATGCTCCTTGATGAAATGCGGTAAATTACCGACATAGATAGTTGTGTGAGATATATGTGTTTGTCGCAAGACTTGCTCATACGATAATGCATAGCTGATTGTGGCTACATAGACGATATTGGGGTTAAAGGGGGGCGATCACACTCGTCAGCAAAAGGTAAAATACACCTTACAGTCTCGTCTAGTATTTTTCTGATTGGCCCAGTTGCATCGAATAGCTTTGGAACCCAATACCACGCCATTCATACTACCAATGGCTTTGTCTGCGTCCATTCGATCTTCAAAGCTAACGAATCCGAAACCCCGCGACTTGCCGGAATTCTGATCCCACATGACTCTTGCATCCGACATACTATGAAACATATTGAAGGCTTCGCTTAACGTGGTATCGGTGACCTCGGAAGAGAGATCACCGACAAATATATGGTGGTGCTGTGAGGTATCTTCTTTGTGAACTTGACCTTGAGTTGCCCAGTGCACGCGTATTGTCTTTTTTAGGATGGATGTTGAAAAACGGTGCCCGTCAATTATGAGGTGATCTGAGCCATTTACTAACGTGCCGAACTAGAGATACTACTCACTTTACCCATGATGTTTTTACCATTCATCATTCGTAGAGCTGCTTCCGCCGACGGATGATCATTGTATTCTATAAAGGCATAACTCTTGACCTCGTTGCCATGCTATATCACGTGGAAAACAAGAGAGACGGTATAGTTAGTCACGGCAGGTCAAAAAGTGTCAACGCAAGTAAAAAATCAAACAAAGGGAGAAACGGAGAATTAAAATGAACATTGAAAGGGTAGATTTCGTAGGACAGACAGACAGACACCTCTTCCCTTAACTGGGACTCACTTTTCTTTTGGTAAACCCATCAAAAAAGTTTAAGGGACGAGGTGAATTCTCGGGCAAATTTTGGCTATTGACCTATTAGTGACCCATGAAAAAAATAGCACACCAACCCAGACGAAAGAATGGATAGGCTGATGAGGGAGTGCCTCAAGAAAAAGGCACATCCCAATTTGTATGGGCCGAAATCACGGAATATGGGTTGTAAAAAGGGAAGGTGATATGGGGGAATATAGGGAATTATAACGGGTTTTGCAAAGGCTTCTATTCCTCAGCCGACCATTCCAATAACTTACGTGTCTATCAGGTAAAATCTTCATTCGTCTAATCTGATCCTTTGCGGGAAATAGATCAGCTAATTTCGCGGTATTGACTCGAGAATCCAAATTGCCAACATAGACCGCTTTACAACCATCAACGGAATCTTGTGTCATGTTGGCAAAGAGGAAGGAGTATAGTTTTGACGCTGTGGGTTACAAGTACGATTCCGGATAGACTGACTTGCGAGGGCAAAGTGCTAAGTCACAAAACTTACATGTCGTCATGATGGTTTGACAAAATTAAGCTTCTAAGTGTCATCGCCTCTGGCCCCTAGTTTCACCCTAGCGCTGTTTCTGATTATTAACAGCCATCGTTGCTTGAAAAAAAAAGGTGTAGGCGAAATATCATGTCAGCTCAGCTTATGCATGCTATAGCGGGATCAGATTTGCGAAGGGCAGAAGCTCATGGGCCAAAAAGAAAGAACATGGTATTCGGTGTAATCTATGCTATTTCAAACTTACCATGGTGGTGCCGATGATGATACCACTTGCAGTCCCCCCCCCCTTTCTTGCAGCGCATCTATATTTTCTCAAACAGCAATGTGCGTCGGAGATCCCATAACCGGCTCACAAGCGTGAATAAAAAGTGCATTATAATATTTGATGTTGTAAAACCCACTCTGCGTGTTGTACAAAAAAAGCTACTGTTACATTTGGGGGATAGGTAAAAGAACATAGAAAAAAACAAAAGCATGGGGGAAAACAGCGAAAATGAAAATGTTTTTTGAATGTAAACCAGTGATAATGTATCATGGATGAGGATGGTTAAGAAGATATTCTATTGAAGTCACCATGAAAAAGGAGTCAGTTATCTGGATGTGAAATTCGCCCCCCCCCAAAAATAGATTTGGTATAGTCTTTGATTTGCTTACCTTCACACAAATCTTGAAAACAATCTCTACAGCTTTCGAGGCTCTTCATACATCCGCAGCCGCAGAGTCGAACACCATCTTCATCAATGATGGGATTGAATTTGGTGGGATTATCTACTATGTTTCTAATATGATTTGCATGCCCTTGCCCCTCTGGTAAACTGTCGGTAAGTGAACCGTGGAGAGTGCAGCCAGCACACTCACAAGAGTCGCCACATTGGCAATGAGCGCCACAGTCAGAAGCACCGATAGTCTTTTTGTCAGTAAATCCACTGTAAATTTCATCCATTAAATCTTCAGAACTGGTGTGGTGAAGATCTCCAAGAACAGCCGCTTGGTCAACTTGTTCCCCATCGGTCTTATATATGGGTGTATCACTATCCAAGTCATCGGTTGGATCATTGATAGGGATAGGCGGTGTACGGGGAGAAGTCACAGGGCTGTATAGCGGTGAGTTGACCGAGTGAATGGAGGTTGAAGACGGTGAATGTAGCATAGTTGTATTGAGCGTTCTTTGCAAATGGAAGCGTAATTTAAATGGATCTATCGGGGTTGATATGGCAAGCTTCTCGGTAGTTGTTCTGATGTTTATATTCTCGTCCGGTAATGCATCCATTGGATCGCCATCCTGGGCGACCTGGGGCGTCTCATTACTGATATTACCAGAAAAACTGGGCGAACAAGACGAAGATGATTCTGTAGGTGTCATTGTCCCTTCGGAAGAAACAGACGACGTGTACATTGCGTCTGATACTATGCAAACGAGGATAATGTGTTAGGCATGACCCCTTTGCATTTTCCATAAACGTGGAAGTACATACAATCCGTAGTAATATTGCCTCCGACGATTTGTTGACCATGGCCGATGTCTAAATCCATGTGTAACGGTGAAGATTCCCTACTATGGTTTGGTGAAGGCTCTCGGCTATACGGAGTAGGGCGGATACGAGATCTTGATTCTAGCGAACAAATGTCAGATAGGATGAAGCTATTGAAGTCAAATTATCGACAACGGGAACCAACCTGGTTTATTACCGGAGCAAATGCATTTCACGTGCATGTGTTTTGTCTTGCGCAGTTCTTTGCACTGTTCGCACTGCGTGGATGGACGACCCTTTTTTTTAATTTCGATTAATGGGCTGTTTGCATGTTTGCAGCCACTCGTGCGATGGCCCTACGATAATGTAATGTGTTAAGTCATCGGAGAACGGATCGAAATATTTCTTCTAAAAAAATTGTGTACCTTGATACATTTCTCGCACGAGAACTTTCTGGCAATGCCGTCTTCACCAACGATAAGCATATTAAAACTTCAACTAAGCAATTGATGAGGCAATAGAGCCTCTTTGCTTAAAGAAATAGAGAGAAGTAGAAGTTGGATAAATGGTGGAGTGGGGATAAGCTAGAGAATAGAACCAGTCAGGAATTTGAAAGTTATGATGTCGAATTCCAAATAATGATGAGCGACGTAAGAGTGGGGAGGAAGAAGAAATAAAAGAACAAGCACCTTCAGAAGAAATTCCTAACCCTCAAAAGGAGTTTCGGAAGACTTTAGGTAAGAGTTGAGGATTAGCTATTATTGATGTTAAAAGTATAAGCGGTTTGGAAGGCAAAGACCAGCAGACTTGTTTTCTCTTTAATGGGCCAAAAAAAAAATTAGTGCGGAAATAGAAAAAATGTGTATTGAGCCAAACCACAGAAACAAATCGATTGGATGCGATTCAACTGAGCAATCAAAATGACTTGTTTCAGGCTTCCTTGCTCTGTTGACAGTGCTGATAAAAGCAAAGAGAGGTAAGTTCCTGCTGTTATGTTCTTCGTTTTTTCCGCCACTGTAACCCTTAACTTCACACGTGTTTCTCCACCCGATCACTTATTCTTTTTTAAAATACAAGAGTATTATATTACTGCGGGCCCGTGCCATATTGAAAGGATATAGCGAAACGCACTGTCCAAGGCTCTTGTGATGAATAAAAAAATAAAACTGCCTACAAGGGTTTCTCATTTCAGGTTTATTGCTGCGTTAAAGAGAAAACAGCCTCATCGATAATGGATCAAGCATAGCCGAAAAGAGACGATATCGCTTTGATCAGAGTCACCTTTATTTGGTATCATCGTCCTTCTTTTCCTTACTTGCCAATTCCTTGGCCAGTTTCTTGAGTTTCTCGGCTTCCTGCAAATAGCATACGAAATTAATATTGACGTCGTAGCCTAACATAAGTAGACGGTATTTACCTGCTTCTTAGCCCAAACTGCCTCGTCGCCTTTTTCCTTTTCTGAAATTCCTTTGTTGACGCCTGACATGGTGTTATGAAATGAGATTTGCCAAAGCCCATATTTCCGGGGAATGACGAACTTGATGAAATTTGCAGGTCACGGGCGAAAGTGACTTCGTCGCCTCAAGCCAACCATGGCCAATCGCTGCAGAATTCCCACTCCTCCCCTTTGCAAGGCTTACAGCTCTTACATGTTTCCCCCATGTTTATACAGCCAATATACGCACGTTGATGTGATGTTTAGCCAACGTAAAAATGCATGTCTGTTCTCTCCGCAAATGATCGACATGTTTTCAATAATCGATCGACAAACTAGATCAACTTCAGCCTATTCTGTGTTCTCATAAAGTCCTATAAGGGACGATAAAATGGGTTGTCATGAAAGAGCTTTGTGATTGCTCGGCTGGTATGAGGATGGGCTTCCGGCAGAGCCGCAGATCTCAACGCCAATCATGTGACAACGGAAAACCCAAACTCAGATGATCCCTCCAGCTTTACTGGTCTCAGGCCAAACTTCGCTCCTAGTCATGGCAGGTAGTGATGACGGCTCGGATGAACAGACCATTACGAATAATCATGTTGGATATGGTGAGCCATTGTTGTTGTTGCAAATACAACTCACAGCCACTGACTTTGATGTCATATCACTATAGAAGGACTGACAGACGCTGAGGCTGACAAAGTGAGTTACTGGGCAGATTGGGTAGAATTAAACGGTAAGATAGGTTTCTACCATATGACGAGTTCTATCACAGAACCTAGCTTAGACTTCTTTTTTACAGCCGTAGCACCATCAGAACCGCCAAAACCTCCACCGAATTTCAATTCTGGTTACTCCTCTATGTCTGACCGTTGTGAGGAAGACAATGGTAAGCGCTAAGCGAAATTAGCGTTGGTTTCTAAACGACATTGACTCTAACTCTCTTCACTGACTAGTGAAAAAAGCCAAGCTCTGAACATAAAGAATACATTTCACCTGGAAGGAGCCTTCTTTGTACCAATGCATAATTTTTGTTTATGTACTTTTCGTTGAAATGCTTTCATGCCTATTTGTATTAAAAAAATCATGCCAATATATAAACGTCTATTTTACACTTCATTGGTGCTTCTTTCGATGATCCGTGTATTCTGTGGCATTATCCACCAAATTAATCTGTCGCCAGTTGAAATACAGGAATGCCAAAAGATAACATCCGCAGCTAAACAGTACGTTAAGCACAGTGTAAAGGTCAGGCAGTGCCTGGGGTGGAGGAATGTGAGATTCAGCAATATGCCAAACCAGTATGACTGTATAGCAAATTGAGGTCAGCAGCTTGACCACTTTGCTCATTGAAATTGTGTGGAATCCAGCCAAGTAGTTCCACAATATCGTGACTAGAAAGTAGGGAAGCACCAGGTCTTCTCTCTTTAGAAGAGGGAACATACTGTTGGAAAATCGAGTTAATGCCTTTCTTAACTGACTTGGAGAACACCCCGAATCACCCATACCTGAACATGGCCACGTTGATAAACATGTTCACAGCCCACGGTTCCTCTAGTATCAAAAGAGTCACGGGTAGAGCTGGCAACAAGATACTCTTCTCATGCACTTGAAAGGAAAATAAGAAAAATGACATGGAGCAACATACGAGACCATACATGAGTCTTTTTCGGGTTGGATTCAATCCAAGATGAATAACAGACGGGAGCATGGTCAAAACGGTAGCTACCAAAGACAATCGAATGGTTGTTTGAAGATCGAATAATTGACGCAACTTAACCACCACGTTGACAGCGCACCACATGTTGGCAACCTTATCTTCATAGAGGCCTCTTGCAATGGGAAATACGCGATGGAACACTTGCAGAATATCTTCAACCGATGTTAAGAAAGGTGACAAAAGAACGCCGAAAGTGGCAACGACCGTAACACCAAGTCTAATAAACATGGCGATACTGAAATACGATATCATCAGTTATTCGTTGGTTGTTAGATTATAGACTATTTGCAAAGCTGAGCTTCCGCTTACCCGTTGGGTTCTTTGAAGCATTTACCAAGCAAAAATGCAAATACTGCCGGTGCATAATAAAGAGCCATCTGCTTGAATCCAAGTGAGAGACAAAAGAAGAAAGAGCCAAGAGCATATTGTTGCATCATAAAGCAGTTGACAGCCCACAATGTTGTTCCTAACATGATGTTGTTGAACCTGCAAATTTCGGGATATATTAATACTGGTGTGATTTTGCGAGCGTAAGGCGATTTTGAGAAGATAACTCACTGAAAATGGCCGTGGTCAATGATGATGAGCGCTGGTTGCAAAAGAATGAGTAGAGCTGCAATATTCTTTACGAATGGGCAATGTCAGTATCAAGGCGCTTAAAAGTGATGAATTGGTCTAATGCTTACCTTCTTCAAATGACCTTGCTTTCCATAGCAGATTTGTGTAAATACAAGCACAGCAGGTATAAAAATGATGCTTTCCCAGAAGACAACAGTTGCTCGCATGAAGTGCTTGCTGTCAGGACTTTCATATCCTCGCGATTCATCCAATGCAAACCACGCGGGATTGATCCAGGAACCACTGAGGAAAAAGGGAGGTTGGTCAGTCATTTCGCTCCATCCCCTTTTCTACAAAAGTCCCTTTTCCTAAACTTACACAATGCCGCAAAGCCAACTATGGTATGCTGTGAGTGGAGGATAGTCCAAGCCCCACCACTGAAGATCGTACCGGTACCACTTTTTGATTGGCAAGTGGATGGTGAGTTCCATCCAGTGTCTTTGGGCCTCATAGTCGCCAAACATAGGGGGAGTTTGGAAGCCTTTGAGGAATTTGCATTAGGAAAGGACGAGGGTAATGGTTGGAATATTCATATGAATTACAACAACGATGAATCTTACCGGAGTATGGGTTTAAAGCAACCGCCCATCGCACGAATAGAGAAAACAGAACGGTTACTAGTGGGGCAGTCCAGAAAGTCTGGTTCTGCACCAATAGCTGAAACCACCGATTGGCAGGCGCATTCTTTGCCAACGGTGAGTCTACCCCATGTTGCTGCATCTTTGACCTTGTCATGCGAACCGAGTTCTAGAGAGTCTGGCAGTTGAAATATTTCAGTAACCGACTGATGATTTTGGGAAGTGATTTTGGCAAGTATTTATCTGCCAACAAACAGTTCATAAGAGTACTCCGACAAATCGCCTTGCATAGTTAGCATTCTTTTAGTATCCGTACAATCTCTTTCTCAACCAAATATTTGCAATAGTGGCGATCAGAATCGCTTCTATAACTTTCCTACAACGGGCTTAATTAGTATAAAAAATTAGTGTAGTCAGTGGAGAACTGATAGATGTAAGGGTACGCTATTATGCGATGCTATAGCATAATAATTCTATCTCACAGAACAGATGAATAGACATAGGATAAATGAAATTGATTACGACAAACATTTGAAACCGTGAAATGCTTACCACGGTTTCTCCAAATTCTAGTCAGAATATATTCGCAAAACCTTGCAAAGCAATTGGTTGTTACACTGCCATTTCTAACTCCAGCGCATGTAAAGTTGAACCGCAGTCAATCCATTTTCGCACATTTGCTTCAGAACAGCCACGTAAATTACATTTTACATGGGCTGGAAGCTTTGTAGACTAATACTTCTTATAGTTTAATCAAGATGGAAATATATATGTAGTATTAACGCGATTGTGTGCAAACTAGAGTACAATATTGTCGTTGGAAATACTGGTAGCTGAAGAAGAAAGTCACACGCATGTGCGGAAGTAAAAAGTGAATCAAATTGGCAGCTAGCATTTTTATCTTCTTTTTAATATTTTGGTTGCTACAGCACGGTATGACTGAAAGAAGCTTCGAAGATCTCGTGGAGGAGGCAAATAGCGCGTCCGTTGAAGGCTGGGACTTCTCATGGCTGGACGGACGTGCTCTTGAAGTACGTCCTTCATGGGGATATCAACGATCAATGGGCGAACGTATGGCACGAGCTAGCGCAGCACTTGACATCCAAACAGGAGGAGGAGAAGTTCTCGCAGGGATCCCGAAAATCCCCCCTCTTTGTGTGGCAACGGAATCTTGGCAACCCAATCTAGCCAAGGCCACCAAATTACTACACCCAATAGGCGTTGCTGTCGTCTTAGACAACGATGAGCCGCCACTTCCGTTTGCCGATGATGCCTTTGATCTTGTTGTCAGCCGTCATCCTGTTAAAGCATACTGGGCAGAAGTTGCGCGTGTGCTCAAACCCGGCGGCATCTACTACTCACAACAAGTTGGGCCTGATAGCGTATTGGAAGTATCCAAATTTTTCTTAGGGCCATTGGAAGGCCGTGTAGATACTCGGCATCCAGAGATGGCCAGAAAGGATTGCGAAGAGGCTGGCCTGGAAGTACTGGATTTGCGTATGGAAACACTCCGAACCGAATTCTACGATGTGGGAGCTGTTATTTATTATTTAAGAAAAGTCATCTGGATCGTGCCTGGCTTTACCGTTGAAAAGTTCATGCCTCAACTTAAAGCTATGCATGAGCACATCAAGAGAGAAGGATGCTTTAAGGCCAATACAACCCGATTTATTATTGAGGCTCGAAAGCCAGGAGAGAAGAAGGAATAGAAAAAATGTTACCACCGCTACACTTTGCCCCATTTGCCTTGCCATGAATAAACCACTTTTATCAAACCCCCACCGTTGGCAATATGTGATTTTCTCACATCAGACTGATCTACACCATATTACCCACTCCCTAGTCAAAGCCAGAACAGACAGCCCATACACCACCATTGTCATTGAAAGCAAGGTACCAGAAGTATACATTGAATATTTGTATGTGTTTTTAATGTAATTGTTAAACCAAACTACACCCGTGTACAAAGAAGATCCGAAAATGTAAATAAACGGACAATAAGCGAGCACATTTATTTCAGCTGTAAGAGGGAAACACGATGTCAGTCAAGATCCATAACTCATTTTTCATCAACTCTGTTAATTCAATTACCTTCTTCTTGATACGGAGCTGGTTGGTGTGGCCACACTTCTTCTTGCGGCAGTTGGTGGCACGAGGAGGAAGACGAGCATAGCACTTGCGGCAGATCATCTTCTCGCAGTTGTACTTGGAGGCAAGAGCCTTCAAGGAAGGTTCAATGATACCACCACGGAGACGGAGGACAAGGTGAAGAGTGGACTCCTTCTGGATGTTGTAGTCAGAAAGAGTTCGGCCGTCTTCAAGCTGCTTGCCGGCGAAGATAAGACGTTGTTGGTCCGGAGGAATTCCTATTGAATTTTGCAAAGTAAATTAGTACATTGTACAGTAGGGAGGGAATTGGAACACTTGTTGAACTGGTGTGCTGAAACAAAAAAGCTCCATAGTCGAAGTTGTTGAGGCTTTTGTTTCTTTTGAAAAATGCTGAACTACGACGTAAACTGAAAATGTTAATTCTTACCCTCCTTATCCTGAATCTTTTGCTTGACATTGTCAATGGTGTCTGAAGACTCCACCTCAAGGGTGATGGTCTTGCCGGTCAAAGTCTTGACGAAGATCTGCATGCTGTATAATCGATGGGTGAATATCAAGCAACGATGGATTGGATGGATGGATGGATGCTCACCTGAGTGACCAAAGAAAGAAAGACTATTGGGCTCTCACTACCTGGACACATTTAGGGACAGGAGAGCCACTCAAAAAATCAACGTCATGTTACTGAGGCTAAAATTTAAAATGGTGTGCTAAATGAAAAAGTCCGCTTAGACGCATGGAAAGGCCGTAAAGACAAGATTGTAGTAGTATATTATGACTTTCTCCACCTTCACTAAACCTATTCCGTTGTGATAAACATTGTCAATTTTATTTTTTTAATAATTACAGTTGCTGATCTCCAGCAGCGCTCAAAGGGCGCGCTATGAAAAGATTTTTAGGTACCGTTTCTACATCATCCACTTTGGATCCCCTCTACGCTTCTCAGACTCTCGGATTTCAAACATGACTTGAGCTGCAATAAACAGACAGCAGACCGTGCAGACCAAGAAGATCAATCCATCAAAGGTAGTGAATATCTGACTTAGCAAGTCTGCCATGCCATCCAGTCCGACACAGAAGCCAACCAGATTAGCTATCATCATCATTAAGATATTTCCAACAGCTCCTAGTGCACAAAGGTGTCTATAATAAGGCCAGCTTCCCCACTGAAAATTAGAGCTTTACGGTTAAAATGTAATGATCGCTTTTGACGTACTAGCGGATAATGTAATATACATACCCGCTTTTGTGAAAAGATCGTAGTACAGGCGATTTCAGGTACTAAGAATAAGCAGATAAGCCAACCCCAGGCAAGAAGGTTGAGTTGAATATCATGCCACAGTGCAACAAAAGTGAAGACGATCCACATGTTGAAGGCAAAGTACTTTGAGCCGCCAAGTGGTATATAGATGTATCTGGATGGTGAAGAAGATAGTTTAGTATGGTTTAAGATCAACAGGCTGAAATCCCCATTGTGTTTACCGAATAGTCCAGCGGTTGAAACTTCTGTGCCAGCTTTTCCAAAACATTTGCGCAGAATAATTGTTACTCATGCATCGCACCATATTTTCCTCCACCCACATTCCATCCGCCAAAGCCCAAAGTCGGAAGAACCTCCATGGGATGAGTAACTTCATCCAAATGATAACCAAATTGAAGTATCCAATCATACTAAGTTGTAATGGAGAGTCTCCTGCCCAAGCTCTGGATTTGCTTATAGCTACCACATACAAGTAATGCAAGGTCAACTCCATAGTCAAGATAACAGCCACAAGTCGAAAAGCGTATTGAAGTACATATCGGCGAGTAACGTTTGGCGATGGGTATCTCAACTGATTTCACATTAAAGTTAAAGATCAATAACCAAATCAGATAGTAACAAAAATTTCTGATCTCATCCTTACCTGAGACACAAAATCGTTGAAGGTTATAATGGGACCACAGAGGTAAAGCGGTGTATAGAGAATGTAGGCCAAGAAGTTTACATAATTGTAATCTTCATAAAAAGCAGGTTTCTGGATTCTGTCTTTGTCGCTGACTGGACCTCCCATGCGTTCATCCTTCTGGGCAGCAAGATGTGTCAGTAATGAGTACTTCGACTACAACAAAAATGATATTACTTGGACTCACATCGTATGCATCTCGAGATTGCTTATTTCTCCAGTAGTAGTCCATGTTGAAGGATACCATGCGTAACATTACAAAGTTGAACAGAATATGCCATCTCGGAGTCAAACCTCGGTAATCATCCTGTTCAATAATGTAAATTAATTAACCATAGATCAAAGCGCCTATTCAAATCAAGCCTCAAAATATACTAGGTACTCACGAGGAACGCAAATGACTCTCCGATTTGCTTGAACCTATAGCCATCGTTCCATTCGTTTGCAAATAGTACTAGCAAATTCCAGGACCAAGTCAATAATGGATTGAGATAGGAGCCCTTAGTCAACTTCGCTATACCGTAGTTGATGGTAGCGATGGCCAGAACCTTAAAAATGCTAGTTCCATTGGTGGTAGCGATGTAGATCAAGGCAGCTGCAAGAATGAAGTACGTTCGAGGGAGTGATTGGTGAGGATGCTTAATTGGCATCGCAGGACAGCAGAACCGCTGGTAGATATGAGATAAAAGAAGATAGCCGAACGAAAGTGGAATCAGTGTGGGTATGTTGTTGCGGAAGGATGCGTACTGGTTGTCACTGTTATCCTACAAGTGATTGAATGGGTTCAGTTTCTTTGTAGGTCAATCAAGTTATTAGCATAGTGGAACAATGTATTTACCACTTTTCTGCCGAAAATCCACCCAGGCTCTAACCGATACTCGTACTCGGGGTAATGAGGGTTGTCATCTGCAGAAAACGGGCAATTCGTCAGTGGTGATGGCGAGAAAATTGTAGTGTAGAGTTTCTCTGTATACCTTTGCTCAGATCGTACGTGACCTTGAACATATATGGGACTACAAATGCGAACGCGGCATAGTAAAAGTAGAACTCTGTAAATGAAACAACAGTCAGGAACGTGAATGATACTCTACTGTTGCTGGGGATTAGCAGCAGCACGAACCTTTAGTTTTCCATCTGGGTGGTTGGGTTACCCATTTCTCTTGCGACTTGCTTTTATGCTGTGTAGCCGACACAGGTTCAGACATGTAGGAATGGAGTCAAGTCGAGGGACAAAGTTATCTCTGCGAAGCCAAGTGAATGAATTATTGAATCGGGCTGCCAAATGGGAAAAAAGCATATGGGTTTCTCATTAAAACTCTCAGAAAAAAAATTGATCGCAAGCAAAAAATTATATTTTTAAGCCAAATGGGAGGACTTCACGGTGCTAAACCTACTTTTTTTTTGTAGGCTTCATAAGGCATGAGAATCCTTCATAGCGCAGTTGTATGTAAAGGTTGTATGTGAGATAGTATAAAGGAAAATCAACGGTTACTAAAGTAAAAAGGAAAAATAGATATGGACAAGAGTATGGATGAACTACAGGGAAAGGTATGTGTATATGTAAGTCTATCAGGTACCCCAAGCAAAGCTGGATCTCTTGCTCATAGAGCTAACCGGCCGTGGTATTCCTTGACGCATAGCTAAGTCGGGACTAGTGGGAGGCATCATTTGCCCATAATTCATGGGTACCTGAAGCATTGAGGCAGGGATTAAAAATTGATTTTGCATCATTTGCTGTTGCTGATCCAACATCATCATTTGTTGCTGGTATTGGCGTTGCAAGTGTGTTGCAGGTGTAGATATACTTGAAGTGGGGTATGGAGCCTCCATCCAAGGTGAAAGGCGAGATCGACGATTGTCTGGACTGGGCGAAGTGGATGTGGCCGGTCGGGTATCAAAGTAGCCCATGGCGCTGTTCGGCCGACCCATTGGTGCTTGTTTGTGCGAATCTCTAGCGAAACTTCCATCCGGTCTCATGCTATTGCGTGTGCCATGCGATCGACTTCCCTGTAGCTGTTGAAAATTGATATTGTAGGCCCCTGATTCAGGTAACTTTGCCAATAGACCTTCGATGGGTGCGTTTGTGGAATCGAGCTTTTTGGTTTTGTTCTTCGCCAATGACAGTTTTTCTTGCTCGTGCTGAAGAAGCATATCCATACCGGACATACTGGCACGCTTAGCATGGCTTTTTCTAGACTTATTTTGCCCAGATTGGTAATGTTGGATCTGACTCATCTGCTGTGCATGGTGAGCTTGCATCATCTGCTGCTGTTGTAGCAAGCCTTCATATTCCATAATAGTCGATTTCCTTCGAGCCGTTCTACCTGGCACAGGTGTAGAAGGCTTGGATGTAGGCAACCTATCCAGTCGTTCTGACGATCTGCTACGATTGTGCACATGAGCAGCAGCCAAATGATGTGAATCATAAGCATCCGAAGGTCTACTGTAAGGGTCAGCACTTCTTCGCCACTGCTCCATTGGAGGATTCGATGTACGTTCAGCTTGCAGACGTGGCACTGAAGAACGGTCATCCATCATATCGCCTAGTGACCTAGACCTTTGGTGTGCGGCTAGGCTACTACTTCCTGCAGATGATGAGCCTGAACTGGCTCTGGATGTTTTAGGGTGAGCTTGCGGGTCAGAATGACGTTGAGGGGTGAGCTCCACGGAAGAAGCATCGCCATCGTCTTCATCACCATCTTCGCTATCTGTAAACGTTTCAAAATGCACTGTCAGTAACTGGCTTTTAAAAGTGAATAAATTCAGCCAAATCTGCTTACCGGAGGCGCTGCTCTCATCATCGCTGGGTAATGGTTGCTTGCGTGTGGCTTTATTTTTCGAAATTATTTCTTGTTCTTCTTGATCTGGTGGTGTCAACACTACTTTTTGCTTTCCTTGGTCAGGTGCATCAGAGTCACTATCATCTTCTTGATCCTCCTCCTCCTCCCCCTCCTCTTCTTCGTCCTCATCATCGCTTGGTATATAAGTTTTTCGAATCCTTGGTTTGACAATCGCTGAATTTGAAAATTGAATGTTAGAATCAAACTGAGAATGTTCGGAACTATATACACCTTTTGAAATGTGTATATGTTTGTCTTATGCATAAATATGCTGTATTTACAAAACTCATTTACTTACAAGTCCGTGCCTGGGATTGTACCTGGATTTGAGTAGGAGCTTTTGGTAAAGCTTGCGAAGCGACCCTTTGTTTAGCAGACTGCGTTCTTTGTTGCGGTATCTTCGTCTGATGAGGTTTATGGGACTGACGGTGGTTAGGTGAAGTATGACCTCGTTTTTGACCTTTGTATTGCTCAATTGCTTGGGGAATGTGAGATTGGTGAAAGATCACACTTTTGTCCCAGGGATCAGCGTCTGAGTCATCGCCATCGGGAGTTTTAATAGCGCGTGCAAGTGCCAGCCGAGACATGTTGACAGTGACATTATCCAGAGACATGACGGTTAACCAAGAAAGAAAAAGGTGTACAGGTGGTTTGGAATAGCGGGAAGGACCAAAAGAAAAAAAAAATTAAAAACGGGCCTGCTTTAAAAAATAGCAACAAGGAGAGTGCGTTCTAAAATTACTTTTATACTCCAAAGGCTGGTGCTACCTACTTTCATTGTGAATAAACCGGAGAACAAATTCCGTTCGCTTGCAGCAAAAGTAAAATCCGAAAAACACCTCTTTCTCGCTTTCATGGTATTCTATGAAGGAGAACTGAGTGGTGTGTCGTATGACAGCTTCTAATGCTAGCCAGGAAAACTCGATAAAATATTCCTTTGAGCGAAAAACTCTGCTGGAAGGCCTAATCTCTGTCAAATTATGGGCGCCGAGAAGCCGTTGAAGCGGGAATATTGTCTGTAAAAGTTGACCCGAAGATCCATCTTGATGAGCCTACATTAATAAGCTTACGCGTCATTCTACCACTGCCACAACAAGCAACAATGTCCTTTTCGTGGATACTTGTATCGCTGCTATAGTCGCTGCTTAAAATGCCAAAAAAAAATTGGATTCTACATCGAACAGATGACCGGCTATGATACGCGGTTTCATTGAAAGTGCTCACGCCACGTGAAATGCTTCTTATGGTGGAACCATACAAACATTGCATGAACGTGGCCACAATAAACCAATGGCAAGCCACTACATAATACTCTTTGAATTGCTTCGGCCAGCTGAATTTGGTGCTTTTTGGACTTCTGCCAAATGTTAGGGACAAGACTACTACAAATGTTTAGAACAACTGCAAATTAAAGGAGGTAATAAGAACTGGAGCTAACGAGCTTCAAAAAGTGTTCAGCTTTAGAAAAGATTTTAAACCACATTATGAAACCGAATGTTTGGTCAAATTGGAAAGGTAATTAAGTATATGAGCACCTTAGGTGCCAAAAATCTCGCAAATGTTGTTCGCCTCCAATACATATGTTGACGGAAAGGTGAAGTATCCATTATTCCGAAGCAAAAATGGGTTTCATGACTTCGTAAAATTTCAAACACCCATATAACGTCTATCATCGAGGGGTCCTGCAATTATTATTCCAATGTAACATTTTACCAACCCTTATAGTTGGCGTTGTGTTTTGTTTTTTTTTTTTAATGAATTCGTTTCGTTTAATGATAGCTTGGTGCTTGCTAAGGCAATGCAATTACACTAATTTTAACGGTTTACCAAAGGCTCAAGTTTGTCAGGTCACAGCTGCATTACGAGGTGAAATAGCGGGTAGGCTGAGATGGAAGAGTGAATTATCGGCGGTTGCACGGAATCTTTTTAGCACGTTCTCACCATCTAGAAATGCGTATATTTGCAACTGGTACATTGACGGGTTTCTTTCAGTTATTTATACAGGATTCTGCATCGGCATATCCCAAGCTATAGTTGATTGGTTCAATGGCGCTACTGACGAAGCGAGTGAGCGCTTCAAAATGTCAGTATGTTCAATATGTTGAAAGCGGTTTGACCCATTCATGTTACATTTCTTTAGCTGGATTATACTTTCTCTACCATCACTAACTTATCTAACGGACAACCACCAAAAAGTCCGTGATCAAATGCGTTTTTTATATAAATCGGTCAAATATCATGTTATGTCTCTTTGATCTGGCAGATACGAGAGAAGTAATATTATGTCTGCAAAATGTACATAGTTGACTGTTCTTAGAAATGAACGCTAACCCAAAGAGCTGTAAAATTTATTAACAAGAATTGTGCGCATGGGTATGTACATTGGTATTATTTTTAATACCAATCCTCTTTGTGCATTTACTCTGAGGTAAGGCACCTCACGATCAAATCATTTACTATATTCTATTCAGCGTTAATGTCACTTTCTATAGCAAACAATTGAAGAAGTATTTAGTTTCTGCAATATACCATAGGCTACATGTGCGAAATAATTGAAGAAAAAAGCAATCGCGGTTAAATCCTTTATAGGCGATTCGCGAAGGGGGATATAAACCTTACAGTTATAAGACCATTTGATAGTGAAAATATCTATTCTTTCGTTATCTTCCTATCTACAGAAAGATCCCGTGGAGTGGGGATGTGCCCCTGGTGAATAGAAAAAGCTTTTAGCAAGGTGTATATCCTCCGGTATTATGGCCAATATTCGACTCTTATCGTACACTACTTTTAAATATAAAATTCATTGAGATTCTGAGCATTCCATTTTTGTATATTATGTAGAATTCAAAGGATTTTAGTTTATTTTCACATTTTAAAACGATTCAAAGAGGTGAATACGTCAAAAGCAAAAAAGGAGAAATATATCACGTGACTCGTGGGTTTTGGCAGTCCAATAACACAGATTTCACTTGGACCATATCTTTTCTCCAAACACGAATCACGATGGAACCAGAAGAACGCAAACGCAAAATTGACGAAGTTGTAGGCGATGAAACTGTTGGAAACGACAGCAAAAGACAGTTGACAGAAGAGACTCTTGTGGCCACCAATGGCAAGTCGCCAAATCAAGATTCACCACCGCAACACTCTCAGTCTGATACTACGGTTGGTCATCAACCAGATCAAGCGACACCAGAGCTGGCAGGTTCTGATCAACAACGTGATGGAGATTCAAATGCTGATAAAGAGGAAGAACAAGAAGAGACAGAGTATTCGCGAAAGGAACCTACAAACATACCTTACGATCGCTTGATAGTTCTAGAGTTTGAAGCTACCTGTGATGATAATCCAAGTAATCCGGCCTCTGTTCAAGTTACCAAAGAAAACTCAGAAATTATAGGTAATGTATATTTGCAAAGCATTTAACCTCCAAGTAAAAGTGTAGCAGTGACTAATATTGAGCTTTATAGAATTCTCATACATTGTTTTGGACGCGTCAAAATTGACAGTGATTCACAAGGAACAGATTTACGTACGCCCAGAAAGGACGACTCTGACGCCATTTTGTACGGAAGTTACTGGGATTACATGGGATAAACTAGATAATGCTGGCAGCTTGAGAGATGCAGTTCGACAGCTGGACCAGTATGTGACAACCGAAATAGATGGGAAGGGACTTACGTTTGCATTTGTTACGCATGGTGCGTGGGATTTGCGCATCCAGTTACCCAGAGAATCTCGTGACAAAAGCATTGAATTACCAGACTACTTGGCTTACTGTTGCATGTTCGACCTAAAGCAAGAATACCTTCGTTGGCAGCTTCATCATCCTGACAAGAGTTTACCGGTTGTGTCTTTGAGCGAAATGTGCGAAACGTTCCAAATTAAGCGTCCCACCAACGAGCGTTCAGCCTTGGATGATTGTTTGACCATGGTGGAAATTATTCGCTATTTCTGTAGTTCTAACCATAGTGATATATTCGTTCATCCGATTGACACGAATGCAGACCATATGCAGTTCAAGAAGGAAGAATCAAAGGTCATTCATCTCGCTGGTTTACCTGTGGAAATTACTCAAGGCGAACTTGAAGCATGGTTCTCGGCATCTGGCTTGAGACCAACCATTATGTGGATGATCAGACCTACTGAAAACACAAAGACAAGTGGAACTGGCTTTATTTTATTTGCTACTCATGGCGATGCTATGCGAGCACTTAGTTTGAATGGTCGGTCACTTGGCAACAAAACAATAGAAGTCAGTCCAAGCAGTGACAGGGTTATTGAAGCAGCTGGAACTATCTTGGTACCATTCCCTTTGATGGTCAGCAAAGGCCGTACATCTCATCGACCTGGGGACTGGGATTGTCCCAACTGTTACTTCCACAACTTCGCTTCAAGACGTCATTGCTTCAAGTGCAACGCTGAAAATCCTAATGCTTCCTCTGGACCAGCTGTACCTGCCCCTCTGCCGTCCAACGTCAATCCAGGTGACTGGATGTGCCCTAATCCTTCTTGTGGATTTCATAATTATGCATCTCGTCAGCAATGCTTCAAATGCAATTCTCAGAGACCTGGAGGTGCGCCAAGTCAGCCTGCTGCAAGCTATCATAGTCAGGATTCATATGGGGGATATGGCGGTGGTAGGGCGACTGGTGGAGGTAGACCACCGCCAAGTTTTCGACCGGGAGACTGGATTTGTCCGAATCAATCTTGTCAGTTTCAAAATTTTGCGTCGCGAACCAGCTGCTTTAGATGTCATACGCCTTGTCCTAATCCTCCGCAACAGCATGGCAACTATGGAGGCCCAAGTGGTGGACCAAGTGGTGCAAGTATAGGTGGCGGCGGCGGTGGTGGTTATGGATACGATTCTACCGGATATGGTTCCAGTGGTGGTCACGGTGGTCATGGCGGCAGCGGAAGTTACGATTCTCCTAGCTATTACGGCGGTGGTGGTGCTGGTAGCGGCGGCGTTGGCAACAACAGCGGAGGCGGAAGTGGTCATGGTTATGGGTATGGCGGTGGTGGTCATCAGGGTGGTGGCGGTGGTAAACCTGTCAGCGCTCCCTTCAGACCCGGCGATTGGATGTGGTAAGTGAAATACGACTATATTCAAATCATTCCATTGCATATGCTAATCTCGTATTTTCGTCGCAACAGTCCTTCATGTTCTTTACATAATTTCGCTTCCAGATATCAATGCTTCCGATGTGGTGCTGGTCGACCTGCAACTGCGTAAATCAGATATCAAGTTTTGTTCCCATTCCTTTTTTTTTTTTATCACTTGTTTCGTTCCTCTGTTTTCACTGCTTATTTCGATCTGGACAGTGAGCTATATTTTCGTCATATGGCATTATAAGAATTTAAAAGTTTACGTCGATAGTAATAAATAGATGTGAAAAGCGTTTGTCTAGCATTTCTCAATGTGTGATTGCCATATGAAAACAAAAATGTATTATTTTAACGTGGGATACAAGTCATTGCGGCGCTGCTCCATGACAGGCATTTGCTGTCGGATACTGTTCATGTACTTCAGATCAATATCTGCGAATGCCAGTGTTGGTTCGCTTTCACCACTGTCACAATGAGCTACAATCTCACCCCATGGATCAACAATCTATAAAAATAGGAGGATGGATAAGTGAGGAAAAGATCAGAGCTTCCTTAAACTATATGAAAATGTTCGCCTCCTCTTACCATTGCATGTCCGTAACTTGCTCTGGACTCATTATGTTGACCCGCCTGTGCTGCTGCTATTACATATGTTTGGGTTTCGATCGCTCTTGCACGCAACAGTGATGCTAATGGATGAAGTACGGTGTAAGATTTTCCTTCAAGCGAAAAAAGTAAACTCCACAACGCAAACGTACCCCAATGAGCATAACCTGTTTTGACTGTAAACGCACTTGGATAGGTTAAAATATCAGCGCCACGAGCGCGTTGAATAATAGAAAGCTCCGCAAATCGAAGATCGTAGCAAGTTTGCAGGCCAATCTTTCCAATAGAAGTCTGCACTGGATTTCCTAGTTGTGTCCCTGGTATTGTTCCCTCTGACTCCATCAACCTGGCTCCACCCTTGATATCAACATCAAAGAGATGTATCTTCCTATAATTAGCTGCAATTTGACCTTCTGGAGAAACTAGGATGTGGCTGTTATAAACGCGGGCTTCTGAAGACTATAGGATAGCATTTAATAAAAGATAGCCAGATTTGGCAAAGGGGTCCATAGTTTCCAAATGCTGTCATTCATTACCTTGCCGTGAAGACCAACCGATACCCAAATATCATTCTGCTTAGCGGCCTGACAAATGCCGTTGATGAACGGCTCTTCCGCTTCGCTCGTCAAACGTAGTACTTCATTCTTGTCTTTGCCAATGAAATCAGATGCCTCAGGAAGAAAAACAGCCTGAAAAAGACGGAGACAAATGTCTGGGTATTAGTCGCCAATTCAGAACGCCCCTTATCACGGTTCAAACTTATATACCTTTGCATTCCCCGCCGCGGCACGCCGAATGAGTTCCACGCAAATTTGTCTGTTTCGTGAGAGCACCTCATTAGCGCAAAATTGAGCAACAGCTGCCAATGTCATTTCGAAATGAAAGCCTTTTCTTGGAAAAATATAGAGATTGCGGTCGAATTAGATTGAGCGTTTACAACGAAAAGCAAGGAACACTGAAATTGAAATCTTTACGAGTGAAGGTTATATACTATGATACTGAACTAAACAAAATAATAATAATAGAAAGGCACAAAGAACTGGTATACAGCATAATGTAAGGGCGAAAAGAAGAAAAATATATACAAATTATAGTGGAGAGCGCATGGTTATGGCATGGTCTCAATTTTACGCTTCTTTGGAGTAGCAATTGGAGATGGTGGTCGATATAGGCCAGAATGGTTGTCATGTGGTGTTGGTAGGGTTTGTTGTCGGTTCAAAGAGGATGGAGCATATTGAGGATGCTTTTCTTGCAAGTTCGTCGAATAAGGTTCATAGGGCTTGAGTGGCATTTCATGCGTAGGACCATATTGAACTTGATGGGGAGGAGTGCGAGGCTCATCGTCCTGAGCAGCACTGCGTGGTGGAGAGGGACTGCCAAGCGATGGTTGTTGTTGAGTAAGAAGATTGCTGATAGCTGGCGAGTGGCTAGCATCCATACTGGATCGACTCATCTTTTCTTCTTCGGTAAGTTGTATCCAACGCTGGCGACACTGATGATAGCTTCGATTAGGAATGTCACTAGCGACTTTCTCCCAGTCATTATTTCCAAATCTTGCAACGCATGCCCTCAACATATCATCTTCTTCTTGACTCCATTTTGCATGAATAGATCCTGATCTTCGTCGCTCCCATAAAGATGACGTTTGATTCAGATTACCAGCTGGAGATCGGTTTGCAACGTTCAAGTCTTCAGTGATGGACATCAGTTTAGTATTAAATAAAGTTTTCGAACGGTGACAGTCAGTCAACATGCATATGATATAACAAAAAAAAAAGGTGGTTACGTACTTTTTGTAGAGTCACCAGGCTGGGCCATAGACTCTGGAAACAGTGCCGTGGGCATGGACACCAGAGCAGTAGCGGAATCAATGGAGCGTTGGGATCGCTTTTCATCCCTGGAACTCATATGACTGGGTACACGTCTGCTTGTGTTTCCTTTAGTCATTGGTAGTGGCTCAGTTGTAATAGGTGCTTTTTCTTTGATGTCGCTTTTATCCATGTCCGTCAGCATTTGGTTTGCTACAATGCCTAAGTCGTCCAAACCAGATCTCTGTTTTGCCAGCGGTGGAGTGTCGTGCCTCATGACGGGCGAATAGCCTTGCTGTAAAAGATATTGAATATCACCTCTTCGAGCTTGAGAGTCGGCTTTAGATCCTCGTAAAGAAACTGGGCGGAGTTCAGGTGTATCCCGATTGTACATGATCTTCTGGTATTCACGGCTGAGAATATCCAATTCAACATCTTTTGTGGCACTGCGCATCTCAGATAATCGTAACTTTCGAAGCAATGCCTTCCTGTCATGTAACAGCGTTTCCCTGTCCACATCATTACTCTATAAAACGTGGCAAATCTGAATTTGAATGGCGTTCCAATTCAGCGTGATGTTCAGGGCAAAGCTTACCTTGGTGCTAATGTCGGCACTTTCGATGAGTCGGACTTTGGCGTACGCTTTTTTGAGTTTCTGCGCCAAAATTCGAATATCTTTTTGAAACATTTTGGTTTCAACTGAGTGTCTTAATGCCTGCTCATGTTCCTATTCGATTCGAAGACATTAGCAGCGGAAAAATGTATTTACGTGAATCCCAGCCTTAAAATAGTCGGACTGTTAGCATGATTTGATTGGATACTTGCATTCATGAGGTATATTTTGCGCATTGTCTCAAGAGCCAAATTCCTATCCGATGTTCCCCGTGATAGGTGGAATATTTGTTCTGCTTGAGATCGAGCTATACCATCTAATAAATTAATTCGTTCCACGCACTCGCGCAGCTAAACGCGAACAAAGAAAAGAACAAAATTAGAAATTAAAGTCCCGTGGTGTAACCATGCAGTTTGACCAAAGCCAGGCTTACTTTTTGCTTTGCGTCATCCAAGTGATGGATTCTATTAATATCAGCTTCAGTGAGAAGGAATGGCGGTCTCATCTATATCAGCCAATGTTAGTTGAGAAATGAAGGTGTGGTAAAACTATGCGTGAAAATTTACATACCGGATAATTTGGGTCGGCAGTGCTGGCATAAGGTGGCTCGATAATAGGAGGTCGGTATGCAGTTGGAAGGCCATGTTGCATCGGAGGCATTGCATACTGTGGAGGATACTGCTGCTGAAATGCAGATCGTTTGATAGCTTGATTGAACACTGTTGGAGTTGACTGCTGTGAGGATGACGGCCGTGGACCATTCTCCGAGGTGAGTGGTGAGTTTGGCATTTGTCGAGCTGAGACAGACGAAGTAGGACCTATGTTGGGTGCCGGTGACTCTGGCTGAGGAGTAGATCCATCAGCATTTTCAAGTAATACAAGGTCTATTTTCCATTTGGCTTGGTCACCCCATTGTTCAATCTGACGATATAACAAGTCAATAAAATTACACAATCCACAGACGTCTCATTTTTTTTAAAGCTTAGCATACCTGTTTTCGGACGGCGCCAAAGATATGGTTCAAGTGCTGAGAAGACGACACATCGGCCCGTGGACTGTAGTTTATGTCAGGCGGCGCTACTGCGGGTGAATGCAATCTATTTGCAGAATTTATGTTGCTCGCCATGGAGAATAGAAATGAGGAAACGAACAAGGGAAAAAAAATTCGGTGGTCTCAGGTTGAATGACTGTTCTCAGCAGCAATAACGCTCCCAGCTTTATTTCAACCACGTGCCCGCTATGGGAACGACGTCACCCGCACTCATTCAACTTCACAGTATTTGCTCGATGGAAGACAAACTCATAGTAACACCGAATACAGCAGTAGAGGGAGGCAGTGCATGTACTCTAAGTCTAAATGCTCCTCAGTACGGGGCAAAATAAAAAAGACGGAGATGACGACGATCTTTTTGGTAGGATATCGTCCGATAACCCATGGATATCGTCAATATGAAGGGCATTATTCAGTATAGAATATAGAAACTAACATAGACAATGCATGGCTGTATAGTACATTTAGCCAGTTCACTCATAATGGCATCATGAATAGCGTAAATCCACCGTTATAGGACCTTCGGTTCACGTGATTAAGATCAACCGTGATGACGCAGGGTAGTTGCGGAGTTTGGTAATGCCAAAAAAAAACTGGCAACCCAACTTTTACTACAGAAACTTTCCGGCATCAACCATTCTAACTAGCTGCTTGACAAGCATTTATCGACAGAGCAGTTTTTTCAGTACGGTTGTTCAAGATTCCTTGAAGGTTAGTTATTAACTTGACTGTTTAAACTGCTGAAACTAGTTCACGACTATTAGGAACAGCAGTGTTTCCTGTTTCTACCTACGCGAAAGCTTGACGTGTTACCCTTATGGTATAATTTGCAACCAATATAATTGCAAACGACAATTCGACGTTATCAAAGCAATTTTAAAACCCTTGTTACGAAATAGCGACTAAGAACATACAATAATCAACGTCTCCCTTTTTTGTAGTAAAATGAGCACCAATAATTCAGATATCGCTGAACGAATTGCAGCAGCTAGGCATGAGGCTGAGTCCCTCAAGGAGAAGATCAAGCAGAAAAAGGATGCTTTAGCAGACACTACCCGTGAGTTTTTTCTTTCGTTTATTCATGATTTCTTTCCATGCAAATTTCGTGTGCCTCTGTGATTGTTGGGACATTCGCAGTCATAACCTTAATATCCTAAGCCTCAACAGAAGGCGAAGGTACTCGGAGGGCCAGCAAACCTATTAAGTTGCCTTTAACAGAGTTTAAATGTTTCATCTGTTGCTAACTAAAGAAATGTTTAGTTCGACAGATGTCTCAGGATATTGAGCCCCTTCCCCGTATCGTTATGAAGGTGCGCCGAACTCTCAAGGGTCATTTGGCAAAAATTTATGCCATGCATTGGGCAACCGATAAAAGGCACTTGGTGTCCGCATCACAAGATGGAAAACTCATTGTTTGGGACGCCTATACAACCAACAAAGTGCATGCTATACCACTGCGCTCGTCCTGGGTTATGACTTGTGCCTATGCACCGTCCGGAAACTTTGTAGCCTGTGGCGGTTTAGACAACATATGTTCCATTTACAACCTGAGAACTCGTGATGGTCCCAATCGTGCAGCCAGAGAACTTTCCGCACACACTGGTTACTTAAGTTGCTGCCGGTTCATCAACGACAGACAGATCTTGACAAGTTCTGGAGATATGACTTGTATGCTCTGGGATATCGATGCTGGAGTCAAAATTGAAGAGTTCACCGATCACACTGGCGACGTCATGAGGTAAATGCATCGTATTCAATGATGAACCTCTGAAAGATTCAACTCAATCTAATGTACGATTGGCTTTTTCAGCTTATCTTTGAGTCCAAATCCGAACATTTTTGTCTCTGGTGCTTGTGATGCTACCGCCAAAGTTTGGGATATCCGAGCTAAGCGATGTGTCCAAACATTCGCTGGACATGAATCGGATATCAATTCGGTTCAATTCTTTCCCAATGGCAATGCCATTGGTACCGGTTCTGATGACGCTAGCTGCCGACTGTTCGACTTGCGTGCCGACCGTGAATTAAACCAATATACACATGACAGCATTGTGTGTGGTATTACTTCCGTCGGGTTTTCAGTATCTGGTAGATTGCTTTTCGCTGGCTACGACGATTTCAATTGCAATATCTGGGATACTTTGAAAGGAGAGCGAGTGGGTGTACTTACTGCCCATGAAAATAGAGTATCATGCTTAGGCGTCTCTAGCGATGGCATGGCTCTTTGCACTGGTAGCTGGGACAGTTTCCTCAAGGTCTGTATATACTTTCATTCCATTATGTGGCCTCTTCATCGGATGAAAGATTAACATTTTCTGTGCTTTCTACCATAGATCTGGGCTTAGAACATATGGTAATTCATTACCACACCTCCCATACCTCCCCTTGCAAAAATTTCAAAACTGAAGGTTTTCATCATATTGTTTTCCTTCGTCCACTTATAGGTCTGCTTGTAGCAACAGTGCAAATCGGAAAATACCCTCTTCCATCATTTTGTTCCCTCCTTTTATTTGTGTTTTTCAAGCTTCATTCCTTCATCAACGTCTCTACTTTTCCCCTTCTATTCTTCTCATTTATACGCTGCTGCCTTTTATTTCTTTACTCTATGTATTTGCACCCATATCACACTACTTTACGCTATAAAAACCGTTTGAAACGCTGGCAAGCGTTTGGAGATCTACACGGAAAACAGGCGGTCTCCACCAAAGGTAGAATGACAAGCCCATTCTAAAGATCATTCCAACACTATACAGGATCCTATATCAATTTCTGTACTTAATTTATTTTTTATAAAAGAGATGTGATCATTACATTTGGAAACATAAAGAAATAAAAGAAAGAAAGAACAATTATATTACAAAAGTGTGTGGGCTATCGTGAAGAATTCTGTGCCAGCCAATGTTCCATGCACGGCAGCCTATGAATCTCAAATTTCTCATCCTGCAGCCCCTATCGGCTGTCCTTAACCAGAAAGTCATTTGGACTTCGCCTTTTCCAGTACATGAATAGGCGTTACAACCTTAGTTTCATCATTGTCGTCCTCAAACTGAACTTTATACTGTCCTGTAGAAGCAGAATCTTTGTTCTGATTACGGTATGAAAAGATAGGTGAGCGTGGGATAGGATTAGCTCTGAAATTGCTTCCTACATATCCTTGCTATGTTGTTTCATACCTTAGACGGAGGAGTGACTACAATTGCGTTATAGAAGCAAGTGGTTCCAGGATAAAGCGCCAAAACATCAGTATGAGCTGGGATTTCAGGCAGCTGGCGGACCTCAGCAACTGACGGTATAGGGATAACGTTCTTCGGTGGCACCAGATATTTTCTACCAATACATACTGAATACAACCTTTCCGAATGTCAAGCATATCAGAAAGTGCGACACTTACTGCCTTGTTCCAGTTTCATCCTGATCTACGTCTTCAACATGATATCTATGACCGATGAGATGAGGATACGCTGCTGCCTATGATCCATATACGAGCGACCTCAAACTTACTTGTTTTTGTCAGAATTGTAGCTGATGACAACGGCCAAAATCCACTCCTCAGTTTTATCTTTTTGTTTTGGTTGCTTGGCAGCAACCTGTATTATAAGATGGTCAGTATTGTCAAGCAATGCCCATCCCATTTTACACAACATACCGCTGCTCCAACGGGAATAATTCCACCATTTGTACTGTTACAGGAACGGTAACCAGTTAGGATAAACATACAATACAACCGAGAAGGAATAGATGATACAATGGTAGTACTTACAGCTTTGATTTCTTTGATGCGTGTGGTCCGGACGTAATCTTGAGATCGTCAGCTTCCGTTTTCCGTTTCTTTCTCCGTGGATCTATCAAATTCAATATTGAAAAGCTGTTTACTTCAACATTTAGCAATAACTTCAATAGCTTACCAGACGCGCTCTCTGAGGCATCCCTTAACGCGATAAGAACAGATAATTTTTCGATTACATCTGTGATAGTTCTGAGCAAAAAAATTAGACATTGTGGCTCATGACTTTCAAATCATCGTAACTAAATTCTTTCTTTCATAAGCACTCCTAAATCTTTCATCCATATCCTCGATGATTCTTGCCGGTTCTCTTTCCTTTGCCAAAATATGACATTTGTACTTACTTGGACTCAGAAATAGATGTTGTGATGCCTTCTGAATAAAGCTCTTTCAGCTTATATGATGTTGAGGGAGATATTGCTAAATATTCAACAATTAATAAATTGTTCTTCCTTCTTTAGCCTAGATCTGTTGACTTACCGTCAATACTTTCTATTGTCATGTGAAGTTTGTTCACACTGGTGATGATAGGCTCCGATTCCTTCTGAACATTTTCTAGTTTCAGAAGAGATGAACAAATTTGCTTCCATAAACTGACTTCTTCGTTAGTTTCATCTAGAGAAGCCGCCCTCGAAGCTCGCGATTTGCGATCCATCCTCGTTCTCGTACTGCTTCAACTGCCACTGTCGCTGTTATACCTCTTCACTTGACCGGAGAAATTGACATCACTGAAAATTTGCTTTAATCATGTCAGCTAAATATTTCCTAAATTGGCACGCGAAAGTGGTGGACACGGACCTCAACCTCTCAACATCATGACCATTGAAAGTGAGAGGACTGAAGCAGACGTTTATGCAACATATAATCCTTATGAATTGGACAACATGTCAGAGGCAGGATCCGAAGCAGCTCTGTCGACCACTGACTCTGTATCATCTCGAAGATTAGGTTCCTTAACATCCAAGACAAAAGCATTCGGCAGGCTCGATAGCGTCAATAACCACCACAAGACAACACTAGGAGGAGTACAAAAGGTATGCTACCTCGTACATATTAGCTATCTGCCCGTTTTTCAGTCCCGAATAGATCTGTTCGGAGTAGACTCTGCTTTGCCAGGACGCACCGTCATATCAATTTTGTTGTTAATCCCCATTGTCTTGTTTCATCGGTAGATGCGATTTAAGCCTATTGTACCGACTACTCGAAGAATCAGTAAAAGGTGCATTTCCGCTCTCTGCACAAAATGGGTCGTTTAGCTTTACTAACCAGCATCTTGTTTGAGTGCAGTAATTTGTCTCTCAAGTCCGACACGTCAGTTAAGGTACGCTTCATAATCAATATAGGACTACATTTACCGCGTACTAATGGCCTTTCAAAATTAGGATGAAATCAGATACCTCGACGTTCCTTTACAAAAAACGCACGCCAGCAGCCATATTCGTCGTCAAGGTAAACCATTCTCACCATGGTCGGAAGTGTAAAGACAACTCCGAACTAAACGATTTCCTTCATTCATTGCCAGATGTCATTACTCCGAAGGTGGCAGCTACTGGTCCGTTTTCGCAAGGGCCAAGTTTCAAACGAGGTACGATAAAACACGGCTGCTTTTTTAACCTATTAAATATATGTCTAATATCTTTTAAACAGGTGTGAAGGGAGAAGCTGATATTGGTCATACCACATCATGGGACATTCATCATGCATTCCCTACCGAAAGCGATTCTCAGACAAGATCAAGGACCATATACGGGGACATACAACTTCCTATTGACCTAACGGATATACCAGAATCAAACCTAATGAATAACAAGAGTAATCCATCTCAGCAGACGGAAAGACATGGCTTAATGGCTGTGGAGAGTGACAGTAAAGCGAAATACGAGTCGAAATTAGCAAATAACTTGGTAGGGATCAATGTTCTCAGAGGTTACTGTAATCCTCACTTTCGAAATTAACATCTCAAAATTACTCTAGGGCGAATTGGGAAACATTAACAACGGATCTCTAATATTAATACAAATGCCTAGTATCCTTCCAAGTTTCAGACCCGCTGGCGAGCAATATCTTATACCTCATCCACCAAGCCCGGTTTCTGAACAGAATGATTCCATTGTTGACATTACCGAACCAGAAACAGTCTATTTGGGTCAATCGAAGCAAAGATCTAAAGCAGCACTAAAGAAAGTGGACAAGGGAAAATCAAAAGCGAAGGAGGAAAGCAAAAAGAAGGGCAAGGAGAACCGACGAACATCCATAAGCAGTAAAGGTACTAGCGCAGCTGATGATCGAATCAGACGGAAAATGAGCGTTACCACCCTTGCGAGTTTGAACACTGAGGGAACGGAGAGTGAGAAAAATATCCCACGCAGAAGGCCAGAGATTGATATCTGCCATCTACCTGACGGCCAAATTGGTTCGCTTTTGGTCTACAAAAGTGGCAAGGTAAAGCTTCGAGTTGGTGAGACTATGATGGACGTAAGTATTTTTTTGGTGGTTGAATAGTGAGTACTAGTTATCGAAAAGCTAATGAAACTTATGAAATTTAGCTTGAACCAGGAATTCTGGCAAATTGCTTAGAAGATCTTGTAATTGTCGAGCCCAACGATAAACCCCACGCATGCCAGTTGGGAAGTGTTCAGCACAAATTAGTCGCCTCACCCAATTTGGATGATCTACTTAAGGATCAAGATTAAATACAAAGGTAGAACACAACCTCAATTGAAGTAGCATCGGATATTCTAATATTGGAAGTGAAGGAATGCGATTCGCCGTAATATTCGATAGACATAGCATTGCTTTTGTATATCTCTTGATAGCGTCCCTTCATGTATGTAAATAATAATGAAAACAGCAGTAAAGTGTCAATACAGTACAATTGCCTATTTAATTTATATACAAGATTCAAACCATTTTCTTTTATTTCTGCTGTCAAAGCGACCTACAGACACCCACGATCATTATGGAGTATGGCAATTGCTTACGTATAATTAATCACAAGGATAGCAAAATACAATGAACAGAATGTGTAAAAAAAAAAAAAAATCCGCGAGTGCAATACAAAGACTTTATTTTGACATGCCATCCCAAAAGTCGCTGTCGCAAATTTTGCCGTCGCTGAACATATCCACACGAGACATATCTTCAATAGCCTTACATTCAATTACACCAGCTTTGATGATTTGATATGGAGGTAAATCTTTTGCCCAGTAATCCACAAACTTTCCGCCCTTAAGGTTAGCCTTTTCACCGTGTAATATATCATACAGGTCCTTTTGCTTCCATGGACCTAACAGGAAGTTAACGGCATTCTGTAGAGTGATGTTGGGGTTGAGGGCCACCATTCTCGGCTTTAAACAAAGAGTTCTTCCAGGTCTAATCATGAGTCGCCTTTCAATGTGGTTTGCTAATTCCTCAAATTCCCAGGATACACGACGAATGGTGGATGCGGTGAGAACATACTCGAGCAGCGATCCTTGAAGATCGTTGGGATTAGGAACTGCACTGTCCAGTAAAATCGTATAGACATCATCTGACTCTGTTAGTAACTGAATTGCATGCAACTTCTTTTTTCTCGATGAGGTCTGTTGGAAGTGACCAAGAATGGCAACGGTGGAAGTCAATGCTTTGTTGGCATTGGCGAACTTCAAATTTTTCAAGCGTTCAGGTGAGTTGATAGTATGAAGATGTAGTAAGGAATCGTCATCGAGAGGCATGTCTGATTCGTAATTATCCTCTGAAAGTGCTTGGCTCTTCTGAAGGAGTACAGGATGCATGTTGATTACAGGGCTGCGAGCTTTAGCGGGTGTAACTCGATCAGTTGATTCACCAGAAGAACTAACTTCGTCACGACTTCCATTGCTTTGCGGTTTCTGTCTTTTCTTCGTATCATTTTGGAACTTTTCTCGCTTATTTGTTGACAGACGAGGACTACCAGCAACGTGAGGTGGCCTACTCTCACCTGCCAGTTGTTTCGAATCCTTTGGTGATGATCTAGGAGCCGGGGATTGCCATTGACTGGCTCTACTAGTGTCATCCACCGTGACATCTTCTCCTCGCTTCCACTGCTGCATGGCAAACCCTTTCCACATTTCAATCTCTTCTTCTTCGTTTAGACCTTGCATATCTTCCAACATGTCGTCTTTCTTGGAGTCCGTGTCCCATGTCGCAGCGTCTTTTGTTGTGGTATCACTAGAGGAGGATAGGTTATAATGTGTGACCGTTCCATGATCATCCTCTTCCTCTTTTTTATCGACTATTTCTTTTTGAGTTTGGCGTGTACTGAACTTGGCATCAGCTTTTGACTGTCCTTTGCGATTTACTGCTTTTGAAATATTTTTTCGCTCTTCATGTGTCATCTTATTTTTACGTTTTGTATCATGGTCACCCACCGTCGGCGCTACCTCATTAAGTTTATTAGCTGTCGTCTTTGCCTTTTCTGCCTCCCGAAGTGATAGCTGAACAGCGAGATTTAAGTCATCTATGTAATTTACGTCTTCTTGGCTTGATGACGGGGGTTTTTCTCGCGGAAAATCAAGGAATTCTTTGTCTTGGGGATCGAACTCGAACTCCTCCATGCTATCCACCACAGCCACTGCAGAAGATGTACTTTTAGAGCCTTTATTGCCCTTGCCTTTTTGATTCAACATGGTGCACCTGGGCCAGAAATGGCTTTCTAGAGTCAGATGTAAGGTAGTTGCTTCATCCAGCGCAAAAAGGCTAACCACGTCAAATACAGAATATACCAAGGCAGCCGGCGCCAAAGGGTACTGTAACCAGACACAATCCTTTCCCGTAAAATGAAACGATGCCGCAAGCGATTTGGCTTCGAGAAATCTTTGATAGCCAGCCCAAGATTTCGCATACTTGTGTACAGCACTACCTAGATTCATAGTTTCGCCTTCGATATCCCTCAGTTTGGCTTGAAGATCTAAGGCACCGCCCATGGTGACATCAAAGAGCCTTTCCATTGCACTAGCATCAGTATTGAAAGCCCAACCGATTCTGTGGACCTTTGGTGAGGTTAATATACGACCCAAAAGGTCTCGAACGATATCAACGCCAATGCGATCGACGAGAATGTTGTAACCAATTCGGTCTGAGGGAGCCACTTGAATGCATTTTACTTCAGGGGTCTTGTTCTTCTCGCCGAGAAACTCGCAATCGAGAGCAATCTTTTTAGCGTTGTTTAAGATTGGAATGATAGCTTCTAGACGTGCCGCAGTATCAACGACTTTAGCTGTGATGAAGTCACTTCCTCCTATTGGTATATGGATCTCCGAGCGATCAACGATATGCCAATTTTCGTTCGGCTCAAATGTCCTATCTTTCATTTCTCGCGGTTTCTTCTTCTCAGTTGTTGGTTGGTGTGTCTTTTGCACAGCTTTCATATGTTCAAAGTTTGAACCTAGACCCACAAGTTGTCGAAGGGAATGAAGGGCGGAATTGACCAATGCATAGTCTTCCTTTTCGTATAAGGTGAGTAGAGACAGAGTAGCCTGACAGGAAGTCATTGCTGTTGACCATAAAACTTTCTGTGGGACGTGCATCGAACCTGATCTACTCATTGTTACAAATCGGTCGCGTTAACATACGAAGAGCCAACAAGGGGAATAAGGTCACAGCCTCGGGGATGTTAATTGCCAGCTTTCAGACCAACCAAAATTTTTGGTCATATGACTTCACCAAGATTTCATGTTTCGGAGCATTGCCCTTAAAAATTGTACGTAATGCTGTTTTGCCATTGAACGTGTAGATATTTTGCAGGTTGTTGATATTATGAACTGAGGAACTGGTAAGGTTTATGTGAAAATGATTGCTATAGATACACAACGTGTCATTACTCGGCTGATAGTAGGTCAAAATTACTTTTGATGGTGGGCAATATGGTACTACGATAGGCTACTTTTATCAATTACTGGCTATTCTTTTGGCTATAGTGGTATAGAAATCACTAACTGAAAGTTCAAATGCATGGTTGACCCAAGCAGAAATATTATGGTCATCGATATCAGTTTTACCAAACGTGCATTCTATCCATTTGGTTTTGGAGTCCTCTTGTCTTTTTGTTGCCTCGCGAAAAACAAAATATTGCAGGTAAACCTCTTCAAGTACTGAGATTTCATCTGGCGAAAGTTGTCTCGACAAATATATATTAGACAAAAATGGTGGAATGGCGTTGTTCAGGTAATGCTCTGATAGTGCAAGGATGCTTTTCATGTGGGATTTGTCAACGCCATGTTCCATAGCAGATCGAGCATGTTCGAATGGTAGACTAATCTTCATCTTGTTGGCGATAAACAGAACAGAAGGAGACGGAGGTAAATTAAGAAGCCATTGTTGTCGAGTTGCTGATGATTTCAGATGTGAATTAATGGTATGGGAAAGACATGTGCATTTAAAAAAGTATTTGGCACTTGGTAGATAAGTTATGATTATCAAAAGTATTTCGATTGGCAACTTGGTTCCTGCTTGTTCTGCCACATAGGACATGGTAAGTATGTCGAATAGTCTTCAGTAGTAACAGAAGACTGACATCAACTCCCAATTTCCCTTTCTCTCGCGTTTTGTCTGTCCTTTTTTTTTTTTTTAATTTAATACAGGGAAAAATTTACGATCAGTGCATCGTCGTTCAGGACTGACCAGAATGAAAACGATCCAAAGAGTAGATAATATCTGATAGATAAGGTATAGTAATAAAACTCATATGACTGATAGCTTCTTCACGGACAACAGGAACATTTTTTGCTTAACGATGCAATTTAATTGACAGCGGTAATAAAATTCATTCTGTGATGCGATGTAAGAAATCATCTATGCTGTCCAATGCTTTGGCAGACTTTCCAAGTATTATGAGATATTGTACCAGCCAAAAGAAAAGAGGTATTCGTTTTTTTTGGCAGGGCAGGCTGCTTGAGTAAAAAACAGGGAAAAACGAGGCATAAATGGAACACCGCCAAAAGTTGATGCTATCCGTCGCCAACTTTCTCTTGACTTGTCATTGCCAAATCACTAGTGCGTACAGGTCCACTACTACTATCCTTAACAAAGAACATAATAATATACAACAGCGCTTGTTTCCATGACTGAGCAGAAAAAATCAGGCAGTGCATGGCCAGAGCCTTCGTCATTCTTCACGCGGTATACCGATGACAACCTGGAAAAAGCGAGATTATTGAAACAAAAAAAGGTCGATCCAGCTGATGTTCGACTAGAATTCCCTCCAGAACTGTTGGAACCACCACCGCCCATTGAAGGATCATACGTTGTCTTTGATCAACATTGGCAGGTCAGTGGCATTTCAAAGATTTGTAACTGCTCTCCCGCGTTCAGTGTTCACTCATAGTATGTCTGTTAGACCGAAGATAGATTACCAACCCTTGAAGAAAGGAACGTTACGCAGTTGTATCCGACCGGAAAGATTGGTAAGGATTATGCTGCTTGGGTACATAGGCACTTTTTATATCTAACACATTTACTCTGTCAGACCGTGTATTCGAACTGAAGAAGCTACTGCGATCCTTAATGTCACAATTCCTGATTTTATTAGACATATTGGTCAGAGAACCTGATAAAGTATGGCCCATTTCTTTGAAAGGTTGATACCGATTGATTAGTGGGATTCACAAGAGAGATTAAATACATATTGCCAACAGTTTGCCCCGCGAATAACCGACATCAGTAACATTTTAATTAACATCCATCACATACTGAATGAATATCGACCACATCAAGTAAGTTCCGAAGAAACAGAGAGGATTCCCTCTCATTATAATATACCCAAGCCATTCTCTTACGCCACCATTACTAGGCACGAGAAACACTACGACTCATGTTAGAGACTCAGTTGAAGAAGAAAGTACAGGCAACCGAAGAACTCAAGAAGTAAGTTTTAAATTTTGTCTGATGATTTAGGTGTTATGGTTCTCATGGCGTATGAACTTGCTACAGGCGTCGGGATGAGGTCAGATCTAAGTTGAAGATGCTGAAAGATGAAGTCAAATTGACCTCGTTATCAGAGGAGCTGGAAGCAGATGATGATGTAGCCATGGAGGAAGCATCACTTACAATTACCAACACAGCAACCGCACAATCGATTTCACAAATTTCTGCAAAGATGCTGGAACTGGTAGACTCCTTAGAATGATTTTGCCGTAATTGATTCTCTATCTATGTCAGCTGGTCAATGTGGCTGCCATCTTCCATTGTACAGTAAATACCTTTATTTTCATTTGCTTTGTCTGCCTCTTTGAATAATGATCACAAGATGAAGATTCACAATTTTGGCGGAAAACACGCCAACTTTGCTTTCTTTTGGATGATGGACAGGCCATCGTAGAGAGGTAAAATTATCTGCTCCACTCGAGGATCATCTTTTATATGCTGGTTGAACGCGTGTAGCTGTCGTGCTGTTCGCATTAGCCCCTTGTTTTGAGGATCGATTTCACTGTCCATTGCTTGTGGCACAAGTCCTCTAAATAATACTATCAAACAAGCATTAGTTCATATTGGATAGATCACCTTTTTGCTCAATAAATAGCAGTACCATTATCCACTAAGATAACCCCCCGGTCCGATAGTAAACTTCGGCTCATTATCTGGTTGAAGTAATTGATATAGTTTCCCTTATCTGCATCTATAAACACCATATCGAACTTTGTCGCTGAATGTCCTGTTGGAATCTTCTTTACGCTGAATTAAACATATAGAGGCATCGTAAGTGAGCAAAGCGGTTCCATCATGATGTCAACAGTAAGTGCATAACTGACATGTCTAGTGCTATACCCTCCTCAAAGGTTATTCTGTTGGCCATATCCGCTCTTTCAAGCCACGATTTCGCTATACTAAGCGCCCCTGAATCGCGTTCAATTGTGATTATCCTGCCGTGAGTACCTGCCGCTATGCTAATTGTGGACATTCCTGTGAATGTGCCAATCTCGAGCACATTTTCTGGTCGCATCAATCGAGTGAAACTGTACAGGAATTCGGCTTGATGCAAAGGGATCATTTTATGAGCATCTCGAAAACGTTGCCTTGTTTCAGCTTGCAGACTTTCTAATATGCTTTTTGGGAATGTTGCGCCATTGGAAGACATGGATTCAACGTATTCTTGCAGTTGTGTAGGTTTTGCATTTGTATTCAAGTAACGTTTAGTCGCAAAGGATGATAAGCCAGTGCGGAACATTCGTAAATGGGGGTTAAGTACCAATAATGGATAAAAAAAAAAAAGGTATAAAATAATGAAAGGTTGGGAAATGAAACAAAACAGATAGATACAAGGTTGACAAATTTCTTAATGATCGCATTGAAAAAACTGCCTTCCGGTTTCTAACAGCACCCACCACCACTTTTGCCTTCCGCGTCCGACTTTTCACCGTGTTCATCGTGCATGCGAGTCGGTGGCTTCAGCTTGATAGTGTTTTGACCAGGTGCGGTGGAACCCACGCCATCGGCTTGATTGGCGATCTTCTTTGGTACTATTTCATAAATCTTGCTGAATACAGTTTGGAACGCAGCATCAACATTGGTAGCATCCAAAGCGGAGGTTTCGAAGAACAACATCTTGTTATCCTCTGCGAACGCTCCACCATCGTTTGTAGGTACACCTCTTGAAGATTCCGCCAAATCTGATTTGTTACCAACCAACATCATCACGATGTTTTCGTCTGCGTGATCCTTGAGTTCCTTTAGCCAGTGATCAATGTTCTGGAAGGAAGATGGGCGGGTGATATCTAGTGAAGAAAGAAAAAATTCGGGGTCAGATTCTACGCCAAGACAGATCTAGCACTGTAGACCCTGATCCAGGCTGGCGCAAGGTGCCACAGCCACCTACATACCATAGACCAACAGTGCTCCAACAGCTCCACGATAATATCTGTAAAATCTCCGGGTTAGACAGGGGTTTCCAGTAGCTATGTTCAAATTTCACACTTACGCTCCGGTGATAGCTCTATAACGCTCTTGTCCGCTGGTATCCCAAATCTATCAAAATATAATACATGCTTTCAATATCTCAAGCGTTCCCGGAACCACAAAATAGTGGCTAGCTAATATGAGCTCAGGTTTACCTGACATTTGATGGTGTGGCCATCTGCAGCGTCGAGATGAGTTAGAAATGGGATATTCCGTCCGTATGAATCAGGGAAAACTTACCAATCACAATGTTCTTCGTGGCGAATTCTACACCAATGGTACTTTTTGATTCCAAATTGAACTCATTGCTCTGTGTGGAGGATTCTCGTCGGGATGAGTATTTCTTCAAAAAGTGCGTCAGAGGGTATTGAAGACCTACCGTAAAACGAGAGAGAAGGTTGGACTTTCCTACTCCTGAATCTCCAATCAGGACGAGCTTGAACAAATAGTCGTACTCATCGTCTGCCATCATCTTTGCAATAGATTCAACGATAGAAACAAAATAAGTTCAAGCGGAAGTGCAACGCTATTTATACCAATATGACGGGGGGCGGGGCTTTGACATATTGAGATGTCTGTTGTGGCTTTGTTTTAACAACTCAAAGTAACTCTGATGGCTGTGTTTTATCAGTCATCGTTGCATATATAAACTTCTAGGACCATACATCCTTTGAAGAACTTGAGGACTTCTTTGTGAAATCTAGTGTTGGCCTTACAATACACTAATTTTTTTTTTTAGAAATGTTGCATCTGTCAACCAGCCACACGAGTGAAGCCATTCTGTATCACAGAGTAAAGCGCTATTTGACTGTATTGTCTTGATGAGTTTAAGGGGATCTACACCTTCTGTAAATGGACTGCAACTGTTTGTGGCGATCTATTGCAATGTAGGATATATAAAATATAATGCTATGAAACTAAAGCCGACGTATCTTTCATAAGAAAGAAGAGTTGCTTCGCAAGTAGATAGATAGCAGAGTTTTGGCTGCTTTTAAGCACACACGAGTAAAGTACACGAGCAAGCTCATGGGTGATTATTGTGACATGTAGAACCCGTTTGATGGGACCACACTGTAATATAATTTTTTTTGGCGGGTAAACGTCGACGAAACACAGTATGACTTTTCCTCGTAACACCTTAATATGCGTAACAGTGTTTAATTTGGAATGCTACTACTCGCCTTGGGCAATAAAGCACCGACATTCCATGAGACTTGTCTGCCTATTTGATCATTATAATAAGACCAACTTCTGTGCGCTTTGTAAGAGTATTACCAGATATTGTTACTCCATTCAGTAGAGATTTGATATGGCATTTCTTTTCTTTTTGTGCCACTATTCGTCTTTGCAATAGTAGTTATATAAGTATGAGACGTCCAATTGTAAGCTTCCTATTATGTCACGACTGCATCTTCGCTTCCCTGATGGATTCAGATGCCGGCAGCGGGGAACGCTCAGCCAATTACTGCCAAGCACTGTGGTGAACGATGGGATTCAAAATTTTTTTAGAGGCAGCGCTTCCAGACTTTCCTTTCCTAGCCTCCCACGATTCATTTGAACCCATGCATGAAGATAATGCCAACATTGACCTAAGCACAACTCCTCAAATCCCGGCACCTTGTCAAGAACAAGAGCAACGTCGCGGGCGACGTCGCCATTCGGTCGTCACTATAGACCTTCCTGATATTGCCCCTCCAGAATATACCACCGCTACAGTATTGTCTAAACCTCCAGTATACGCCGAGACAGAAAATGCCAACCCACAACGCCCGCCCAGGATATTTGAAGCCGGCTCTACACCATCTGTTCCAAGTGGTGGGTTCTACGAACAATATATTGATCGTACAGCAGCCATTGAAAGCAGACCTAGGTACCAAATGCCCTGGTATCGGCACAAGGTTACTATGTGGGTGTGCCTATTTGCCGTTATTGTAGTCATTAGTGTCATAATTCATTTCATACATCCAAACACTCTATAGTTACAGCCTAAATAATAAAGTATCATTATTAATGTGTATTAAGCACAATTGAATGACAAGCTAGTGCGGCCATTGTAATAGTGGCGATTTGTGGCTGGTAAAATTCGTCAAATTTCCACTGGGCGGCAACCATAGCTCATTGTCAGATTGCCTACTTTCGAGACAGCGATGTCTGCTCAAGACTTTGGTTTTCCATTCAAACCATATGGTATCCAGGAAGACTTCATGAAAGAACTGTACAATGTACTAGATCAGGGAAAAATCGGAATTTTCGAATCTCCAACAGGAACGGTATGACAGTATAAATATAAATGCTTTACCGCACGTTTGGAAACTGATCAGGAGTGTTCATTACTGTAACTTAGGGAAAGTCCTTGAGCTTACTTTGTGGATCTCTACGATGGCTTTACGACCAAGAACGGGTATCAGCTCAAATCACAACGGCCGAAAGAAAGGAAGCTGCGGCCGATGAACCTGACTGGCTGAAGGAGTACACTGTGCAACACGAACAGAAGACGCAGCAGTCTGAACGCCAGCTTCGAAGGCAGGAACTTCAAGAACGCATAGACAGAGCGCGGAAAAGAGAACAGTCGGAACGTCGTAACAAATCCGCATGGATAGCCAGGCAGCATGTGAAAAAGACGGTGAGGACACTAACGATGTTGATCATGGCATCTTGCCTTGTCTAATGCAATAGCTTTCAGAAAACAGCTCAAGAACAAGGGAACCCAAACGACTCGGAGGATTCAGAATTTCTACTTGATGAATATGATAGCGATGATACCAGTAACGCGGATGGCCGAAAAAAGCCATCGTCAGCGAAAAGCGAAAGTCAATCCAACTTGTCTGCAGATGTACAAGAATTACTGAGAAGGTACATTTTAGGAACATGAAGATATTTGATGAACATATCGCTAATTCTGATTCATCGGACACAGATTAGACACTCAAAATACCTTGACTTCTAGCTCAACTAGTGAAAAAGTAGACACAATGCAAGAAGACAACGATGAAGTTGATGAACTGAAGGTATTATATAGAACACCATGAATACATCAGATTCGACATATCTAAAACGCATTGATTTTTAGATCTTCTTCACTTCTCGTACACATTCTCAGCTGTCTCAATTCATACGAGAAGTCCAAAAGACAAATTACGCGGATAGTTTGCACTCTGTTGGTTTGAGCTCCCGCAAAAACCTGTGCATCAACAAAGATGTCCAAAAATTGAATAGTGTTCATCGCATTAATGAACAGTGCCTTGAGCTACAAAAAAAGAGTAAGTAGCCTGGCAAATTCTGAGTCAAGTCGTAATTGTTATGGCTGCGTTTGTGCTAATCAAAATTTAACAGGTTCTGGCAAGCGTTGCGAATGCTTGCCTACTGTTTCAGAGAAAGGCCGACTACTTGATTTCAGAGATCATGCTTTGGCTAAAGTAAGAGATATTGAAGAGCTAGTCGATGTTGGCAAGAGCTTGAACACATGTCCCTACTACGGTACGAGAAAGACTATCAAGCCTGCTCAGGTAAGACAGCATGTAGTATAAAGTAACTGTACATCAGATGGTTATTGACATGCAAATTATTAGCTCGTTACTCTTCCATATCAGCACCTTTTACACAAGACCACACGAGAATCTCTCGGCATTTCACTCAAAAACAACATTGTCATTATAGATGAAGCACACAATCTCATAGATACCATCAATTCGATTCATACAATAACCATCCATTCGAAGCAAATGAGAACAGCACTGTCACAACTTTCCCAGTATTTGCAACGATACAAAGCAAGGCTCTTGGGCAAAAATATTGTATATATTAAACAAATCATCATGATTGTCAAATCAATGATAAAATTCATGGAAAGCACCATTCAGCATGGCAAGACTAGCAACAAAAGCAAAGAAAAAATTCTAAATATCAATGAGTTTGTTCACGAACTAGGCATTGATCATTTGAATATGTTCAAAATCGAAAAATACCTTAAAGAGAGCAAGCTGGCTCGTAAACTCAATGGGTTTTTGGATATGAAGAAGAAGAAGGACGCGCAGGATAAGCTTAACAACCCGGAGCACGAAGCTGAGAATGATCCATCGGTGTCTTCTATCCCTATATTAAACCAGATCGAAGCGTTACTGATGGCCCTTACAAATGCAGATAAAGACGGCCGAATCATTGCTGCATGTGAGAATGATGATGAATATATTCAATACATGCTTCTCAATCCAGCAAATGAGTTCAAAGCAATTGTCGAAGAGACACGGAGTGTAGTGCTGGCTGGTGGTACTATGGAGCCTGTAAGTATGGCGAAAGGTGATGGTTCACTGTACGGAATGCACTAACCAGATATATCGTTCCAATGTAGATGTCGGATTTTTTGACGCATTTGTTTCCGTACGTTGAAAAGGACAGAATCCACAAGTTCAGTTGCGGGCATATCATTCCCGAAGAAAACTTGCAAGTTCTAACCGTAGGCACTGGTCCCACCGGTCAGAAACTGATATATAACTTTGAGCACAGAAGTGACACAAAGCTGGTATGTTCATTATACTGACTGTAAGACCTCAGGATGAAGAAAAGCTTTAATTTTCATACTCTTTCTTCCATGACTCAGATTGATCAAACAGGACAAATCATAGCTAATTTGTGCAATGTCATTCCCGACGGCGTTGTCTGCTTTTTCGCAAGTTACCCTTACATGGAACAGGTCTACCAGCGATGGTCTCATGCCGAAAGTGGAAACATTCTAGATCGAATCAGCAAGAAGAAGAAGGTAAATTATTTAGGAAAGCTCGAAAATGGCTCTTATACAGTTGCTAATCGGGGCAACAGATTTTTCGTGAACCGCGCGCAGCAAATATGGTGGATGCCACGCTAAGAGATTATGCGCTTCAAATCGATACAGGCGAAAGTGGAGCGATACTCTTTTGCGTGGTAAACGGTAAAATGTCAGAAGGAATTAACTTTTCTGATCGGCTTGGACGGTAGGCTGGCGACATAAATTTTCAGTACCTAGATCACACGAAATGAAACTTACTAGTACCCCCTACAGAGCCGTTATAATGGTTGGCCTTCCTTTCGCCAATCTAGCGTCTGCAGCGCTAGTGGAAAAGATCAAATATGTCAAAGAACATGCAGTAAGTTTTTATCATCGATCTTCAACTTTGCTTTCAACATGGTAACTGACCGCATATAAGAATGCACAAGGTGCTAGTGGAGATGCCGGAAAAGAGTATTACGAAAACCTTTGTATGCGTGCTGTCAATCAGTCCATAGGTGCGTTGTTGACTGATGTGACGCTACTACTTGCAAAATTTAATTAAACTCATCCACACTAGGCCGTGCCATTCGACATAAGAACGATTTTGCTACAGTGCTTCTATTGGACGAGAGATACGATACCACGCGCATTCAAAATAAGCTTCCAGGCTGGATTAGAGAAAGTGTATACGAATGCAAAAACTTTGGCCAAGTCATGTCAAGGACTGCAAGCTTCTTTAGAGATAAACGTCAGCAATAGATATGTAAAATAATAATAATGTATTTATCAATGTACAATACACATCCAACTGTAATTTTCTATATCATCACCAACTTGAACCATAATACACTTGCGCTATCTATTTTTTGGTTAATTGTAATCCATACTCTGCTAATTGCGTAGTGGTGAGCTCGCTAGGACTGTTGACAACGAGATCTTTACCACCACCTGCTTTGGGAAAAGCAATAACATCGCGAATGGACGGGGTGCCGCAAATAATGGACATAAGGCGATCAAAACCGAGTGCGATACCGCCATGAGGAGGACAGCCTCCAGCAAGAGCTTCTAATAGATGATCAAATCTCTGGTATTCATGTGGTTGCAATTCAAGTACTTTGTCAAAGATGAATCGTTGCATTTCTGGATAGTGAATTCTGATAGATCCGCCACCAATTTCCATTCCATTTAACACCAGGTCGTAGTGCTGACCACGAACTTTGGATGGATCGGACTCTAAGAGTGCAAGGTCTTCTGGAAACGGTGCTGTAAATGGATGATGTGTTGCTTGCCAAGTTCGCAGGCCAGCTTCATCTGGTGTAAATAGAGGGAAGCTTTCGACCCACAGGAACTTGTAGTCGGATGGATCAATGTGAAGTAAGCTGGCGTCTTGTAGAAGTTTGGACATCTGAAGCCGTACTTTTCCGAGCGGCGTGTTGCCACCGTACAGATATTTGGACCGCTTATGTATGTACACTAAATCACCTTGTTCGATTTCAAGTTCGTTATTGAGAGAATTTTGCGCTGTTGCTACATCGGACGATCGCTTTGATAGATTGCACTTCTCCAGCCACGAACCGATATTGTTTTCGTTGATCTTGACAGAGTTGAGTTTGCTCAAGTCACCATTCTGACTTTCATACTCTTGAGCAACCGATCGTATCTCGGCAGTCTTGAGATTCGCTCCCTTCTTCACCACCATGCACTCCAAGACACCGTCTTCAGATGCACTAGGAAGGTGTTTGCTAATGTCATGAATATGCATTCCAAATCGAACATCAGGTTTATCGGATCCGTACTGTTAAATGTCTGTTATCATCTGTGACTATCATGATAGCTCAAATATCGTTTCCAGTGTATCCTACCTTGGACATCGCATGCTGGTATGTCATATGAGGAAATCTTGACTTGTCCAATTGAATATTCAAGGTATTCTTCCAAATTTCAGTAACCATGCCTTCTATAATATTCTGTATATCGCTTGCTTTAATGAAGCTCATCTCCAAGTCGATTTGGGTAAACTCTGGTTGTCTGTCTGCTCGCAAATCTTCATCTCGAAAGCATCGGGCAATCTGATAGTATCGGTCGATTCCTGCTGCCATCAACATTTGCTTATGTTGCTGTGGACTCTGTGGAAGTGCGTAAAATTGACCATGATTTCGAGTGGGGACAACATATTCACGTGCACCTTCAGGAGTAGACTTGAACAAGACTGGAGTTTCCACCTCCACAAACTGATTTTCAGTAAGGTAATTGCGAATGATGCTTGCAACTTTTGATCGAAGGCGTATATTTTGCTGTAATTCAGGTCTTCGCAAATCAAGATATCTATGTTTCATACGGACTTCTTCTTTTGGCTGAGAATGTCAATTCGATATGAGTCGGCTGTGTGTAATCCATAGGCAACAACAAAACTGACTCACCAATTTCTGTTTACCAGGTAGAAAAGGCAAGTTGGTTGCGGCTGTATTGAGACACATAACCTCTTGTAACTCTACCTCAATGTCTCCTGATGCTAAATCTTTGTTTCTCATTCCTTCTGGCCGTTCTCTTACCACGCCTTGAATGCAGACTACACTCTCTGGGGTTAGTGAATTGATCTTGCTTCTGAGCGTATTGGCTGCTTCGGCATTCGAGCATGTTTCTGAGCGAAACACAAGTTGCGTGGTTCCATAAGCATCTCGTAGTGGGATGAACAAAAGGTCATTGGATATAGACCTGGATATCAATTGGTTGAGAACTCATCACCGTACCCAAGCGCAAACCTGTTTCCCTTAACACACCTTACAGCGGGAACCCAACCACACAAGGTGACTGATTTTCCAGTCTCCTTTCTATTCAGTGCACCACAATTATGAGTTCGTTCGGGGAAGCTTCCTGCAGGAAGATAGTGAGATAAGAGACATGTTGAAGGTGAAGTCACTTGTCAGGGGCAGTGCATTCTTACCATAATGAATGTTTTCACTCCCCCAGGTGTGCGTGTATCTTCTAATGTAATGTGAAGAGACCGGCTTCTGAAGTGGCAACCGATTGAGTGTACGTACTATTGGCACTCTGGTCACCCATAAGTTCCGGGTGCGTAAAGCTAATCGTAGCATGCTGAGATGAATTGTACCGATTCAGAGCATGAAGACAAAATTGTTGCTGGCGTGACTGCCAAAGCAAGAAAGGGAATCCGAAGCGTTCCCGCCCCTAGCTCGTTTGTCAGTCAATAGAATAATCAGTATAAACGATTGTAACGGTTTTGTCACAACTTGGCTGTACCAATTATATTTAGTGAGTGAAATATCTTTGAATTGAAATCAAGAACAAAGTTGCCACATGCTTTGATTATCATAACAATATACCGTCAACTATTCTTATAGAGATTGTATGTAATGATGAATTTGTCTACGTAGGCTAGCGGAAAGAACTTGATGGGAGATTTTTGTGCATATGTCAAATTCAAATTTCTTCCTGTCATGTTAAATTGCTCGGGTAGATCCTTTTTCTTTTGTTTTTTCTAGAAGGCGAAGCAGTGCTTTGCTCAGTCCAATTGTAAAGCTGGATTGACTAAAGTGGCGACTGATAAACAAATGCCAAAAAGCTCCCAAATCTCCTACAAACCAGATTGTTGGGCAGTAACATAATGGTCCGAAATCATGATTTTAATCTCGACTTCGAAAAGTCTTTTCAGATCCGTACTTACCAGTTCGCCGAAAAAGATGGAAATTCCTCATGTTGAAAATCACAATTGGAACGTTATGGATAATTACCAAGCGTACTAGTCGCTCACAGTACTTTCAATGATAATGTACTGTTTCATGGATCCAGCTAACAACTTCGTTTTGAGAACAGTAGCGGTTAATGGTGTAATTTTTAATCACATCCCATGCTGTAACTTATCGTCAACCATGTAAGTATGCAAACAGCCTTTTCAGTGTGTCTTCATGAAAGGTAATCATGTGACCACTTTTGTACCTAGAAAATTGGATATTCTTAGATAGAAAGGCATGAAATGTATGCTAGCATCTTTGCCTCAGGAAGTAGAGAACTCAATGCGATACTGTATCAAATAACTACTTAACTGAATTGAGTATTTCAACTCATTCCATGCAAGCTGGCTGTTTTTGCATCTTCAATAAACAATTCAGCCGATAGACTGCTTGTAGCGTAGGTGGCCGTAAGCGATAGTTTACGATTGGCATATGTCTTTCAAATGGGCATTGTAACCTTTTACTGTGAGAGCCTTCAGTAAACCTTGTTGGGTGTAGCAACGTATACTTGCTAATTGTAGTACCATACATTGTCTCAGCTTATTACAATCTTTCTATATTTCTCCTTAAAAAACAAATAGATTTACATAAACAAACGTACAGATTCCATATGATTGGCCATGTCAACGAAAAAAAAACTGAATTACGTAGCTGATTTTCTTTGCAATGGCAACTACGTATAGATTTTCTTCCAGGAGTTGAAACACCTATTCATTTTACTGGAGGCAATTCTTAATATAGCAATCCACCAAAGATACCGAACGAGCAAATCTAGCTAGCTCTTGCTGCAATTTGAATTAAGCCATCAACTAAAAGTATCACTCAAAGCATTTTCGTACTAAGTTGAAGCTGTAGTTGCTTGAAGCATTGGGAGAGTTGTGCATCATATGAGATAGAATGGACTATTCTTACGATGAGACTTGACAAAATCTCGTAAATAGATTTATAAATCTATTAGCAGCGCTTTAGAATTAAGAGTATGAGGGAAAGGTATTCATAATGGACTTGCACTGAATTGTAAATATCTTGTAGGAAAGAAGATCAAATGGTGGATCAAGAGCTTTCCATATCTTTCCACTCTAGATTCTGAATCGATCTACCATGAAAGAGAAGCACTGCTGATGTCTTCAAGCTAATGAATAGCGCCTGATGTAACACTGATTGACCACCAGGAAGAGCTTATGTCACATCTGATATATAGTTTGCTAACTTGTTTGAATAGCTGAAGATTTCTGCTTTCTTTTAATGTCGTGTTTTGATATATGAACGCGCCGATGACAGCAGCTGTAACATGGAAGGCTATAATCATATTTTTTTTGTTAGCGCGATATGTTAAAAAGTATGTTAACTGTGTTCTAAGATTCTCATTTCTAACATTTGTCAATTCGGAAATCACAGACAATTGGTAGGTCGGTTTGGATTCCTTGACAAAATTGCTATATGAACGACCGGTAAAGCTGATACCTAATATGTTCGTTCGGCTACTGATGCTTCCGAGAAACACACTGTACATCAACATTATGTCAACATGCTGTATATCCGGAAAAGTTTGGAACACCTCCTTGAGGTTGTCAATTTAACGGCTCGGCTACCCCAAACGTTAGATTGAGATTGAATTGTAAGATTTCAGACCAACATCTCTGCTCTCATATCCATAATTAGAACGTTCCGTTTCTCCTTTACGCAGAATATTTCGAAAAGCAAGGTCTAAGCAAAGCATATGTGCATTGGATGGTGTACAGATTATTTGCTTTCAGGCGTTCTATTATCCCTATTATCGCTCTATGATGGTAAACATAGTGTCCATGCGACTATATGGTATCAATTTGAATACAAGGAGCATGAAGAAATGAATTGGTTATAAACTGACGCAAATAGAAGCGGTGTGGGGGAGAAAGCTAAAGGTTTAAAATTTTCTTGATCTCCACTCTCTGGTCACAACCTTGTCTTCCACAAGTACATGAAGTTTACGCATATCGTATTGACAATCCTTGTTGCATACTCTCTTACAGTCAGTGCCTTCAAGGATGGCCACTTGGGAGATTATTCAAATAATTCAACAGAACAGAGGTTTTGTGAAAGTGTTCTCGACTACGATATCAGCATATTTGAATGCATTGATGGTAATCAGCGATTCGATATGCCAAGCTAAAAGGTACACATGAATAATGGAGCTGACAATAAACTAAATTGCTAGGGATTTTATGTGTCAAGGGCATGAATAGGTGTGGCAGTACATGCTATAACCCATCCTTAAACGGCTGCTGTGGCGATCAGCTTACTTCCCACGGAGCACCCTGCAAGGATATTGAAGCCGTAGAAGATGAAGATGAATACAGCGAACAGGGTAAATTATTCACCTCCGTTAAACCTAATAGTGCAGCTAATACTCACCCCAAATTATGATGTTGTGTATGATAAAGAACACGAAAATCGACATGATCCTGGAACTTGCAGCTGTAACGAAGGTTAATGTGCAAACATTTTTTATTTCGAAATCATCACTTTTTATTGACGTTAACTGTCGCTTAGACATCGTATGCAGCAAAGGAGAAAAAAGATGTAATGGCATTTGCTATAATCCTTTAAAAAAGGAATGTGACGATGGTAAGGTAGTCCCATTTTTATATGGTCATCTTTAACCCAGTTTCTAACGCTTCTTGACATTGAAAGATATCATCTGCAACATGGGGTGGGAGAGGTGTAATCGTAACTGCTATGATCCAAAGATTTTTACTTGCCAAAACGGTAAGACTCAAAGCTTCACTCCTTGTCCTCACACATTTGCATCACTGACGTTGTTTCTATCAGACATAATTTGCCTGAATGGACAGAGAACTTGTGATGGAGTTTGTTACGACGCTGATACTTTCAGCTGTAAAGATGGTATGTATATAAGTATTTGCTACTCAGACCATGCTCTGCATTTATCTAACACAGTGCAAGATGTGGTTTGCATGATTGGTTACGACCGGTGCAACGGTTGTTGCTTTAATCCGGAGACACATATCTGTGATGGGGGGGAGATCAAACCATCGGCTAAAACGACAGAAACCACATGCGCAACATCAACTTCACCAGCGACGTCAAGTTTCTCTGAAAATGAAGTATCAACAACTACTACTTCTCAAAGTACCAGTGACACCCACCTTACAAATATTGTTCAGCACAGAGGACCTACAACTAGTAAAAGCATAAGTTCATCGCTGATGACCACCGATTCGACGTATCTTCCCACTTCAACAGCTCCAAGTATACATACGTCTAACTCTTTCTCGTCTCATGCGAGTGAGACAACAACATCAAGATATATTGTATCCAGCTCTAGCCCTAACAGTTGGAGCACCGGCTCACACACAGTAACAACCACCGTGCCTACATCAGCATTTACAACATTTTCTTCCACTACAACTGTATGCCCAACATGTAAATCCAGCAGTCCCGTAGGAACTACTTCATCTGTACCAAGCACAATGAGTACGATGTCGTCGTTGATTACCGTACCTCCTAACACCGTTAACTCGCAAGGAAGCAC